CATCATTGGGTTTGATGGTGGCACAGTCGGTTGTGCTTCGGTCTGGGTCCTTTCCATTATGTTTCTATTCCATCTCCCATCCAATGAATTATTCCACAGCATTTTTCCACAATTTTTCCATCGTATTCTTAGCACTTGGGAGACTTAGAATTTTTCTGGAAATGGGGTTACTATAACAAAAATGATACAAGTTTTACAGGAACGGAGATTCTAGATGAAGAAAAGAACCCAGTTGATCACGCTCCATCTAAAGGACAATTCATGGTAGCAAAGGAAATGAAAAGATTAATTCGAAACACTGATTTGTTTGAAGAAGAATTTCTCCCTAAATTTGTTTTGAGTGTAGGAGATAATTTTTACGATGAAGGAATTAGTTTTGATAATGCTAAAATACGTTTTAAGAAGGTGTTTATTGTTTGTTTTTTCGAACAGTTGAGGGTATTGCTTAGTTATTCTTACAAATACTAGGCAACACCGGAAATGTGGAACATTTTTCGGAGAGGCAGCCCCACGAGGGGGGGGGGGGAACTCAAATTCCCCGAGTTTCGGGAACGGTGACCAACCCTATTTCATGCTCATATTTTCCATTTCAATATTTATTTCTAATGCCATAATTCAGACATTCTACAAAGCTTATAGTCGTGTCGGACTACAATGGATCACACTTGCCGGTAACAATGATTACAAAGTGCCTAAAAACGAACAAATAGGAAAAAATGAAGATTTTGAAAATGCTAGAGAACGTGTTTTAGCCCAAATGGCACACACAAATAGTATTTGGTCGGTTTTTATCAAACTAATCGGTCACCTCCTCCTTCTAATGTAAGGCAGAAATAGGATTAGGATATAATAGTTTAACTCTCCCATTGAATTTATTATCCATAGTCAATATAATCTAAAGTTACGCGAAGGAAAGATTAGACGTTTTAAGCAATTCCTAAGGGCATGCCTGATCAGAGGAATTAGTCGTCGCCCGTTTAACCACTCTAAAACGAGCGAACGGTCAATGGCGTTCAGGATGTCAAAGATTATATGTATCTTGACATAAGGACTCAATTTAAGATACCTCTATAAGAATAGAGTAGCTCAAATGCCTAGAGTTTTGATTCTGAAAACGAAGGTAATGTCAATTGATGGTTCGATTCCTGCCTTCTGAAATCGGAGCTTTTGCTAAACTCCTTCAAAACTTAATCACAAATTCAATTTACAGGAAATTTCCTTCTGAATATTATGTACATACTCACTATCTAAAAGGCTTCAATGTAGTCTTTATTATGATAGACACATTTTTGTTGTGTGGGGGATCACGCAAGGATTCCTTAAGTTTGCAAAAAGAAGATGGTTTAAGTGAAGAAGATAAATCTGCCAAAAAATTGGCACAAGAAAAACATTTTACCTGGCTAGAAGAAGCTCTTGATAATTATAGCGGGTAAGCCTTCCTCTTTAATTCTGGTTAGAACAGTCGTACCTTCTATAAGATTGGATTCTGGATATCCGAGGAGTTCCGAAGATCCACAAACCCTAGTAGGATGTTAGGCAAGGTAGCTATCCAAACGATACTCCCAATTTAAGCTACCTTTCATTGTGATATACGATTTTTCATTCTTAAGAGGATATTTTCTCCGTCAAACCTCATTGATGTATAAGCCCTCGGAGCTGAAAAAATTGTAAACTAAAGTTATGGGTATCCTTAAGTTGTGAGGCATAATCTTGACTGCCTTTGTCTAAAAGCTCTGATCTTACGGGTCAAAGAAATAGCCGGGTCGGGGTTTTTAAATTTTACTAGGATCGGGCTTTGGGTCAAAATAATCCGGGTTTCGGGTACCCGTGACATCCTTAACTGGTCAACCTCGCTTAAAAAGCATACACAAAAAGAGTAATAATAATAATAATTTTATAGAGCCAATTATTTATTTGTTGCTGGCCACTACCCGCTATACATGTCTGTAGGAGACCGATCATATACCTGTGCAAATAGATTGAGAAATTTGTTTGAAGAAAATAATGTATATTAAGCAATCTATAGTATCAAAAAAATTTTTCCTGTTTAGATCAGTGCTTATTTAGCTGGACATGAACATTCTCTTAAATATATACAAGTTCAAACGTCAGAAACCTTTACTTTCAATCAGATAGTTTCTGGGGCTGCCACAAAAATGGAAAACTGTTTGCAAGAGAAACATGTTTTGAGTCATTATAAAAATGGGAATAGAATTGAGACTATAAATATGACACCACATTTCATGATCTGGTAAAGTATATCTTATTTTAATACAGTCGGACCACATTATTAAATCCCCTTATGGTAAAATTGTATTTAAGGGAGTAGCTTAAATAGCGGGCTTTGCTTAGATAGTTTCTCACCTCATTGCAGGGCAGGGAAGCCGAAATAAAAATGAAATTCCCTTTCTCGGGAAATCGGAATTCCGACTCAAAAAAACTTAGGGATCCCAGTTGCAGGTAGTTGTTGGGTTGAAAAGATAAGTCATGTCAGTTACAACCCTCATTATAAGTGTCCAACTGGGTGGCTTGCCTAATTTATCAGTCATCTCTATAACGCCTAAAGTTAGCACGTCTCCTTTGCACTTCGGTTCAATTCGTCACGACTGTAGAAGATTACTTTAAAACAAGGAGGGATGTTTTAAAAAACGGATTTATTTTTTTCTTCAATAAAAAATATCTTTTAAGCCACCCTGCTGGGTTAAACGAAATACAATTTGAAGAGAATAGAAAAATATTGAACTTCGAACAAACTGCAAAGAGAGAACTCGAAAAAGAGATTAAAAAAATGGCTGCAATAATTGAAAAAATTAAAAATGATCAAGTAGTACCCGGGGAATTAGTGTATGAACTAGAGAATAAAAAGGCAGAATTAAAAGCCTTGGAGGAGCAGTTAGATGCCGATACTTTTGAGAATGGCGGATTTGTGGCTGTTAAAATAGACAAAAAATTTGCCCGTTTTTCCTTTTTAACTGTTGGAAATCATGAATTGACAAGTTTTGCTAACGAACAAATTGTGAATGGTAAACAGAGTAATCTTGGAGTGGTAAACATTCCAAATCGCTTACCGGAAACTGATGAAGACTACTGATTTAACCAGTAAATGTAATACTTCGGCTGACCCTCACTCCCCCTTCTTTCCTGTTTTCTGACCATTCTGGGCTTTTTTGCTTGACATATAATTTATTATAGTATATCATTCGAAAGATCTGGCCGAGCTGGGAAGATTAATACCACGATGGGATAGATTTGGACTCAAAATTGGACTCACATATAGATGTATGACTTGCGAATCATCTCGAAGATTCTTTCGAATGTATAGTATAATTTGTCATAAAAAATAAAAAGTATAAAAGAAAAAACGGAGGGGAGGGGGCATCAGCCGAAGTAGTTATTATCCCAGTAAACTTGAAGCAAAATTTGACGAGAGAATGTGTACATATTTTAAAAACCAAAAGACTATTTTATTTTAAAATTCCAGTTCATTATTTAAATTTCTTCATACATATTTTAAATTATTTTAAGAAATATTTTCTTTAAATTATTTTTAAAAACAAAATTTTTTAGTTTAGCATTGTATTTTACGATAAAATTTATTTACAATCAAATAATTACCTAGCCAATGGCTGAGAAATATTACCATTAAAATGTTACCCTCTCTCTATTAATTACCCTCCTAGGGTCAAAATGAGTCAAAAAAATGACGGGGTTTGGACAGTAAAACAGCTGGGCTACAACTACATATTTCTCTCCTTTAGCTAGTGCAAAAGGTTATTCGGCGGCTGAAAGCAAACCAGCATCTTCAGTAGACTGGACTGATGTTATCTATTACACCAGCCGTCTAATGCATAGCCTTAGGAAATATTACCCCCTCTCTATTAATTACCCTCCTATGGATAATTAATAGAGAGAGGGTAATATTAAGAGGGTAATATATATTAATTACCCTCCTATTAATTACCCTCCTATATGCTTTACATAACTTTGGGTTAGACTGGGTCGGGTTGCAACTAGGGTTTTGCGTTGATTTTTGGCCTTGTGTTTTTGGAAATTGTCTCTTGCGTCCGCCCCTGATTCCAACCCTAATACATTTCCAACCCTAATATATTCATAATAATATTTAAAAAAATAAATTTTTGAGGAAATTTGGGAAACTTGCAAGAAGTTGTGCCCCAAAAAATTTTTTTAATTTTTAAAATTTATTTTTAAAAATAATTTTTTCTGTTTTATTCCCCTCTCAATGCCTTTATATTTTATTGATAAGAAAGAAAAAATAGGAAAAATTTTTAAACCGTCGGGAGTGAAAGGCAAGAATCATCATCACATCGATTTTGGTAATACAGGGTGTTTCAACTAAGAAATACTATTTGAAAACTCAATAACTTTTTGCAAAGTTGACAGATTTTAAAGATATTTGGTATTTTATATCTATATTTCATAGCATTTTTTTTGACATAAAAATTATGTCTAAATTCGAACCCTAACCCGAGATAATTTCGTACTCTACCGCTCTGTTTTTCCCTTTTTCCGCACATGCATTCTTACTCCCTTTTGTTTTTTTTGAGCGGCGATAGACATTAGAGTAAACACTAGGCGAAAGACACGAATTTCGAAAAAATTTTTATGTCAAAAAAATGCTATGAAATATAGATATAAAATACCAAATTTCATTGAAATCTGTCAACGCAGAAAAAAGTTATGGATTTTTCAAATAGTATTTCTTAGTTGAAACAACCTGTATTTTTTCTCCTTTCTTTTTCCTTCTCTCGTCGATTTATTTTTTTTTCGTCTCTATTTTTAAATTTTTATTTTGTGACGGTTTGGTGGAGGAAAAGGGGGTTTTTTCATTCATTTACACCCCCTCCTTTTAGGGGCAAACAAACCGATTAAAAAACCTTGCGATCTAGAAACGTCTCTTCTTTTTTTTTATTTAACGGTTGTGTGCAACAGAAGAATTTTTTTTCTTTTCGTTCGCACAATTTTGAATTGAATTTTACACCTTATCTTTATAAATTTTGACCAAAGGTTGCATAATGGTCAGATTACAAAGATTAACAAACACGTGTCCCGTCCGTTTTGGCAAGTTAAGCAACGTTGTTTTTTTATTTTAGTCAACTCAAGTTAAGCAAACTAGACATCTATGGTCCCTTTTCCGTGTTTTCCGCCTTCCCCCTCATTTTCTCCTTTCCCAAAAGACGCATAATGGTCAGATTAACAAAACCTCATAACCGTCCGATCTGTCAAGTTAGACATGAGTGGATTTCTTTATGTTAAGCAACTCGGGTTATATGCCCGTTTCGGTGTTTTCCTTTTGTCTTTTTCCTGTAATTTTACAACCCCTACCCTCTCTCTCCAATTTTTTCTTTCTCAAAAGACGCAGAATGGTCAGAACAACAAAACTCCTACTCTCCGTTCTGGCAAGTCAAGCAACGTTCGTCTTTTTAAGTTAAGCACCTCGGATTGAGCAAACTAGGCATCTATGGCTCCTTTTCAGTGTTTTCCGTTTGTCTCTTTCCGTTGATTCTAATTCCACAACCCCTACCCCCTCTCTCCTTATTTTTTCTTTCTCAAAAGGCTCATAATGGTCAGACTTTGTTTTTTATTCCCAATTTAGCTATATTTCCCTTGCAACAGAAAGGACTGAAAGTGAAGGATTGTAAGTCTATGAATCTGTCTTATATTTTCGTAAGTATTTGAGGAAAGGAAGAAGGTCTGACCATTATGCGTCTTTTTGAGAAATTTTTAAAAATTCCTTAACAAATTTTTTTGGAACGATTTTTGATTTTAATTTGGAAAACTTGTTAAAATTAAATTTATTTAATGAAAAATATTTTAATTAAAAAAACAAAAATTAAAAATTAAAGTTTTCTCACACTAATTTCTTCGCCAAACAACTAAAAACAACACTAAAAATAAAAACATTTTTGGGGTTTTTACATATTTTTTTGTTACTTAAACTATTCCAACAATGAAACTAATCGGATCAGATGATGTTCAGAAAAATGGAGAAAATGTAGGTTGGGGGGGGGGAGTTTTGGAAAATATTTTGGGGAGGCCTTTTTTAAGGAGAATGTAGGGGAGGGTGTATTTGGTGTATAAGAGTGATGCTCTGGTATATGCTCGGGTATCACGATCCCGACTCCTGAATCGGGAAATTTTTCCAAGTTTTTGGTCTCCAGACTCTCGATGTATTTTCCGACCCGTTTCCTAATTCCCTGTTTTTCTTCTCCCGAGCATCACTAGTTTATAGGTTGTTGTTTCTACTTAATATATAAAATATTTATTATGCAAAAATAAAATTTTTAAAATTATCTAATAAAAAATATATTTCTTTTCTGTGATTTACGATTTGTGTGATTATTTCTGTAATAAATCTTCCCATATTTTTGCAAGATCAAAGGGACACAACTTTGGAATAAAACAGAAATGGGGTATTTAATTCCCATTATTTCCCCTTTATATTCAATAGAAGCATGGCCCAAATAGACCCCCATCCAATTAGAGGCCCCCCACTGAGGCTCATTGAGAAATGAAGATTTATTTTTACAACAGAAGTCTATGCACTATTAGAAGGGTAATAGTGTCGTTTCTAGTTCCCCCTTTTTTTCTCCCAAGTTTTTCCCTATTAATGTACAAAATGGTCAGCCTTTTTCCTTTCTTCCATCCCAATGTTGTCAATACTGTAAAAATATGGGAAAAACTTTGAAGGAAAAGGGGGACTGGAAACGACACTATCACACTTAAAAGCTTACTCAATGAGACCTACTGAAAAATAAAAGCCCAGGGCTTCTATTAGGACATCTACAGTATTTCTTATTTTCCCCCACAAATTTAAACAATTTCCTCTTGTAATAATATTCAAAAAATATCCACGTGCCATAAAGATTGATTGATTAGAGCGGAAAGGAAGAATAAAACTCTAAAAATTTTCTCTTCCATTTCTATCTTTCCTTTTTTATTGTTAAAAGTTGTTAAATAAATAAAGCTTTTAAGTATTTATATTTAAAAATTTTATTTTTCAAAAACCTTTTTAATGGAAAAACATAAAGGAAGAAAATTTATAGGAACGCAAGAAAGTGATGGTTACCGTATAACCTTCGTTAATTGCCTTGAGATTGAACTTGGCGGATTATGGGAAATCAATGGATGTCCGGATCCGGTGTCCAAATCTAAATTTCCGGATATCCAGTCTTTTTTGGATCCGGATCAGGGGTGTCCGCAATTGCGGATTTCGGCTGCGTAAACTTTTTTTTTCATCTGCGGACACTCCTAATCAGGATATCGGATCCATCACCTGAGCTACTGACAACTATTGATTAATAGGATTCCAATGGGGTTCTCCAAAACGAAAAAATGATGATTTTTCGATTCGGTTCGGTTCCAGATATCCGTAAACCTTTTTACCAACTTACAACCCTCTTGACCAAAATTTCTTTAGAAAAAGTATAATTAACTTTTTCTTCTTTCCCTTCGAGTTCATTATATCAAGACTTGACTCTATTCTAATTTACTAGTTCTTAATTACTCATGAAAATTTAAAAATACAATTTTAGAATGTACAAGAAAATTCAACAACGACATCAAATTTAATGGGTATTGGTCACTCTACTGCTAGTCACTCTAATGAAACTAATTCTACCAATTTTAAAAATGAAACAAAAAATGATTTTGAAAAACAAAACAATTTAATCAAAAATAGTATTAACAACCATAATATATCCCGGTCAGAATTTAAAATTCAAGTCAAATTTTAAAAGAACTCATCCTAGTATACGCCAACTCAAAGATACCTACTGAAAATTTTCAATCCCAAGCGGGTACCTTATAGGGAGATTTAATTGTATTAATCAAGTCAAAAAATATTTGCAAAAATGCCCACAAAAAATCGCAAGGAAATCTACAGATACATAAGTTTTTGTCCGCAAAAAGTTGTCAGCAAAAAAATTATCCGCAAAATAAAATATCCGCAAAAATGAATTACGCACCTTTCCTTTATAATTCCCCTCTTCTAACCAAAAACCAAATACCAAAAAAGTTTAAAAAATTTTTTTATTTTCAAGTCCAACCAATTTATTATTACTACCCACAACATCACCACCACCATCATCATCATTAAAATCACTAATAACTCCATCATCACTTTTACCTCCACCCCCATTAAATAATCAATCAAAATCATTACCTTCCTCCCTTCTACCTTCCCCTTCTTTAAACCCTTCCATTCCTCCTCCTTTTTCATCGTCATTAAATTCAGAATCTTCCCCCTCTTCAAATATGGCGGCAGCTACTTTTTTATCAAATTGGCGTAGACAATCAAAAACAACCAAAAATAATAATAAAACAATTAATTGTATTAATGAGAATAATGAAAATAATAATAAAATTAATAATGGATATTCCCTTAGTGAATTATCACACGATGTGTTAGCGCAGGTGAATTACCCCTGGTTTTTTAATTAAAATATTTTCGCGAATTTAAAGTTCGTATAGACTAGGGGTCGGTCGGAAATACCGAAGGTGCCGGAAATCGGAACTTTCGGAAATCGGAACTCTCGGAAATCGGAAATCAGCCTAAATTTTTGGAAATCGGAACTCTCGGAAATCGGAAATCAGCCTAAATTTTTGGAAATCGGAACTCTCGGAAATCGGAAATCAGCCTAAATTTTCGGAACTCAGAACTCTCGGAAATTGGAATTCCGACGGACCCATGATATAGACGTAGGTTTGGGTGTACTTAAGGCTTTTATCTGACGTCTGACATGACCTCTTGTAATGAGAGCATAGTCAGATCATATACTATTAAGTTCAGAACTCTAACACCAACTATCCCTTATTAAGCGATACCCTCTATTCAAGATACACTTTAGTTTGTAACTACAGTGTTTTCAACCCCTTGTGTTCTTTATAATAGAGGTTTGACTACTTAAATTCCTATTTATGTCATCGAGTATGGTTTTTCGTTTGGACTGAGATCGGGTTGAAAGTGTATAACCAACCTAATGGGACTATAGGTGACTGGATTGTTTCTATAGGAAAGCTTCACATATTCGGATTAGTCTATGGAATAGCGTGGAAGCTTCTTTTAGGCTAGAAAACCCCCTCCGAAACCCTGCCCCTCGTGTGGGAGAGGAACGAGACGTTATAGAGAGCTTCCACTGTATACCCTTAAAATATCCGTAGATTTTATAAGGAATCCATTCACTTTACTAATTTATTTTTACACCAGATTATTCGACTTTTCCCCTTTTCCTCTTCCTTAACACCAACCCCTTCTTCCTCCTCCTCTTCTACTTCAACAATTATAAACAACAATAGTTCATCCACTCCTTCCCAACGTCATATAATTTATAGAGCATTATCCCAACCTAACCCAACAATAAATACAAACTTGAAATGCTCTCCTTTAAATGAAGAAAAAAAGAAAAAAGAAGAAAATAAATCCTTAATTAATATAAATAAATTAAATAATAATAATGAAGATGAAGAAATATTAAATAATAATAGTTGGTAGTTTTAATTTATTAAAGGCTAAGTAATCAGCAATTAGAGCTAGGTCCCATTTATCGACTCCCCATCACCTTCGGACCGGTTTGGTCCCCTACTCCGATTCCCTCTGGCTTCCCTCCCCTCATCGTCTTGTCCCTGACTTCGTTTCCTCGTCTGACAATGATTTTTAGGACATTCCTAGTCACTCTAAAGTCTGCTCCCCCAATATCTCCGTTCTCCGAAATTAGATATCAATTAGGGTTGGTCCCCTTTATCGACTCCCAATCCCGTTCGGATTGGATCCCCAACCCTTGGTTCCAGACTCGGATTCCTCTGACTTCCCCTCATCGCTCGATGATTTTTAGGCCATTTCCCGATCCCATATACGGTCTGTCCACATCCACGTTTCTTGATATATACCGATTAAATTAGAATCCAAGGGCTGTCTGTATATATGGTAAAGTAAGAATTAGCAATACATTAATTACGGGATTTTAGTAATGACCTTTGGGATGTTTCAGCCTATTTTCCAAAGAGCCGAGAGCAGCAAACATCCCTATTTGACACCCTAAGGTTAGAAGAATCCAAAGGATAGATCTTAATGAGACGATCTAGGTCGGGTTAGACAAAATATTTAGGGTCCAAGCCTGAATCTTAAGGATATTTTTTATACCTTTTCTGTGGGCAAACAAGCTGAACTTGAAAATTTATTTTTCTAGAAATTCCCCCAAAAAAGCAACTTTTGCGTGATTGGCATACTAGAGCTGGCAGTTCCTCCCTCGGCCGTAAATTAAGGAGGGCTGCTTCTACCTTTTCTGGTAGCAAAATGATTGAAGGGATTTCTTCAAAAGAACGCCCAAAAAATTTATCAATATTTGGGAAATCGGAAAAGAATAGAAAAAATGGGAAATCGCCAACATCTTGCAATGGAGCATTAAGTCGTCTATGCAAGGTGGGTTGGCAAAAAAAATTAAATTTTTTTAAATTAAATTATAAAAATTAAAATTACTTAAATATCGTACTTGCTTGATTCTCCACTCTTCCAGGAATAATTTTAAAAAATAATTATAATTTTTTAATTAATTTTAATCTTCCTTAATTTTCTTATTTTTCCTCTACCCTTAATTTAAAGCAAAAAAAATTTTTTTCCTAATTTTCATAAGTCTGCGGACAACTCCAAATAAGTAAGAGTAGCTCTCGGTTATGCTCACAAAGTCAGCTTAGTTTATCCACAAGTGATAATTGTATTTTCTTTTTATTTTTTGACATGGTTCAGATGATGATCAGGAGTTTGCGGATAAAACTTGCGGACAACGCTTGCGGACTTTTTGAGCCTAACGGAAAAACTCATAGGGTGTTGGGCTAGTTCAGGGATGTAATGGGTACACCCCAACGTACCGCGAGCCCAACCTACCGCCGAGGCTATAACATCGTTCAAAATTGTCGGATCTGAGACATCTTAGTATGGTTGGATTCAGCTCGTCGAGGCGTATCGAACCATACCAAGGCGTCCCGGATTCGTCAATTCTGAAAGAAGTTATCGCCTCGGCGGTAGGTTAGCTTGCTCCCTAATTGCACATACATCGTCTGCGGATTTTAAAATTAAAAATCGTCGCTAGCGGCTGCCTATAAACTTAAATTTTTTGATAGTGTCTCCCTTATTTTTCCTATAATTTCAAAAAAATTATTTATAATTTTTTTGTTTTAATTTTAGTATTATTTTTAAAAAATTAAATTTAAAGCATTTTTAAAAAACAAGTTTTCATTTTTCCTAAATTGGCGGAATTGTAAAAATTTTTTTTTGCTTTTTCGTTGATGTAAATTCACGTCATTCTCACATTCATATTTAAGAGGGGGTTAATATATATTAAATTGTTAAACCGGAAAATTAAAAAAGAATTTATTTTTGATCAACCAATTAATCTTTCAGAAAGATTAAATTTTTAGCCGATTATTTATTTAAATATTTTTGTTGTAAAATTGATCAGTATATTTGCTATTTTTTAATATTACTACAGAAAAGCTCTCTTTTTTTATTACGTTACCCCTCACTCTGTTAAATTTTTCTGATACATATAAGAGGGATGAAATGATAGTGGGGGGATAATGTTATAGAGGAGAGCTTCTACCAGAGGTGGGTCGGGACAGTCAGAGGTGCCGGAAATCGCAAGAGCCGGAAATCGGGACTGGCTCAAAAGTCGTAACTCGGAAATCGGAAATCAAAATTTTTTTCGGAAATTGAAAATCGAAATTCCGACCCACTCTGGCTTCAACAGACAAAAGTCTTTATAGTATACTTATATAATGTATAGAATTCAGTTTAGTTTACGCTTTTTTAAACGGAGGGGCCTTTGGCTCGAAGGAAATATCCAGCAACTTTAGCGTACGTACAATTTATTGTAGGATTTTTCCAGCCCTAATAGCGTACTCTATAACGATATCAGAATATCTTTTAATCATTCTTCTGAAATTCTGTTATTTTTACCCTTCGAAAAGTCCGCAAGTTTTATCCGCATATCGAAAACATATTTTATTTTATCAAAAAATTCCTACAATCACAATCTTTATTTTAAAATTTATTTAATACGCTTTCCAACAATCACATACCTCAAAATAATCCTCTTTTTCAACAAAACAAAATTTATTATTTGCGGACATAATTTGCGGACAAAACTTGCGGACTTTTAGAAGAAAAAGGAAAATTACCATCAATCATCCACAGGTCATCGAAAACAGATTCAAAATCAATTTTTCCTTTTTTTGATAACTAAACACCAAACTAACTTTTTTCCCTAGACTATCAATTTCCTCAGACCATATTTAAAAAAATAAAATTAACAGTTAAATCAATCATAAAGGGTATTATCAATTTTTAATTATTATTACAATCAGCAAATCATTTTTAGTTTTTTTATTTTTTATTTTAATATTAACGTCATGTTTATAGTAAAAACATTAATTAAAAAAAATTATTTTTAACTACAAAAAATAGGTACTTGGTTATCACAAAATACACTACTTTTGGGGGGTATTTTGAAATTATAAAAATTTTTTTAAAAGTTGTTTATGAATTTTTTTTAATTTTTAAAAATAAATTCATAATTCCTTTATAGAATAATTTAAAAATATCATTAAAAATTTTTTTTCTTAAAAAAAATTTTTTTTAATATTTTAACTGTTTTTATGTTTACCCGACATTTGCGGACATCTGCAAAAACTTTAAAATTTTCTGATTTAATTTCTGATTTTTTCCTTATGTTAGGGTTTTGATACATACAAAGAATAAATTTTTAATTCCCTTATACTATGTAGAATAATTTAAAAATAATTTAAAAAATATTTTTTTCTTTAAAAATTTTTTTGCGATTTTTAATGTTTACCCGACATTTGCGGACATCTGCAAAAACTTTAGAATGTTCTGATTTTATTTCTGATTTTTTCCTTGAGGTGTTGATAGACAACAAAATATCTATATTTTCTGTCGGATATGGGTGTTAGATAAGACCTATTAGTTCCCTTAATTTCCTCATCCCTTTCTTAACTTATGTATAATAATGTTTTGATGATTGACAGGCATTTGCGGACATTCCTCTTGATTTCAAAAATTTTTCTGATTCTGTTCTGATTTTATTCTGATTTTATTCTGATTTTTCCTTGGAGTTTTGAAAATCAAAAAAATAATCATAATTGCTGCCACAAGACCCATTCCTTCTAACTCCTCGTTCCTTCTAAATTTCAATAATTTTCGGGGTTGTCCGCAAATGTTGTCCGCAAATTCTAGTCATCCATTCTGTTCATTTATTTTTTTAATTATTTAATCAGTCATTTACTTTTTCCTTTTTTAGATTTACGTACACATTTTTATTGCTTTTTATTGTCATTGTAAAGTGTACATATAAATATTTTCTAATTATTTTTTAATTTTTATTTTTCTTATTATTTTTAACATCTATAAATTAAACAAATTTGTAGTAAAAATTAATTTTTTATTTGTATTCTGATTTTTTAAAATTTAATTTTGATTTTGATTCTTTTTTCTGCTTTAGTTATAAATTTACTATCGGGTCTCATTACGGTCGGATCTTGTTTTCAAATAGATTTTGACTGAGAGGTCTTTGGGAATGTGAATACAAAGGGTGACTTTAAATAGGAGGGGGGTATACCGTATTTACTCGATTAATTCCACTGGGGAATTATTTTTTCAACCCATCCGTTACATGGGGAATTATTCAAGGGAGGGGAATTATTCGAGTTTTGAAATTTGAACGTGCAGTAGTGTATTTGGAGGAGGGGGATTATTTTTTCAACTTATCCGTAGCGGAGGGAATTATTCGAGGGAGGGGGTTAATCGTTAAATACGGTAGTTTTCCTTTTGACAAGCAACTTTTACATAGGAGATATTGCCTTCCTTGAGGAATACCTAAGATGAGGTCCGATTCTTGAGGCTTTCATATTTTCTTCACAGGGCGCACCTGGAACAGACTTTTCTTTACTTGAACTTAAAAAATATTTTTCAGAAGTTCTGATTTTAATTCTGATATTTTTTTAAATTTTCGAATGGGCAATACAATAGACATCAACAAAGAAAAAGTCCATTTAAAATCGTTTACCTGCAGCAAAGCTTCCCTTCATTTTCCTCATTCTTCCCCCTCCAAACAACCCTCACCCTCCAAACAACCTTCACCCTCTTCTACTACCAAAACAACAGCACCCAACAAAAAATCGTTGTCTTCCAACTCGAAGAAAGAATTTTCTCAACCTTCCTCCCCTTCCTCCTCCAAAAATCAAAATTCTAAAAATCCCCAAAATTCCCCAAAAATTCCCAATAACCCTTCAAAACCCCCTCAACGTCGCCGCTCTGCTGTAGAATTACTCCAAACTTTATGGAAACAACGACAGAGGAGGGAACACAGATCAGTTTCTAGTTGTTCTCTCTTACAGATTGAAAGCCCCCCAAATGTGGTTAGTCCAGATTCTGTTGTGGCTTTGGAAGCGAGTTTGAAGGAACCTGAAACTTTTGATGCTCTAATGAGATGGGGATTGCTCAAAGTTGGTGTTAAATATGGGGAGCTCTGATTTATCACAGTCACATAGACACGGGATTTTCAGATGCGGATATTCTTGCGGACATTCTTTGTGGATATTTTTAGCGGAAAATTTTGCGGACAAATTTTTTGCGGACAATTTTTGCGGACAAATTTTTTGCGGACAATTTTTGCGGACAAATTTTTTGCGGACAATTTTTGCGGACAAATTTTTTGCGGACAAATTTTTGCGGACAATTTTTAGCGGACAAATTTTTGCGGACAATTTTTTGCGGACAAATTTTTGCGGACAATTTTTTGCGGACAGATTTAGTGGACAAATTTTTTTGCGGACTAAAATTGCGGACAAATTCCACAAGGTCAATATCCGTGGTTCTATTATCCATCCACAGAGCTTGCGATATATCGGTCTGCTCGTAAGAAGGGCAATAAGGAAGAGAAAATATTTATTTTACACAAAATATTCCCTAAGCTTAGGGGATAAAACTCTAAATCAATTTTTCTTTATTTGCCCCCTATTCTTCCATATCCTTTTTGTTTATTGTTTATATCTATTCTTTTCATTTTTTGTAAACAAAAACACATGGAGAAATCCATTTAAAAAATTTTTTTTATTAAGTTCTATTTTAATTCAATCATCTTTTTACAGGTTTCAGTAGACACAATGGCAATAACTGCACTACCACTTGATTGTTGGCTTAAAGAAAGGCTAAAAAATTGGGTTCAACTCTCAGGGCATCAAGGCTAGTTTATTTGATTTTTATTGAGAAAAAATATTCCACAAAAATTATCCGCAAAAATTATCCGCAAAAATTATCCGCAAAAAAATTGTCCGCAAAAATTTATCCGCAAAAATTATCCACAAAAATTATCCGCAAAAAATTTGTCCGCAAAAATTGTCCGCAAAAATTAGTCCGCAAAAAATACTCCGTAAAAATTATCCGCGCAAAAATTGTCCGCAAAAAATCTATCAGCAAAAATTATCTTAAAAAATTATCCGCAAAAATTTGTCCGCAAAAATTATCCGCAAAAAAATTTTTGTCCGCAAAATTTGTCCGCAATATATTTTATTATTTTTCCAGGCACAATAGTTCCCGCATCCAATCACAGTTTATGGAAAAAGCAACCTCAAGGTAGTCATACCGAGGCAAAAGCATATTCACAAATTATGCTAGACCCAGCCTTGAAAGGAGTTACTCCAAATTTTATAAGGGAAATACAACACAGAAATGAAGGTGGAAATTTAATTAGAAAAATTTTTTAAGCTTTTATTTTTTAGTTTTCATTGAAATTCAAGATTTATTAGCTGAGGTGAATAATTTTCTAAACGAAAGCGCAAGTTTACAGTCGAACCTCATTATAAAATGCCTACCCACTAGATTAGCGAGGAGGTAAGGGGTGTTTAATTAATACCCCCAATTTAACATACCTCTCATTATAAGGCACAAGTGGTACACGGATCTCTAGGGAGTACAGTTCTATCTCGATCTGGATTAAGATAGCACGAAGGTGGTACAGTTAGAACCTCCCTCTAACCTCCCTCGGACCTCCACGGGTTCTTAAATCTGTTTGACTTTTGGCTGTAGGATATAGGTTATCTTAGCTTTACCCTCAATTTTAGATACCCTCACGTTTAAATAGGATACCGTAAATATCCTAATAGAAGCCCTGGGCTTGTATTTTTCAATATCTCCCATCGGGTGGGCTTATAATAGGGCATGGGCTTCTATTAGGATATTTACGGTATCTTCCTCGGCAATGGGGGATTTTATACTGGGATCTAATTATCTTTATAATGGATGCTTGACTGTAATAATACATGATTATTGATCAAAACTTCTATTATTTTCAAGTTCCCCGACCCCTCAACAAGAGCAATAATGGACATAAAAATAGGAACTAGAACATTTTTAGAATCTGAAGTAGCAAATAAACATAAAAGAGTTGATTTGTATAAAAAGATGATTGAATTGGCACCTAATGAACCTACTGACCAAGTAAATTATTGAAGGGATTTTTAGAGTTAAATTTTTAAAATTTTAAAGGAAAGACAAGACGAAGCAATTACAAAATTAAGGTACCTAATATTAAAATATACTACCTAGTCAGATCTCAGCCGCTTAAGTGATACCTTCACTCCTCCGTACACCTAAATTTTACGTGCCCGCTCAACTCATCTAATCCTTAACTCATCCACACGCCCAAAAACGCTCAACTCATCTAAACGGCTGAAATTCCTTAACTCATCCACACGGCCAAAAACGTTCAACTCATCCAATCCTCAACTCATCTAATCCTTAACTCATCCACACGGCCAAAAACGATCAACTCATCCAATCCTTAAAATATCGGGCCGGTTGAGTCCCGGCCGGTTGAGACTCAACTGGACATGAACTCAATTGACCAGTGACTCAACCGGCCATGGACTCAACTTGCCATGGACTCAACCGTCCATTGACTCAACTCAACTTGCCAGGGACTATGGACTCAACTGGTCATGGACATTGACTATGGACTCAACTGGTCATGGACTCAATTGACCAGGGACTCAACCGGCCAGAGACTCAACTGGCCCGATATTTTAAGTATTGGATGAGTTGAACGTTTTTGGCCGTGTGGATGAGTTAAGGATTAGATGAGTTGAGGATTGGATGAGTTGAGCGTTTTTGGCCGTGTGGATGAGTTAAGAGTTGGATGAGTTAAGGATTGGATGAGTTGTAGGGTAGCCAAATTTTATACTTACACTTTTTGTTCACAGAACTTAACTGAGAGATCCGACTGTAGTAAACCCATGATTTTTTAATTTTTATATTTAGATATATGCAGTTCCGTGAGAGGTAGAAAGAAATTTTTATTTTAATACTTAAAAAAATTTTTTTTGGGAAATTAATTGTCCGCAAAAAGTTTTTGCGGACAATCCGCAAATTTTTTACGGACAATCCGCAAAAATTTTTTAATTCTAAAATTTATTTCTTTTTCCTTTTAAAGAAAATCTTCATCAGCAACTCTAGGGTTTCGTATAGAAGCAGCTCAACTCCCTGGAGTCCCTATTCAAAAAAATTTTAAACAAGTCCGAACACGTTTACAAGTAAGAAGAGCACTCAGACATTTTTGTGGGACAGACAAAGTCTGTAAACAATTAGCTAAACGTTTGAGGCATATTCGAGATTCTGTTGAAGCTAGTTCTTTTTTTGCATGTCATGAGGTGATTTTTAAAAATTTTTTCGGAGGAGGAATCTGTGGGAAAATTATAAGGCTTCTGGGTCTATATTGCCTGGTTAGATCAGTTATCTTCGCAAAAACTTTATTTGAACGACGTCGATTATTTTTCCCTTAAATGAAATGAGATGTGCTTGGACTTCTTTACATTAATCTTTCGAGTCTCGTTCATTCGACACCCTTTTGTGCTGTAAAAAAATTCATTAAATGGGAGACGGAATAGAGAACCATCAAGGAACCATCAAGTTCTCAGAGGAGCCGAAGCTGGCCGAAGGCCGAAGCACAACTAAGGTTGAAGTTGTGCCAAGGCCGAAGCACAACCGAATGTGCCATAACCCTAAAATCTTTTTTTGAAATGCGGACGCAACACCCATTTTCCGTGGTCCTCCCAGTTTACTTCCCGTCCCACTTCCCTGTCCTAGTTTCAAAATTCTTATCTCTATTGACCATTCAAAGCCTCTAATTTAATCCCCCTTCATTTTTAGATTGTTGGATCGTCAGTATTATTAATTCATGATGGAGGCACTAATTCTAACAATAATAAAGAAATAAAAGTAGGGGCATGGCTCATCGACTTTGCAAAATGCCACAGAATTGAAGGAGGGGGAAGATTAACACATCGACGTCCTTGGGATTTGGGTAATCACGAGGATGGGTATTTAATTGGGTTGGATAATTTAATGGAATTGTTGGAAGGAAATGAAGAAGAGGAGGAAGGGAATGATGAAAATAATAATAATAATGAAGAGAGGATTAATTTAAAGTTTAAAGGAGAAAAGGAAATTAATGGAAAATAGCGAGGGGATTTTGACACAGATAACTCCAAAAATTTAAGATTAGATGGGGAAGGGTTGATATCGAACAGGGACGAGATCTAGTTCAAAAATTTAGTTGTAAAGATAGAAATTTCTCGAAATTTCGAATTCGAAGTTTCGATTTCGAAATTCTTCGAAATTTCGAGTTCAAAATATTTCGAAATTTCGTGTTCGAAGTATTTCGAAATTTTGATTTCGAGTTATTTCGAAATTTCGAGTTCATAATTTTTCTAAATTTTGATTTCGAAGCTTTTCCGAAATTTCGATTTCGAAGCTCTTCGAAATTTCGAGTTCGAAATATTTCGAAATTTCGATTTCGAAATTTCGAGTTCGGATCTTGATCTATCCCTTTGTCCTTTAACACCAATCCGTGTAACACAAGTTAGGAGAATTTACACTAATATCCTTGTCTTAATCAGCCCTCTTGGGAAGACCCCCCTCCCGTTTTTTCATTCACTTGTTTTAAAGTCTCTCCCCATTTGTTAATTTTTTTGACTTTATTTTAAAAATTTTGTTTAAATAGGCATTGAAGCTCCCTATAAACCCTTCCTGCAATTTTAATATATTTTTTAAATTTTATTTTTGATTTGTATTTCATTCACTTAATCTTTAGTTCAAATGCTTTTTCTTGCCTTTTTTGTATATTCATTGATATTTTTCACTTAATTTTTCTATTTTAGTATACTTATATTCTCGCTTTTTAATTCAAAAAAAAATAAATTTTTTAAAATTTTTATAAAGAAAATATCTCTAGACTAGCAAAATAAAACAAAATATCTGGGATGGGATATTAACACCAGAGATCCTACTAGAGATCGAGCTTGGCCTGGACCAAGGCCTGCGTTTTTCTGTACCCAGGATCCCAAGCTTTCTTGACCTTCTTGGAGTTTTCCTGGGCCTGGGTTTTTCCTGGACTACAGGCCCAGGATCCGACCCAGGTTAATAAATCAAACCCTGAGTCCAGGAACAGGCCAGGCTTTTCAAAAATCTCGATCTCTAGATCCTGCCGTCTCGAATTCCCGAAAATCGGGAGATCCAGATGCTTTTTGGAAAAGGAATCCGATTCCTAAAATCTCAAGTGATCACGTCAGCAGGATCCCTGATATAGATACAAAGCTATGTCGAAATTTCGTATTTCGTTTTTTCGAATTTAAATAAATTATTTTTAGTTTCGACACAGCTCGGGGGCATTCCAATATCCGCCATTTTCCAGACTAATGGCGCCATCTGTCAGAATTTTTGACAGTCCATCACCATATGTTGACAAATGGCAGATGTTGGAATACCCCCTTGGATTTGTGTTAATATTATTAATTTTTAATTAATATTAAAAATATTTTTTTTCTAAGTTCCGCCAGCAACAGAATCATAGCTGGCCCTGAAGAGTCTCTTATGCAATTGAAACTTAAAGAAATTTGGTCATAAAAATAATTTTTAAAAATCACCTTCCAAACAACACCGCTCAACAAAATAAGCAAAATAAGTAGAACAAAAACAGAAATTAGCCTAATAAAAAAATAATTTTGAAAAATCAGAAAAATATTTTTAGATTACGTGCTATTTGTAGATTCGTTTAGTTCTGGTCCGAATGTTGGCTAAAAATATAAAATAATATACATATTCTGTTTTGAAGAGAATATTTCAGTGTTTTAAACATCAAAAATCAGAATAAAAAATCAGAATTAAAACTCAGAATTAAAAATCAGAATTAAAAATCAGAATAAAAAATCAGAATTAAAAATCAGAATTAAAACTCAGAATAAAAAATCAGAATTAAAAATCAGAATTAAAAATCAGAATAAAAATTCAGAATTAAAACTTTACCAAAATTCTGATTTTATTTTTGTGTTTTTCTAATATTCTGATTTGTTTAAACTGTATTTTTAGTAAAATTCTGATTTTATAACTGTGTTTGTTCCCCTCTTTTAATAAATCAGAATTAGGGTTGTACCCCGAACGTTCGGGGGCGGGTATGTCGGGGTACGGGGTTTTCCAATTGTTTCGGGGCGGGGTTCGGGTCGGGGGAGCAAAATATGGCCGGGGTTCGGGTCGGGGTACGGGGGTTTAGTGGAAAAATTTTTAGAGAAAAAAATGCTCAAAAATAATTAGAAATCGATATATTTTCGTTGATTTATTCAAAAATTAAGTAGGATTTGGAGAAATTAGAGGGGATTTGAAGGGATTAAAGTGTATAACATGGGATATAAGTGGATCTGGAGGGATTAAGTGGGATCTTTAGGGATTAAATGGTATATCTAGGGATACAAGGTGATCTGGAGTGATTTTTGTTGGTTCAAGGGATATTAGTGATTTATAAGGATATTGATGTATTGCGGATAAGGGTATTTGCACGGATATCAGGAGATATCTTCGATAAATCATTAAATCTCCCACGAAATCCTTGTTAATTCCGTTATTCCTTTAACTCCCTTTAAAACTCCTTAATTCTTCGATATCCTACAAATCCCTTTATATCTCTGATTCCCGTTAACATGACCTCGATAGTTTACCAACTGTTATGGTTGAGAAGTGGTGATACAGAGGGTTTGAAGGATTAAGGGTGGTTCAAGGTATATCAGTTAAAAATAAAATTAATATTTTCAAATTAAAATTTAACTCGTTAATAATTTGTTTTTGTGAAAAAATATAAAAACAACGAAGTTATCCTTATATGGGTCCGAACCCAATCCTATATTAATGAAATATCGGCTAAAACCAACGACTAAGCCACTCAACCAAAAGTCTCTTAATAAAGAAGGAAAGAAAATTATGATATTTCATTCATTTTTCTTTCAAAAATAATAAAAGCCAAGTAAAATGGGTGGAAATTTTTTAAATTTTCTTCATTAATTTCTCCAAAAAATGACATTTTTTAGGGGATATAAACCCCGTAACCCCGAAACTTTTTGGGCCGGGGAACGGGGTTTTCACTTTTTTTCGGGGCGGGGTTCGGGTCGGGGAGAATCGTGAAAAAATCGTTCGGGAACGGGGTCGGGGTTCGGGGTACGGGGTCGGGGTACAACTCTAATCAGAATTAATAAAAACCAGAATTATACACATAATAAATAAATAAGGTATAAATCAGAATTTTGAAAACAGAATTATCAATCAGAATTCAATTCTGGTTTAAAATTCTGGTAAAAATTCTGATCAGAAATTCTGAATTAAATTTATTCTTCTCTACCTTTTCAATTATATAATGTTGCGCTTTCTCCTCCTTTGCTCCTTCCTTCCCTTCATTCTCTTCCTTTTCCTGTTCTTCCTTCTCTTCCTCCTCCTCCTCCTTATCCCAATCATCCTCTTTCATTTCTTCATTATTTTCTTCTTCCTCCTCTTCAGAAATTTTTTCTTCACTAGAACGACTTTTAGTCTTTTTCCTTCCTTTACTTCTTGCTCTATGCCTGGCAACAGCTTCCTTATCAAAGGTCTTTAAAAATAAAATTATCTGTCAGAAATAAGGTTGGAAGTTCTTGTGGAATCTGTGGACATCCCGAACAGGAACCGAACTTTGTATCCATGTAGTAGTGGAAATATTTCGGTGACGGGGAGGGACTAAGAAATAATTTATGAGAGGCAACGCCAGTTTATTAGATACTAAGCCATATTTCTTGCTTTATAGAGCCAAGGGCTAAAATTCTTTGATAATTTTGAAAGGCCAAGAAGTCAGATTTCTCGCATTTTTCCTATTCGGACATCTGGTCTTTTTCTGTTCGAGACCGGAAAAGATTGGTAGTCCACTAGATTGTGGGAGCTATTAGAGGATACCCTCTATTTAATAGACCTCATTATAAGGCAGTTTTTTTCTGCCCCAAGGGGTCTTATAATTAGGTCTCCTATAATGAGGTCTTACTGAAAAAAATTTTTTTACCCTAAAACAAGCTTCAACAAATAGCTTTTCTGAAGAAAAGCTAGCACATCCAGTAGGTGATAACTCTTCTGGAAGTACAGATTTATCAACAAATGAAGCACAGCCCATCTTAATTTTTTAAGTTTCAAAAAAATTTTTTCTTGTCTCCAACCGATCTATATTCTTTCATATTCCCAATTTCTGACCGAATTTCCACTTTAAAACAAAATTCCCCTGTGCATTTGGCATTACTTTTGCTAGTCATATTATGCCCCATTACATCAACGTGTACCATTGCTTCGCATCTGGAACGTTCTGGCACTCGAATTTTTGGCTTCTTCTGAAAATTTAATGAGGGAACTTTGGAAACCGAATACTAAAGTTCGTTCCTATCGAACTTTAGTACCCTGACTTAAGTTGGCTCGGGTTTTGAGCCCCTCTACTAATAGGAGGAGATTTCCTCCTCTACCCCTCTACTAATAGGAGGAGATTTCCTCCTCTACCCCTCTCCTAGAAGGAGATTTCCTCCTTCATCCTCTCGGAGGAGAGGTCCAATTTTATCCTCTCCCCCTCTGTTTTCGAGCTTGACTTCTCTTAGAGTGAGGGTTCTAATCTTACCCTCCTCCCTCTAAGCAGGATTCTTTCTGTCTCCAAAGAGCCCTACTAAATCCCCCTCTCCTCTAATAATAATTTAATAGTAGAAAAGACTGACAGCATTGCAGTTCTTGCCCTCACACACACAAGATTCAGTGTACAACAGTTCATCAGGTAGTTTAGATACTGAGCGATGCATAGCTCCCGTTATTGGCTATATTTTAGAAAATATTATTAAAAATATTTTTTGAATATTTTACTGGAATAGTGCATGCCCCAGCACTTCTTCGTTCAATTAACGGCACAGATGCATTCACGCAACCCTGCTCGGTTACACCTGTCTTGTGATTGACTACATAAGTGCATAATTCACCGACACACTTTGTTTTGTCTCTACAATGATCGCCCTTACAAACACATGTGTATCTGAATATGGAGATTAGATTTTTAAGAAGGATACCCCTTAGGGGTTTATAATCCCCCAACCTTATAATATTTAAGGGATACCTTAAAGAGGGATATCGCTTAAATAGAGGTCCGGATCCCTTCGGATCTCCGGACTTTTTCGGATATCCAAGAATACGGAACCACCAACCCTAGCTAGACTGAATAGGAAGCTTACAATGGCACTTTTTCTGTTTCGAGCTTTTCAGCAACACTATTTTTATTGCAATAATCTCGATTTTTGCAGAAACATGCGAATGGTTTGTCTGCAGAAAGCTGTAAAGATTAATTTTAAATTTTCTTTAAAAAATTCCATCTTCACCTCCTCTTCCCCTTCTCCATCGCCAACAACTTCACAGTGCGAACGAAGATCACTTCTTATCATTTTACCGCCTAAACAGCCTTTTACTATCACTGGTTCGCCCCATACTGACGTTCCCCATCGAGGCTCATAACGAGACTAGAAAATAGAAACAGAATCAGAATTTTAATTAGAATATTTATAAATTTTAATCATTAGGGAGGACTTTTTATTAGAATGGCAAGGTTATTAAATAGACTCAGACTTTAGCTAAAGGGGGCTGAAAAGGAAGGGGTTAAAAAAGAAGGGTAATAAGGGATATCTTAATAAGGGATATCTCGTAGGATCCCCTCCTTTACCCAACGACGACCAAATCTAGAAAATGAGGTTCGATTCTCTCTAATGAACTCCAGAATAAGGTTGACGGATCCGGATACCGGATCCAAAGAAAGGCCGTATATCTAGAAATTTTCGGTCCGGATACCGGAACAAGATATCCAAAACTTTCCAAGTATCCGCCAGCCTTACTCCAGACCCTCCACTAGGGCTGAAAATCGTAGCAGCCCCCTTCATCATTCATTGTGAGCGCAGATCACCTCTTATCACTCATGGTCTATTAAAATAGGGGATAATTAGGTCTCGATTGTATTCAGATCCCTTGAGGACTTAAAATTAAGTTCAACAATTTTATATTTCCCAAACACTCACTCACAATCATACAATAGTCGCCTTTACATTTAGATCCCATACAATCCCTGCCTACACAATCAAAGCATGTTAAGGCTGCCAAAGAACCATTTGGAATTAAATTGATAATCAATAGAAATGGAATAATTTGAAGTAAATAATTAAATAGGCAGTAAAATGAAGTAAAATGGTGACGGTTGTTATAGACAATAATGGATATCATTTTAATTAAATAAAGCTGGAAATAAATGGGGTTTAAAATTAAGAGAGTTTCAAGCCTTTCACTGCTGTTTAAAATGCCAGACTTGCCATTTTTATGAGAACTGAGTTCAATTCCTAATAGTAAATCAGTAAATCGAACTAGACTTGACTTGGAATTGACCTGGAATCAGGTAGGTTAACTAAGGGATGTTAGCAACTCATTCTTATACTCATCCACTTTGGCAAACCTCGACAGACCCTAGGATATAACAGGATTTCTGTGCTTCTTGTACTAGGGAACTAAGAAATTGTGATGTTCGGGTATCCCGATCCCAACTCGGGAAATTTTCCTGAGTTTTTGGCCCTCCGGTTTCGTCGTCAATTCCCGAACTGACTCCCAATTCCCGAGTTTATTATTCTCCCGAATATCACTACTAAGAAACGTATAACTCTAGTTCGGTTGACAACAGTCCTGGTCTAGCCTACATACAGATATGTAAGCCATGACTAACGAAGTAATCCTTCAAGTCTGTAGGATTATAGTCATCCTCTACTACTAAAAGTGCAATAAAAGCCTTTAAGACTAACTTAATCTCTTGAAATAAATTTCGAAATATTTTAATTTTATTATAATTTATCCTCAATATCCCAACGGGGAGCCTCTCATTATAAATAAAAAATAAATATGAATGGCATAGACTGGTAATAAATAAAATAATGGCTTCGATGTTTTGCTTAAGTGCATATATATTATTTCGTAATACGTAGATAGTTAAGGGAAAAATAAGGAACGTAGGCACTAACGGTGTTTGAAAAATGACAAACCCAAAGTGGCATAAACCAGTGTTAGAGTAACCAAGCAAACTTTTGACGTGGGAATGGCACGAGCAATGAAGTGTGGTTAAAATTGTGGAAGAAAATAATACGAGGAAGAAATGAAGTGGAGGAAATTAAAATTTTAATAAAAGGCGATTTAAAAATATTTTTTAGTTTGTTTAGGTTAACGATAGAAAATTTTGTGCATAAAATTCGAACGCCTCCTCATTATTTGATACACCCTTGGGGTTGGAAAATTCATACCTTATAATGATTGGAGGGTAATGAAAGTAATGGAGAGTATGGAGGTAATGGAGGGTAAAATGGAGGGTAAAATAGAGGGTAAAGCTTAGAAAGTTCCAACGCTCAGTAGCCAATCTAATTTAAAATAAAACGTATTTTAAATTGGGGTATCTAGTATTGGGTGTATCTTATAGCGAGGTCTATTATACAGAGGTGTATGATCTTATAGTGAAGTGTGCTAAAATTAAGTTTGATTATGAGCTCTTCAGCGGGTAATCAAGGTTTGAAAAATATACCTCAAAATTGAGGGTGTCTTATAATGAAGTCTATTATATAGAGGTAGATCCTGTAGGCGTGGGGAAACAGGATTTTCTTAAACGTTTCTAGTGCCAATCCCAATTTTCTCATAAAAATAAAAAAATTTTAAAGTAAAATACCAAATAAGGCCAATCCCAAAAAGGAGTGTATATATCCCCAAAATTGAGGTAAAAATGGGGAAAACTGCCACCCGTGAAAAGCAAAAAAAAAGAATTTATAGATTTTTTCCTCTCTCGAAGTTTCCTTTTTTGCTTTTTTACTAAGCGGTTGGCACTTTGCTTCAGAGAGAGAAAGCATTTTAGCTCTGTATTGTTATAGTGGCTAAGTATATGGCAAAAAGCATGCTTTATCTATCTCTATCGACTTTGAAAAATAAATGGAAAGTGGAGAGGACGTGCTAGAAAAGGAATATATTATGGCAAAAAAAGTATTTTGCGTTCATACAGTCGTGGAAAAAAGTATGGAAGCGCTAGAAAATTTTTTCTCAATTCTTAATTTTTCATTCAAAAAATACGTTCTATATACTAATCGAAAGCTCTATTCGTATCTCAGTTGACATGTTTCTGCATTTTTCATGAAAATGAAAATTGGCCGAGATAATCCGGATCTACCGGATATACCAAATCCCACTTTTTCGGAAAAATTTTTCGGAACAAATTTAACAAACCCTTTTGATAAAGCATATTTTTCTGAGTATTTTCCACAAAACCGCTTAGAAATATCTTTTTCCGGACCATAGATATGATTTTTTGAAAATCGCATTTTTCGTCAATTTTTGCAAAAAATTCAATTTTTAAGGGAAAAATGCGATTTTCAAAAAATCATATCTATGGTCCGGAAAAAGATATTTCTAAGCGGTTTTGTGGAAAATACTCAGAAAAATATGCTTTATCAAAAGGGTTTGTTAAATTTGTTCCGAAAAATTTTTCCGAAAAAGTGGGATTTGGTATATCCGGTAGATCCGGATTATCTCGGCCAATTTTCATTTTCATGAAAAATGCAGAAACATGTCAACTGAGATACGAATAGAGCTTTCGATTAGTATATAGAACGTATTTTTTGAATAAAAAATTAAGAATTGAGAAAAAATTTTCTAGCGCTTCCATACTTTTTTCCACGACTGTATTTCATAAAATAACAAAAATATTGGAAAAATATGAATATTTTTGGCTTTTTAAAAATATTTTCAATTAATCTTTAAGAGGTTGAAATTAACGGTTAAATTTTAAAAGGAGTTTAAGTAAAGCTTAAGGCCTCCAGGCAGGAACCGAAGGACCTAGAACTCTCTAGCAGTGGATAAACAAAAAATGAAAGCATTAAGTTAGGGCCTCCAGGCAGGAATCAACCTAGGACCTTTTGGCAGTGGATAAGGTACAAAAAATGAAAGCAGGGCCTTCAGTCAGGAATCAACTTAGGACTCTCTATGGTAGTGGATAAGGTACAAAAAATGACAGAGCATTATTAAGTCGATGACTACCTAAGACCTCCCTCCGAAGACCTCCTTAGGCCATAAATCATTCATTCGGAGAACTTTTCAGGATCAATCTCCAACAAGCTTTTCTTGTTAATTTCTATGATGAATTTTGGGTGCCTTACTTTTAATTTTTGAACCTTCTTTTAGTTAACAAAATTTTGTGTTTAAGCAAATACTTAAAAATAATGTTCCTCCAAACATTTTTATATACCCTAATTATTTATTTTTGTTTGTACAACTATTACACAATCTCTCAAATAAATCTAAAGTAAATCTGAAAAAAGCTGATTAGCAAACAAAACTAAAAAAATACGTTTAAACTGAAAAAAATTACTTGTACTATTTTTAGTCAAGATTTATTAAAATAAAATTTTTGAGGTAGCAAATTAAATTCTAAAATTAAATTTTAAAAAATTCTAAAAAATTTTCTAAAAAATTCTACTTAATTAAGGCATCTAAAAATTATTTAAGAAAAATTTCTATAAGGCAAGGAACCTCAATAAAAAATTAATTTTAAGTGAAAAATTAAAAAAATGGAGCTTAAAATCTCTTAAATTCTAATATTTTTTCTATTTTTATTTTCTAAAAATTCATTTCAATTTTTTTCTTTTTTTACATTTTTGTTGGTGGAAGCACTGAAGCAGCAAAATTTGGCAAAACAAATGAGGCACTATGCATTTGACTGTTATAAAATTGTAAACCCATAGCTTTACATTGCTCGTTGTTAAGTGAACGTTGAGGAATACGCAAATCTTTCTTCTAAAAAAATATTTTTTTAATTAAAAAAATTCCTTCTCATTAATAAACCCTTCGCCCTTACGTCAAAAATTGTTTTTGCGTAAATATAAAAAAAGGGAGAGGAAAATAGAAGACGTCTTTCCATCACTTTTTGTTATTGTTCGTCTATTGGCCGGATGGCTCAGTCGGTTAGGAAGCAGAACGACATATCGTTCCTTTTGAGTTCGATTCCTTGCGCCAGCATGCCTACCCACCCAGGCCGTGTACTTTTTGTGTTTTTAATTGTCACTTTTTTTAAATATTTACGACGATTTAAAAGAATCATTTTTGTACACTTTTTGAAAATTCTTAATCCTTCACCTAAACATAAAATTAATTTCTCAACGGTCGCATGGGGCAAACTCGGTTATGAGTCGGATTAAGAATTCTGCTCAGTTCCAATTCGATTTTTCTAGCGCCATTATCCACCCACCAGCGATCGAAAAACCCTTTTTATCATCACTTTTTCAACTATTTCGGAACAGGAAGAAAGCTTATAATTGTTGGGAAGTATCTAGACTTATCGATCCTGCTCTGGGTAATTCGGCTCAACGAGTTACCCGCAAGAGGAAAATTTCCAAATTAGTAAAAATTCACACCTGTTTTCCAGCAATTAAATAGCCAATACAACCAGACGGATATGTTGGAACACTTGAAGAAGCATATGCCACAGAAGGAAATATTTTCTGTACACATTCAACAAGTTTGGTGATTAAAGGTAAATGAAGCCAAATACTTTCTGCTTGGCTAGAGAGAACACCATCATCGCGTAGAGCATTAAATACAAGCCTAAAAATAAATTTATTAAAATTATTAATGTAAAAAATGAATTAAGGATGAATCCTTTAAGATTATAAATTTAAATTAGATTTTTCCGCAAAAAATTTTTTTTGTCCGCAATTCTTTTGCGGACAAAAAAATTTTGTCCGCAAATGTTGGCAAGTCAATTTAAATTCTGAAAAACCCCGAAAAAATATTTTTTTAAATAAAATGAATAAAAAAAATTTTTACTCGTAATAAGCACTTCCAAACAAACTTTCTGCTGGGCCTAAAAAAATAAAAATTAATGGTTTTGAAAAAAAAATTAATTCTGCACAGATTCCCTAGCATCATGAAAAAAGGTTAAAGGCAAACGAGACTAAAAACGTCACAAAAAAACAAAGCGTGAGAAGAGAAAGAGTTTCTGTTTCTTTTTAAATAATTTTTGCTGTGGCATTTTTGGTGGTCGTATAGCGCAGACGGTTAAGTTTCGGACCATTAACGAAGCAGGCTCTAGGTTCGATTACTGGCGCTTTCTCGTTAACCAAACCGCGGCCACGAATTTTTTAATTTTCAACAACATACAAAAGAAAATTTTTTAGAAACAGACCCTTCGTTTTCTCAACCCGTTTTCCAGAACCACTGACCTATTAGTTACTATTAGTTCGTGTAGGCTCAGAGGTTCGATAACTGGCGCTTTCTCGTAAACTGACCCCGGCCACGAATTTTTTTAACTTTCAAAAACATAAAAAAAAATTTTTTTTTGAGAACCCGACCCTGTGGGTACCCAAAAACCTGCGTTCCCAAAAACCCCGACCCTGCGTTTTTTGAGAACCCGACCCTACCACTAACCTAGCATAATTTAAAAAATATTAAAAAATTCAAAAAAACCTATAGGATCTGAAGAATCAGTAATAATAACATCAAATTGGTTTTTGCGTTGACGTAAAAATTCAAAACCATCGCCAATATGTAACTCCAATTTTGGAGAATTGAAAGATGAGGAAAGACCGTGGAGATATTCTTTTGCTACATTGACAACCATTTCATCAATTTCACTAAAAAAATTTTTTTCGATTTTCTGAAAGATTCTCAAGTTTATGAAAAAAAAATGCAAAAATCAAAAAAATTTTATTGTAAATTAATTTTAGCTTCCGCATAAAAGTCCGCAACTTTTATCCGCAAATAATAACATCTCTTAAGATCAGATAAGTATACGTAATATTTTTACGAAATCAAAACTATTATCAGGTCGTTTCATAAAGTTTAGAAAGTAAATTCATTCAGAAAAACAAAAAATTTTTGCGGACAAAAATTTTCGTCCGCAAAAAAAACTTGCGAACAAAAAATTTTTTACGGATAAAAAAATTTTTGCGGACAAAAATTGCGGATTTTTGCGGCATCCATGAAAATACTCGTATAAAATTTTTTTTGAATTTCCTACTTACAAAACCACTATTATTTTTAAACAAAAACTAACCACATAACTACATGTTCAACACTTGCATGTTTGAGAACTTCACGTAAAATACCTCCATCTCCCCCGCCAATAATTAAAACCTAAAAATTTAAATTTTATTCAAAAAAAAATTTAACAAACGTTTTTTGGATTTGGATGGGAAAACATTGGTAAATGTGCAAGCATTTCTTGATAGGCAAATTCATCTCGATCTGTTGTTTGTATAACTCCATCGAGGACGAGAACGTTACCAAAGGTTTTGCTGAAAAAAATTTTTGAGAAAAAGGCTGATTGAATACCAAAGGCAAACCGAAAAGAGGAAAAGTCCGCAAAATTAGGAAAAGTCCGCAAAATGAAAAAAAATCCGCAAAAAGAGGAAAGTCCGCAAAATGAGAAAAAGTCCGCAAAAAGAGGAAAAGTCCGCAAAATTAGGAAAAGTCCGCAAAAAGAGGAAAAGTCCGCAAAAAGAGGAAAAGTCCGCAAAAAGAGGAAAGTCCGCAAAATGAGGAAAAGCACAAATTTAGGAAAAATCCGCAAAGTATAACAACCCAAAGAGAGAAACTGGTAAATAAACGGACAATCCCAGACCCAATGTCCGTAGATAACTTATCCTAAAGTTCGACTGTACCCAACTACTTTATCAATCAAACACATCCCTGCCCGTAGATCCTAAATTGAAACAACCATAGATCTAATAGACCCGAAAACTCCTCCAAAAAAAATTAAAAAGGGGAAAATAAACGCTACTACCAACGTCCGACTAATTAGTTTACCCTACCACCACCCCTAATAAACGAATAGAACCCCAAAAAGAAAAACCTTTTCAAAACCAGAACGTCCTGATATTTTGATTTTTGATGAAACAAAACTTTGTCAATATCCAAAGAGAATGCCTGCCCAGTCCAAGCACCAGACATCTCCTGCCCGTCCAAATGCATCATTTTAGTACCACCATCAGAGCCAGCAATACGATCAGCATCATCTGGAGAAAATTCTGTAAACCATCCTTTATGTAGAGAATCCATCTAATTTTGTCTGCAAGATTAGAAAAAAAAATTATTTTTAATTGAAAAACGCGAATTTAATCTCGTGACAAAAAAATCCTTTTAACGGGACACGCCCAACTAGGCGCGGGCCATTACGGCGCAAAGCCATAACTTACTTCGAGATTTCCTAATTTTATCAAATTTACTACTAAACGAGTCCTCTCATCGAGATAAAAAGATTGGTACCAAAATTGACAAGGGCCAGACATATTCCAGCAAGTTATGGCTTTGCGCCGTTTTGGGCTGTACCGCTTTATGACAATTTGCTTGTTTTGTCGTTACTTGACATTTTGTCTTTTGGTATTTTGTATTTTCAATCTTTATATTCTCTGTCTTCCCTGTTGTATTTTTCAATTATTTCTCTCTAATCCTCTCTTATTTTTCTCTAACTATTCCAAATAGTATATTTATAATGCCTATTGACAAAACGTCCAGAAAGACAAATTCGTACAAATTGTAGAGGAGAAGAGAAAAGTGTTTCTCTTTTAATAATTTTATCTTTGAGGAGTCATTAGTGGTCGCATAGCGCAATCGGTTAAGTTTCGGACCATTAACGATGCCGGCTCAAGGTTCGATTACTAGCGCTTTGCTGTTAACTGACCCGCGGCCATTTATTTTTGGAATTTTTAGGCAACAATCATTTTTTGCTGTTTTCTCCTCCCTTGCCTTTCTTTCCTTTGATTAGTTGACAGCTTGGCGCATCTACATTTTGGACCATAGGACCTTTATGTGCATGTACTAGTCCAACTGAATATTGGTTAATTTTGAGTTGTTTTTTGCCCGTAGACTGCTAATGAACGCTGGGACTTTTTTCACAAGGATCATCATTTCTAAGCATTAAATGACCCCTCCGAAGCAGGGGGCCGGTCCCATGTACAAAACGGCACATGGACACTCCAAAATTTCGTCTCATGGTCACCAGCGCACTGCCTCCGCACAAACACTATTGGACAGCCACCGAAGCGCACTGAGACCAATAGTGCTGCCAGAACGCACAGCCACTGATGTCTATCTACCAGTAGTGTCCACTGGTCGTAGCCACCGAAGCGCACTGACAACCAGCTTTCTTCTATTGTAGATAGTCCGCCTGTAGCGGTCCATGGATGATATGAGGGAGAATCCCAAAAATAAAAGATTCGAACATAAGTAATTCTTAGACGGTTAATAGAAAGGGTATAGAGAACACTAATTATTCTTGCATTTATTCTTGCATTCCTTTTCTCTTTTTTTTCTTCCCTCCTCTACTTTTCTTCTCTCCTTACCTTTACTAATTTTTATAATTTTTCATAATAACAACTCGCTGAAATAATTAAAATACCTACAGCGCGTTGTATTTAAAAATGGTCAGAAGAGGGTAGTTTTGCAAATTGTCGAAGGGACTTATAAATATAAGGAAAGAATTAAATAAATTTATTAATAGAAAAAATGGTGCAGTTTCTCAAAAATCTCCACGTCTTCATCAAAATTGTCTCGAATATTTAACTATGGAAAAATTGAATTTTATTTATTTTGGAAATTTTTAGAAATCGGTTGGGTCTAAATCCAGGAATAGAAATCAGACAGGCTGACTGATATCTCTCCGATTTTCTCCGATTTTTAAATAATTTTTAGAAGCAGCTTCTGCTCTCTAAGAGCTTCTGCTCGGTAATTATAAGGCTGGTCCCCCCCTTTTTTTCTGTGCCCCTGACCATTTTGAGATTTTTTTCTTGAAATATAATTTACAATATATTATTCGAAAGAGCTGTTCGAGCTGAGTAGAATGATACTATGATCGGATGGATTTGTCGATTTTGAACCAAATTATGAAGCTAAATCCTCGGTGGACATGCTTTTTGTGATGTTGAAAGGGATTAAAACAAATGGTTATAACTATGTTTATTTAAGTCGGATTTCGAGGAATTTAGTACCATTCGACTCAGCTTGAAGAGCTCTTTCGAACGATATATAATTTGCCATAAAAAGTTTAAAAAATCGAAAAAAATAAAAAGGAAAATAAGGGGGGGGACCAGCCTTGGAATTACCTTCTGCTCTCCAAGTACAGGAGCTCTACTGCTGGGGCATTTTCACCTTTAATTTTAAATAGACCCCTGCTTACCATCTTAAATGCTAGTCAACTTGCTCTCCTTTCCCCCAAACAAAGCAAAAGCCTTTGATTTTCCTCTATTCAATTATCTCCTTAAACATAATAAACAAAATCTTTTTATAAAATTATTCCCCTCAGCATGCTTTACGTAATAGTACAAAGCTTTAATTTGTTGAATGGACTGCTCTCAGTGTGTGATTTTTGTTGAAGAGTGATTTTTATTTTTATGGATTTATTTAAAAATTATTCTTCTTTCCTCCCTTAACTATTCCAAAAGATATTCTTAAAAATAAAATTAGAGTCATTTCTCACATTCATTTAAAGCCTTTTACAAATGTCCGCAAAAATTTTGTCCGCAAAAATTTGTCCGCAAAAAATTGTCCGCAAAAATTTGTCCGCAAAAAATTTGTCCGCAGAAATTTGTCCACAAAAATATGTCCGCAAATATTGCCAAAGTACAGTAGCAAGTAAGGTTGTGCCTGTGTCCATTTCCCGTCCCCTAAAGTCGATTCCCGCCCTCCTCTTTCGTTTTTTTTCGTTCTCATCTCCCTTCCCCCGTAGGGAAACAACAAAAAAAAGTTTGCGGAAAGTCCGCAAGAAATATCAGATTCCTATGAAGATTCATAAAAAATCTTTATCCGCAAAAATCTGTCCGCAAAAATTTTGTCCGCAACTATTTCTGTCCGCAACAATTTTTGCCAGAATACAGTATCAAGAAGAAAATCTTGCGGAAATGTCCGCAAGAATTCCATTTTTAGCAATTTCATGCCTACAAAAATTTCTCAAAAATTTTTAGTAAAAAATTTTCCTGGAAAAATTCCAGAAAATTTTCCAAAAATCTTAAGGTACTAAATAATTTTAAAAATTAATTTTAAAATTAAATATAAATCAGAAAATTTAACTTTTTCTACTAGTTTTTATTACGTTATGTTGTTGTGTTGATTTATTCTCGTCTGCTTAATTGATATAAATAAACTGACCCAATTACGCCCTAAAATCGTTACTTAATCAAATCAAGGCTTTCACTTTTATTTTTAATTTTCGATTAAAAATGTTAAAAATTTATTTATTAATTAATTTATTAATTATTTTAATTTCTTCTACTCCTTTAAAAATTAAACAAAAAAATAATTTTTTAATTAATGAGAAAGATGCCTACAAAGTTTTTCGAATTTATGCAAAAAGTTGGGAGGATGTTGAAGCTGTGGGGAAATTGAGAAAAATTGCTGAAGAGAGTCAGGAAGTGAGAGAAAAAATTTTGGAAATTTATAAAAATTTTTTAGAAATTAAAAAAATTTTGGACAAATTTAAAAAAAATTTTTGTCCGCAAAAAATTTGCGGACAAAAATTTTGTCCGCAAAAATTTTGCGGACAAAAAAAATTTTTCTTAATTTTTTTTTTGAAATTTTTTAAAAAATTTTTTCAATTTTTTTTTTACTATAAAATCAGAAATCAAAATTTCTGAAAAAATTTTCACTGAAAGAAAAAATTTTTCCCTAGCTTGACTTCTGGCTAGATTCTTCAGTTCAGCCTGGCCAATTTTCCGATGTAATGGTATCCCCTTCTGGGATGATAATTTTTGAACAATTTTTGGAAGAACATCCTTCACTTAATTTTGAAATAACTATTGAGGATGTTCAAAAGTTTGGAAAAAAATTTTTTTTAATTAAAAAAATTTTTTTAAGTTTAATAATTAAAAATGAGCTTCACCCAAAGCTTGAATGGAGAAAAAGAAAAAAATTAAAAAAAAGTGGAAGGCAAAGTTTGGAGTATTCTAGTGATGAAGAAAATGAGGAAGAGTTAAATTTACATCGTAAAAGAAGAAGTGATGTACCTAATAAATTTGGTAAAAAAATTTTTTGAAAAAATTTTTGTCCGCAAAAATTTTTGCGGACAAAGTATTTTCGACTAAAAAGTAAAAACATTCTGGTCGCCACGGGTAGACAATCCTTTAACGCATTACGTATTCAACTCAAACGAAACTGGTAAACTGAAAACAAATAGTTTCGTAGTTGTAATCGTAACCAATTGCGCCACACGACCACTGAAGGATAATGAGAGAAAATTATTCAACTCATGAAACATAGTAGAGGAAAAATAAGAAAATATCAAAGGCTTGTGAATAAAAAATTATTTAGAAATAATCAGAAAAATCTTAATCAGTTGTTAATTATTTATGCTGATTTATTCAAGTCCCTAAATTGTTCGCTACAAAATTGTTTCTAAATTTTGTCCGTAAAGACTGTCCGCAAAATTTTTAGGCGAAAATTTGCAACAATGTACAGTATTCTTTTATCTCTCTTACTTTCTATAGGCAATTAATCTGCACTAAAAACAGTTATAATTTCAGAACAACTTCGAGGTGTTCAATACCCTTTTGGTGAATATACAAATTACAATGAAATGGTACTCTAATTAAAAATAATTAAAATTCCAAAAAATCAAAATTTGCCTATTTTTATAGGTCCGATATATGCGTACGTTAGAATTTTATTATCCCCATTTGGTCCAATTACTTCAAATTGGAACAACACATGAAGGTCGTTCTATCGAGGGTGTTAAGGTGTGTGTGTTTTAATTAAAAAAATTTTTTATGACATGTGGTGTAGCTGGTAGTGTTTGTGTCCGTAGGGGTAAGGGGTCGTGGGTTCAAACCCGTTTGGTGGTCATTAATTTTTATATCGTTTTCTAAGTCATACTATCGAGGGTGTCAAGGTGTTTTGTTTTAATAAAAAAATTTCCCTTAATCATGTGGTGTAGTTGGTAGTGTTTGTGTCTGTAGGGGTAAGGGGTCGTGGGTTCGAACCCGTTTGGTGGTCATTAATTTTTATTTTAGTTTTCTTTATTTTTCAAGTGTTATTTTGACTTTATTCTTGTTCTAAAAAAATTTCCCAGCAGTATATCCTCTCCATCTATCCGGTCTCTTGCTTAGAATCGCTTAGAATTTACCTTAGATTATTTATAGATAGGCATTGATATTAATCCATCAGCTTCTGATTTTGAACAAAATCATAACGAATTTGTAAATAAAACGCAAAAAAGGCAAAAACGAGCTTTTTGGATTGGTTGGTTAATTTAATATTTCTTCATAAATTTTTAATCAACAGATGGAAATATGCATGCTCGTGAATGGGCATCTAGCCATACTGCTTTATTTATTGTAAAAATAATTTTCTTATTAAAAAATTTTTCGTGAAAATTTTTTTTGAAATTTTTAAAAATTTTATATAGAGTCAGACCTCGCTATAAAATACCTCCAATATTATATTCACCTCTATTTAGGATACATTTTTAAAAATTTGGTTGATCCTCTTTATTGGTGAGCAACTTTATTCTATACCCTCAATTTAATAGACACCTTATTATAAGCCCCAAAGGAGTTCTCATACCCTCGATTTAATAGACACCTTATTATAAGCCCCAAAGCAGTTCTCATACCCTCGATTTAATAGACACCTTATTATAAGCCCCAAAGGAGTTCTCATACCCTCGATTTAATAGACACCCATTATAAGCTACAATTTTTTTGTGCCCCAAGGGAGTCTCTTATAGTGAGGTTCTCAACATTATTATTAAATTTTTCGTACATTTTTTTCAATGTTATAGATCAACCAATTAATAGCTTCTTATGGTAAAGACACCTTTTTAACCAAAGCGCTCGAACAAATTGACTTTTACATCGTTCCCTGCGCAAACCCTGATGGTTTTGAATTTTCTAGATCTTCTATAAACCCTAAAGTTTGTCGGAAATTTTAAAAATTCTTTAAAAATTTTTTTTCGATTCGTTTGTGGAGGAAAAATCGATCACCAGAACAATGCACCAGAACATGGAATGGTCTATTGTGTTGTAGAGGTGTTGATTTAAATAGGTTTGGGAAGCTTTATAGGGCTTGGATTAGACTCTTATTTTTCTTAAATTTAAAGGAATTTTGATTTTCATTGGGCAGAGACTGGTTCTTCTTTAAATGCTTGTTCCAACCTTTATTCAGGAAAGAGGGCTTTTAGTGAGCCTGAATCTAGAGCACTTGCTGAATTTTTAAAGAATAATAATGAGGAGGAAGGAGAAAGAGTGTTTTATGCTTTTGTGAGTTTTTTCTAAAAATATGAGTTAGGTTGAGGAGGTTTATATGGAAGGGGTGATATAGTGAATAATGGAAAGCAACTTTGACCGCTTCCTCACATAAAAATGATTCACAGGATATCCTGCCTCGCGTTCAAGTCGTCTCGGTCTTTTCGAAGAAAGACAGTCGATTATATCTAGAAAGGGTTTATATGGGGGATGTGAAAGTATACTGGATAGAGAGAAACAATCACCTCCTTCCCATTCATAAAAGATTCCCAATATATCGTTTTGGGCACAGGCCATAGTTTCAAATACCCAAAAAAGTCCAACGTTGCCTAACTTGCCAGATCGGACGGAAAGCTTAAAATTAGGTAGAATCAGCCTGAATCCTTTGGAGCCCTTTATCCCCTTAAAGTACAAGTCTGCCGTGACAGGACTTGAACTAAGGACCTGGGGCTATCCTACAACAATTTAGAAATAGTAATATCCTTCTACTTAAAGATGACTTTACATACATATGCCCAAATGTGGATACACCCATTTTCTCATGAATACCATACTTACCCTTCTGATGCCGAGGATTTAAAGAATGTAGCTTTGCGGGCTACAGAACGTTTAGAACAAATTTATGGCACTCATTATAGAATTGGAACTGGGGCTGATTTACTTGGTAAAAAATCACCATTTGACATAAATTATTGTTTATTAAGCACCAGCTTCCGGAGGGTCTGATGATTGGGCTAAAGAAACTCTTGGAATTAAATATGTTTATTTGGTGGAGTTAAGGCCTAAATTGGAATGTTAGTTCATAATTTAATAAAGCACAGTAGGCACTCACAGATAGACCCTTAGGACGAGAAATCGTATTTTATGTGAGGGATGAGTGAGGGAGCTACTGACCCAGTGAGCAACTTTTTTAAAGCCCGTCTATTAAATAGAGGTGTTTATTATCGGATGTATCCTATAGTGTGATCCGATCATTTTATATTTCAGTATCTAATGGTTTCATTCTCAACCAGGTAAAAATACTCATAGATTATTAAAAAATAAAAACAGGATGAACTGATTCCTACAGCTATCGAAACGTTTGAAGCAATTAAAGAAGTGATTCGAGCTGTCATGTCTGAGCCTGAGTCTTTTGAGATGAGAAATACAACAGACACGAGTACTGGTATGGCTAACGTAACTCTGAAGTTGGATGATGATGAGGAAGGGAAGATTAATTCGACCGGTTTCACCAACGACTTCAAGCAGTACACGGTGAACAACAGCAGTACTGGGGAACAGTTTGAGTCAACCCTCTTCGAAACTTCGTCTTTCGGAATGACTGAGAATCAGACTGAGACAATTACAACACCTTTAAAAGATATGGAAAAAATCAAGGAGTCCGAGCAGTACACGCAACACACCACAGAATCTTTTGATTTTCTTATCGGAATTGGGGAAGAAAAAGTCAACGTGTCATCTTTCTCTTTATCCCCTCAATTTCTCTTCCCACTTTTCACAATTCCAAAAATTCAAACAATTCCGATCGGTTCTGGTTTTGGAGATGAACAAAAAAGAGAGGAACCTGATCTTCCAACAACTAGTTTTCTGACATCAACAAATTCCCTCCTCTCTAAAGATCAACTAGAAAGCATAGAAACGACTGAAACAACTAGCAGTGAAAATATCGAAGCAACTTCTTCAAGCAGTACAGATAGTAGCAGTACTCCACGGACTTCTAGCAGTACTTCACAGACTTCTAGCAGTACTCCACAAACTTCTAGTAGTGTAATAACCGATGAGACAACATCCTCAGAGATTGTAATAAATTTAGAGGAAGACCCCACTAGCACAACAACTTCAAGTAGTACAACAACTTCGAGCAGTGAACCAACAACTTCGAGCAGTACAACAACTTCGAGCAGTACAACAATATCGGAAATGTCAGAATCTACAACATCAAGATTAAGCAGTAGAATAAAAACAACAACAAATAGAACAACGTTTTCGAGCAGTACACCAACTAGTTCAAGCAGTACAAGCAGAACAACTTCAACTTTTGCTACAATACCTATCCCACCTATCCCAATATCAAAACAGTATACTCCTGTAAAATTTGTAGCATTTGATAAAGAGAAAATTGAATTGAAACCTTTAAATGACCTCAAGAAGTACCAAAATAGCAGGTCCTCAACGAACTCAGTTAATTTCCCAATTTTTGATAATGATGTAGAATTGGCAATAGAAAATGATAAAGACAGCGGAGAGAACGGGAAAATTACAACTAAAACAAGCGAGAAAACTGACAAGTTGTTGGAACAGGAAACAGAACAAAACGAGAAGTTGAAGCAGTACAACAACACACAAACGGGGAAAACTACTGAAAACGTTCTTGAGACAACTAGTACGAGAAGTTCAGCAACTACAGTTCCTTCTGTATCAGAAATGGTTAATAATACAACAGCAAAATTGCCACATCTTTGGATGAAAACACAAAAAATATTTACTTTGCCATGGGTTCAAACAAGGCGTTTGTCTCTTGCAAAGTGTAAGTCTAAATTTTTTTTGGAAAAATTTTTAGAAAAATTTTTTTTGAAAATTTTTTAGAATTTTTTTTGAAAATTTTTTGAAAAATTTTTTTGAAAAATTTTTTTAAGTGCTAAGAATTCAAAAAATTCCTACACTAACCACAACTCCTTTAAATACAACAACTACTACTACAACAACACCAACCTCAACCAGCACTAAATTACCCAATAATATCACTCCCACAACTAAATTAGCTACAATGTTGTTTACTGCAGTTGATCAAGTTGAAGAAAAAAGTGAACTTGAATTTAGTAAATTAATTTTGAAAATTAAAAAATTCCCCCAATTTTTATCAGTTATTTCACCTCCTCAGCTAATTTCTCCTCCTATCCCCCCAAAACTGTATTTAGCGCCTAAATTTCTCGGAAGCGCCTTTTCTACCTCAAACGAAGAAAATTTTTGTTGTCTACATAAAATTGGAAATAACGGGCAAATAAAAGGAATTCCGCTAAAAGGGGCTTCTGCTATTAATTTATTAAAATCTGCATTATTGGAGCAGACTACAACAACTAAAATACCTTTAATTACAACTACAGAAATGTTAACTAGTAATAATGATGATGAAATTGTACAAATTATGCCTAAGAAGTGTTCAGATAAAAAGTAGGTGTATTACAATTTGTAAAATTTAATTTTACAAATTCTGATTACTATATGTATAATGATTATTTCAGAATTAAAAGTAATAATTACAAATTCTGATTTTTTAAATGTTTTTACAAATTCTGATTTTTAAAATGTTTTTTACAAATTCTGATTTTTAAAATGTTTTTACAAATTCTGATTTTAAAATGTTTTTACAATTTCTGATTTTTAAAATGTTTTTACAAATTCTGATTTTTTAAATGTTTTTACAAATTCTGATTTTTAAAATGTTTTTTACAAATTCTGATTTTTAAAATGTTTTTACAAATTCTGATTTTTTAAATGTTTTTACAAATTCTGATTTTTAAAATGTTTTTACAAATTCTGATTTTTTAAATGTTTTTACAAATTCTGATTTTTAAAACGTTTTTACAAATTCTGATTTTTTAAATGTTTTTACAAATTCTGATTATTAAAATGTTTTACAAATTCTGATTTTTAAAATGTTTTTACAAATTCTGATTTTTTAAATGTTTTTACAAATTCTGATTTTTTAAATGTTTTTACAAATTCTGATTTTTTGAATGTTTTAACAAATTCCGATTTTTAAAATGTTTTTACAAATTCTGATTTTTAAAATGTTTTTACAAATTCTGATTTGTAAAATTTAATTTTACAAATTCTGATTTTTAAAAATGTTTTTACAAATTCTGATTTTTAAAATGTTTTTACAAATTCTGATTTTTAAAAATGTTTTTACAAATTCTGATTTTAAAAATGTTTTTACAAATTCTGATTTTAAAAATGTTTTTACAAATTCTGATTTGAAAAATAAAAATTGTAAAAACATTTTAAAAATCAGAATTTGTAAAATTACAAATCAGAATTTTAATTATTACAAAATGATTTTTATTTACAAATTCTGATTTGTAAAAACTAATAAAAATGTTTTTAAAGGTCCTCCTGTGCCTTCTGGATAAGAGCGCATTCCCCTGTTTGTGCCGAACAGCACCACTTTATGGAAAGAAATTGTGCTTTTTCCTGTGGATTTTGTTCTTAGAAAATATTTTAGAAGATGTTAAAAACTAGTCAAAATATTAAATAAATTGTTTTTAGAATTTAATTTAGATTTTATTTAATTACCTAAATGTAAGGGTTTCACCGGAAGTTACGGTTCCGAAAAGTTCAAGCGTTTTTTGGTTCCCGTTCAGGGATCCGGAACTCAAATTGGATTCTGTTCCGATTCCAGTCAAAATTTCGGTTCCGGCCATTTACACGCAAGCAGTTTATTTTTTGTAGACCTCCAGAGAGTTTACCTCTAGTGCTGATCCCCAGAGTATTATTTGAAATGAAGAAGTCGGAGGATTATTTATTTTTTAAAGCCCCGTCTTGCTTGCATTTTGGAGTTTTGCCGATAGAATTTTTTGAAGTTTTTTAATAAATTTTAATTTATTCAGGCAAATTTAAAATTAATATTTAATGCATTAACAATTAAAAAAATTTTTACTTCCTCTTTAAAATTAAACAAAGGAATAATTTGAATGCCTCTTTACTTCCTCTTTAAAATTAAACAAAGGAATAATTTGAATGCCCTTTAAAAATGGCAAGTGAGAGTAATTGATTAAAGCAAGAAGGAAATAAATTGGCAATTGCTATGCTTTGCAAAATTGAAAAAATTTTTTACAATGGACAATGAAGGATTTAAAAAAAATTTTTTTTAATATACAATAGATTTTAGATAGGCCCTTCCTGCTTCCTCCCCCATCCACTCTTATCTCCCTTCCCCCATCCCCTCAAGTTCCTTCTCCCTTCCCTCCCCATCCTTTTCCCTTCCCTTCCCTTCCCTCCCCATCCCCTCCCTTCCCCCCCTCTCCTCTCCCCCCTTCCCTTCCCTTCCCTTCCTGCTTCCTTCCCTCCCCATCCCCTCGAGTTCCTTCCCTTCTCCCTTCCCTCCCCATCCTTTCCCCTTCCCTTCCCTTCCTGCTTCCTTCCCTTCCCCCATTCCCTCAAGTTCCTTCCCTTCTCCCTTCCCTTCCCTTCCCTCCCCATCCCCTCCCTCCTCCCTCTTCCCACTCACTCACTCACTCCCTCCCCTCCACTTCCGCTTCCCCTCCCCCACCCCATTACTCTTATGTGTGTGTAAAATTTTTTAAATATAAAAGCCGGATTGAAATAGAAGATTTTAAACATTCAAAAAATTTAAAAAATCCCCAAACAAAACTACCAACTCAAAAAATGTCAAAATTCCTTATTAGCTTTGTTATGTTCACAATTGTTTTAATTCAAGTTTGTGATTGTGTGAGAGAAAAGGGAACCCCTATTAGATCTCCTAGGGGTGATCATACAGGTACCTAATAAAATATAATTAATTAATTAATTTTTTTAATAATAAAGATAATCTTCCAAAGGATCCTAAACCGGTAATAATATTTCAAATTAAATTAAAAATTAATATTCTTCCATTTTTTATTTAATTATAGAGTCCATTCCTGAAGACCCACACTCCGAAGATCTACACTAGGGCTCGAACCCGGGCCGGGTTCGAACCGGGTTTTCCGGGCCCGGCAGCCCGAAAACCGTGTATTTTGATAAAATCCGGGGTTTTCGAGGTTTTAGCCCGGAAACCCCGGCCCGGGTCTGCTGAAGCCTACAATATTTTGATTTCCTAAAGGTCCTGAAGTCCTTCCTACAAACATTTTTATTTTTTAATCCTTTAAAGGGTTAATCTTGGGGGATATTAAGTGATTAAAGATATAATGAAGTCCCGCAAAACCCCTTAATCCCGCCAAATCCCTCATTATCCCCTTTAATCCCTCCAGATCCCTCGATTAAACTTTAAAAGAAATAAAAGGCAAAAATGGTGTTGATCTCAAGTTTGTAGGTTTTAAGGGTCAATAAGTCTTCATGATAACCCCTAATTAAAATTATAAATTAAATATACTTTTTTTTGTAATTGAAATTTATTTAAGAAAAATGAAGAAACTAAAACTCCTAAATATGGTGAGTAAATAAATCCTAAAATTTAATCAATCTTCATTAAAATAAATTTCAATTTTTTAAATTATTTTAAAATTATTTATGATTAAGGTACTGATAAAGCAGGGTCTTCTACGGTTAATGAAGGAACTCCTAAGAGGGTAAACTTAATTTATTTTCATATTTAACAAATATATTTCAGGGTGTAGGAAGACCAAGAAAAAACTCAAATTAGATGATTGAGATGATCATCACGACAAGACATTTTCAGGGCGGATCTAATTGGATATTCTGAATTTGTGTTTTAAAGAAATCTGAGATAACCCGATTATTCTAAAATATTTTTCATTACATTCGTATTTTTCATTAAATTAGTATTTATTAAAAGACTTTTTAATCTGATGTTATTTAAAAAATTTTTTCTCAATTGTCGGATATATTCAACTAAGATAAAGTGATATTAAGGTTGCCCTACATCAATCATGTTTTTTCACACTAGAAAGAATGCTTTGTAAAAACCTATACTATTGTCAGGTTTCCAATAATGGTATCCCATTTCTGATTTTATTACAAAAATACAATTCTGATTGAATCAATAAGAAAGATATTACAAATTCTGATTTTATAATTCATTTTACAATTTCTGATTTCTAAAATTACAAATTCTGATCTTGAAATAATTTTACAATTCTGGTTCTCTAGGAAATTACAAATTCTGATTTCATAATTCATTTTACAATTTCTGATCCTTAAAAAGTTTACAAATTCTGATTTACGGATATAATTTTACAAATTCTGGTTTCTATAATTATTTTACAAATTCTGATTTTTAAGATTTCACAAATTCTGATTTTACCTTATATAATTTTATAAGCTTCTGCAATTCTTTTACAATTCTTTACAATTTACAATAAAATTTACAAATTTATTACAATTAGAGTTTCGGTTTCAAACAGAACCAAATCGTCCCCACCGAATCGTCCCCACCTGGCTGAAAAGGAAGAAATCTAGAAGGTTGTTCTTAAAAATTCTAAACCCTCATTAATGCCCGGTACACTGCATATCCCTCTTATCTTTCCAAATCTTTTTTAATCCGATATCCTTCAAACATCGAGGTATTTAAGGGACTTCCCTCTTACTTCCCTCTTATTCCTCCGTATCCCCTCGAATCCGCTGATATCCTTGTTTGGGCGTGATATCAAAGGATCAAAAGGTTATCCTCCTCCGATATCACCTAAAATCCCTCTTGATCGATTCAGAACCCCTTTTATCACCCAATATCAAACCAGTTATATTCAATAAATTCACTTATACCCCACCGCTAATCGTTAATAACTCCTTAGCCCTCGAAAATATTTTCGGTTCGGTTTATCGGTTCGAATCTGTTATTAACCGATGAATCTGTTAAAACCGACAACCCTAATTACAATTATAATATTAGAAAAACAAGAGAGTTACCTCTTGGGTTTATTTTCAAAAAAGTATTGTTTAAATGAAGAAGAATCAAAAGATGCGGATGACAATTCCGGATATAAAATTTAAAAAAAAAAATCATCATTTTTCAAAGTTTTATTGCCATACTTGTCAAGAAATGGGAGCAGGCCAGTGTACCGCGAGCCCAATGTACCGTCGAGCTATAACTTTGTCCAAAATTGTCTAATCTGTGGCGCCCTGGTATGGTTCGATGCGTCTCGACATTCTGAATCGAACCATACCAGGGCGCCACGGATTCGACAATTTTGGACAAAGTCATAGCTCGGCGGTACATTGGGCTCGCGGTGCATCGGGGTGTACCCTCAAGAAATGATTCGGAACCTGTCAGAAGTCAGAAACTGGCAGACGGTTCTAAAAGGCAGGATCTAACTTCAATAATTTTAGATCCGCAATTGTCACATCTGGATTATCGTCCGCCGCAATCATCGTAAATCCCGTTTTTAAGCCTATTTTTGTTTGTATTTTTGGAATTTTGCGATAGAATTTTTTAAAAGTTTTTTTAATAAATTTTAATTTATTCAGGCAAATTTAAAATTAAAATTTAATAAACCAATAATTAAAAAAAATTTTATTTCCTCTTTAGAATTAAACAAAGGAATAATTTAAAAGGGCATTTACCATGCTTTGCGAGAGGGGAAAAATTTTTCCTTAGACAATGAAGAATTAAAAAAAAATTTTTAATATACAATAGATTTTAGATAGATAGACAATGGATTTTTAAAGACAATAGATTTTCCCTTCCTATTAGATTCTCCCCCCACCCTTCCTCCTCCTTCCCTCCCCATCCCCTCCCTCCCTTCTTCCCTCCCCATCCCCTCCCTCCCTTCCTCTTCCCTTCCCTTCCCCCCCCCTCTTCCCTCCCCATCCCCTTCCTCCTCCCTTTCCCTTCCCCCTCCTCCCTCCCTCCCTCCCTCCCTCCTCCCCCTCCCCATTATTCTTAAGGGTAAATTTTTAAATATAAAAGCCGGATTGAAATAGAAGATTTTATACATTCAAAAAATTTTTTCAAAAAACTCCAAACAAAACTACCAACTCAAAAAAAATGTCAAAATTCTTTATTGCTTTAGTTATATTCACAATTGTTTTAATTCAAGTTTGTGAAAGTAAGAAAGAAAAGGCGAGCCCTAATAAAGCTCCTAGGGGTGATCATACAGGTAGCTAATAATAAAATATAAGCTACTAATAAAACTTTTTTAATAACAAAGATAATTATACGGGCAATACTGGCAATGAAGGTAGGTATTTTTAAATTATATTTATGATTAATATATTGATAATCCAGATCCTTCTACAAGTGGAACTCAAAAGAAGGTAAAGTTTGTTTATTTCCTTTTGGAAAAATAATATACATATATAGCCCGGACGGTATCGTAATACCAACGGTATTTCTCTATATTTACAGTACCGTACCTTTTGTAGTAAAGTACTGAATAAGATACCGTAAAATTTGAACTTTTCGGTGTTTTTCGGTATTCTATACCGTATTAATGTACGCTACAAAATTACAAACGCTATATATAAATATAGGTTTTTTGTTCAGCTTAATAATTTTAAACTAAAAATTTCAACCAAAATATTTGATTAAATATTTTAAGATTAGATATATGTATTAGAATAAAATATATATAAAAATATTTCAGAAGGGAGGAAGACCAAAGGGTAGTAGGAATCATAAAGTAGAGGATGGAGATGATCAACGTGATGACCCCAATTACTACCCAAGTACCTAATTGGGCATTGAATTTGTGTATGAGTAACGAAAGTAACAAAAAGAAATTTTCAAAGAAGTCTGAGATACAGATTCTGATTTTTACAATTTCCGAGTATTCTAAATACTATGTTTTTTAAAAATTTGCATTTTTCATTATGTACATTCGTATTTATAAAGAACTTTGGGAATCTGATTAGTTTTTAAATTGAGCGGCTTTTGCCAACTTTAGGGGGCATTTTCCTCTTTTTGTCTTCTTCACAAAATTCTACCAATTTTCGCCTGAGGCGCTGACAATATTAGAAATTTGGAAATTTTTATAAATCGCCGTCATGAGGAGACACTTGTAGATAGTTGCCAAGTTTACTCAATAATAGTATCTCATTTGTTATACCCATTTCTTGTTTGTTAAGAGTTTATTTCAGAAATGTAGTGTACCGAGGTAAAAGATCGGACATGACATACGTCATTCGATTCGTCTTGACGAGCTGAGTCGAACGGTACCACTCACAATTTCAGGAAATGATTTTGGACCGAGTTATAGGTCACGAAATATTTAAAAGCCATAGGGGGGAGTAAGGTCGATTTTGGTATAATAACTCGGTCCAGAATCATTTCCTGGAATTAGGAGTGGTACCATCGACTCAGCTCGTCGAGACGAATTGAATGACATGCCACTTCCCGAACTTTTACCTAGGTACACTACACTACAGGCGAAAGAAAAAAGGGGAAACACAAACTTAACTATTACCCGACGGTGTTTTGTTTGGACGGTGTTTTGTCCCGAACAATTTTCTTTTTTACATTCAAAAAAATTTTTATTAATGCTTTTCTCCCCCTCATATGTTCCTTCCCTTCATTTGCCACTATAACTTTCCCCTAGTTATTGGAGTAGAACAACTACATAAATGTTGGACACAACCGATTGTAAAAAGCAGTTTGGAAAGAGAAAATTTATTTTTATGTGGTTATTGAGCGATGCGGAGAGTTAGTATATGTGAACACAGCACATAAAACAACAAAAATTAAAAATATATTTTTCTGTTAGGCTCCCAAAAATCTTTATTTAGTTCCAGTTTATTAATTTTATAGTGGGACAGTGCCCGATCCGTTGCCTCCTCCCCCTCGTTCAGTTTTGTTTACTCCCTAACCCTTCTGGGTCGAAAATGGGTTTGTCGGAATTAAGAATAGATAAGGGACACGCTCAGAACTGCGCGCGGCCACAACGGCGCAAAGCCATAACTTGCTTCAAGATTTTCGAACCTTACTAAAATTAATATTAAAAGATTCCTCTCATCAGGCTAAAGAGATTGATAACAAAAAATTACAACAGTTAAAAATATTCCAGCAAGTTAGGGCTTTGCGCTGTTATGGCCGCGCCCCCTTTTAGGTGTCCTATATTTGAAAAAACTTTTGCTCCCTTTTAGCTACTTCGCGACTAAGTGGCCTGTGACTAAGTGGTCGCGACTAAGTGGCCCGCGACTAAGTGTCCGTGTCCCTACCAGAAATTCTGTAGTTATACGAAATTTTGCAAAAAATTTTCAAGATTTCGTGAGCTGTTTCGAACTTTCGATTTTTATTTAGTTTTTAAAATAATTTTTAGAATTAATAAATGCCTCGCTTTATTAAATCCGAAAGGAGTAAACCCAAACTACAGCATGCGCAGCACGAATATAATTACATGGAGAAACAAAAAAATATTATTTGTGGCGCTGTGTGCAAAATAAGACCATTGTTGGCTGCAATGGCGCTGTTGGAACGACAAGTACAACAGATGAGGCCAAAGAAGTGATAGAAGTTAGGCCTTACATATGCGACGGTCATTTTTTAATTAAAATTTTATTCCGTTTGAGGGTTATCTGTGGATTTGGAGAAAAGTATTGAGGGAATTAAGGGGATTATGATGGATTAATGTGTATATAGGATTAATGGATACTGGAGGATTAATAATTTAAAAATCTGTTGATGTAGTTTGGTATGTAAAAAATTTAGGTGGCGGAGCTTTGGCTGAATTAATTGATGAGCCTGGAAATTTTGAAGTTGAAGCTGTACAACAGCCAAATGAAAACAATTATCAAGTCGTCGATCCCCCCACACCAAGACAACAAAATAAAAATAATAAAATAAATTTTCTACCTGAAGTTCAACTAGATATATTTAAATGTCTCAATTACAATCAATTACTAAATATCCAACAAACAAATTCATGTTTTAAAAATTTCGTTGATAGATATGAGAAGGAATTGGCACGGAAGAAATTCCTTTTCCTTAAATTCGTATTTTCTGAAAATTATTTTAAATAATAATTTTAATTTTACAGCTTGGTCATAGGGATAGCTTTTTCTATCTTGATACTTTTGAATTATTTGAACCTGAACCCGAAAATTATGACTTTCATTTGAGTGAACAACTTGAGATAAAAGTTAGAAATTAAAATTTGTTATTTGAAAATATCAATTTTAGTGGAAATGTGCTATTGAAAATTCAATTCCTGTTTATAGGTGATAATATTGAATATGCTTTAGCTCCCATTGATATACATGACGAGAAACGTTAGTTTGTTTTTTGAGGCTTTTATTGGAATGTATTACAAAATCAAAATCCCCCAAAATGCCCCAGTGTACAAATCCCCCAAAATGCCCCAGTGTACAAATCCCCCAAAATGCCCCCAGTGTACAAAATTTTTATTTAGTTCACACTCTGAAGTCTTTCATTTCTTTGCATTTTTTGCGTTGGGGAAAATGCTCGCGTAACGGAAAAAGTTACCTGTTCAAACAACATTAGGAAAAATGCTCTCGTAATTTTCCTTTTCTGTTTTAAAATGATTTAATTTTAGCATACAGAAACATCAAAAGAAATTGATAAAATGATAAGAAGAATTCGATTGGATGATTAATATCGTAAAACCGAAGTTGGTCGCTTCCTTATTTTTACAAGCTCTATAATTGCTATTCTAAAGCTAACCAAGAAGCCTTAGGTGCTAACAAAAGAATTATAAAGATGATTTTCAAGATGATTGGATTATGTTGTTGGTGATCCTACGATAAGTGACAGTGCAGAAAATCTTGAATTAAATTTAAAATCAACAAAATATCAACTCTCCAATAAATACAATCCAGAAATTAAATTTTCTGTTTGCATTAGAAAAACAGATGAGACTACTGTTGTAATTAAGAGAATTAATTGACTTTTATTGTGATACTTAATATATTGTTATACTATAATGGTATTTTTATGGACCCCCCCCCCTTCCCATGTTATACCTACATATTTTACAAATTCTGGTTTTTATATTTCATTTTACAATTTCTGGTTTTTATATTTATTTTGCAAATATGATTTATAAAATTACAAATTCTGATGTTGAAATGATTTTACAATTCTGGTTTTTAGGATATTTACAAATTCTGATTTTATAATTCATTTTATAACAAATTCTGATTTTGAAATGATTTTACAATTCTGATTTTAGAAATATAATTTACAAATTCTGGTTTCTATGATTATTTTACAATTCTGATTTTACAAAAATAATTTTACAAATTCTGGTTTCTTTGATTATTTTACAATTCTGATTATATAATTCATTTTACAAATTCTGATTTCGAAAAGATTTTAAAATCTGGTTCTTTAGGATTTTACAAATTCTGATTTTACAAATACAATTTTACAAATTCTGATTTTACAAATACAATTTTACAAATTCTGGTCTATAATATACATACAAATATTCTTCATAAACTCACAAATTATATTTTCAAAACTCACTCTTTGCTTAATTCTCTAAATATTATATACAATTTCTAATATTTTTTACATACAAATTGAGAAATATTCTCAAGTGTATATTTCACTCATAAAATAACAATAATATTATTTTATTCATTCTCGTATTTATATATGCCTTTTTATCGGATTGGTAATTTTCCACTCATAATTTTAATCCTGTTATGGGCCTCTTGTCAAGAGTTGAGCTCAAGAGTTGTGTCGATTCAAGTTATTCTCTCACTCAAACGCTTGCTTTTTTACCTTCTAAAGAGGTAAAAATGATGGGGGGAATGACCAATTTTGGGGATTTTCTTGTCGGCTGAAAAACTTGAGAGACTTGACAAACTTGAAATAACCAGTAACTACTAGTAATACGCCTAGAAATCCTTCTAATCAGCCTAGTCGATACCTAATAAAAAAAATATTTTTTTATTTATTTTCCACTCAATCCCCTTTAAATAAAACAATCATTTTACTGGACAATAAAAAACGGAAGTATTGTAATTTTATTTTGATTGTGTCTTTCTTTGGTGTCCACCTCAAAAACACATTCTTTCCTAGCATTTAAAGAAAATAAAATAATTTTTGGAAAATTATACGGTAATTTCTTTCCCTCCAAAAATAATTAAAAATACCCTAAAAACCCCTAAAAATCAGAAAAATCCCCCAAAAATCAGAAAAATTTTAAAAATAATTTTTTGAAAATTTTAAAAGTCGAATATCAATGTTTATGCCGAAATTTGGCCATTTTTCTCCCTCTAAACAACAAAAACGGACAGTTATTAATTTAAATATTTCAATAAAACCCTCTAAAATTAATTTGATATTTTTCTTTAATTTATTATTTTTATTATTTATTGATGTGATAATAGCAGAAGAACAACCAGAATTTAATAATCGAGCTAAGAGGCAATATTATGATGAAAATTATTATAGCAGCTATTATGGATGGTTAGTTATAAAGGGGGTCTTTTACAAATTCTGATTTGAAAATACTATTTTGTAAAACTTGATTCTACAAATTCTGATTTTGCAAATTCTGATTCAAAACAGATTTTACATATTCTGATTTTACAAATTCTGATTTTTCCTTTTACAAATACAAATTCTGATTTGCAAATTCTGATTCAAAACCAATTTTGTAAATTCTGATTTGTAAAACTTGATTCTGCAAATTCTGATTTTGCAAATTCTAATTTAAAATTCTGATTTAAAATCAGATTCTACAAATTCTGATTTTTCCTTTTACAAATACAAATTCTGATCTGTCAGTTTTGTGAATTCTGGTTTCAAAGATTGATTTCACAAATTGTAATTTGTGATAAATTCAGAATTAACAAATTCTGATTTCTTCAAATTCTGATTTTGCAGAATCAGATTTTACAAATCCTGATTTTTTAATTCTGCTTTACAAAGTTGATTTTACAAATTCTTATTTGCAAAATTCTGATTTCTGCAAGCTCTCATTTTACAAATTCTGATTTCTGTAAATTCTCATTTTACAAATTCTGGTTTGCAAAATCTGGTTTTAAAACAGAAACCTTAAGCACATAATTATTTTAAAAATAAAATCAGTCCTTCCTCTACTTCAAGGCAAGCAGGACGCATTGTCGGCTGGCTGATTGGATTCTTGTATGTATATCCTTAATTTATAAATTTTCTTATTAATTTTCAAAGTGTCCTCCTTCTTTTTATTTGTGTGCCATGTGTATGCTGTGCCGGGATTTGGTTTTTAGGCTGGTTTGGTGTTCGTCAGACAATGGCAAACAGGCGTGCTAGACGAGATGAAGGTGTTGTATCAGCGACATATCGCTCGCGTTTTCATTAAAATTAAAAATTAAATTTTTGTTTTGATAATTTCACTTGGATTGGTATATCATGCTAATAAAAAATTATTTTAACCAATTTCTTATACCTATTTATTGGTAAAATATTTATTTAAAACAGGCCGTGTGATATCAGCCAGAGATCAAAGGGAAATACATCGACGATATGTGGAAGGAACCCATTCACCTGTAGCAGCAGAACAGGTGTTTAATTTTCCAAATTCAAGCAAGTTATAAAAATATTTTAAATTGTATATAACATTTTACAATTACTATATCCATTTCTGATTTTATCAGATTTGTAATAAAATCATCTGTAAATTTACAATCCTAATTTTATACATACATACATCTATTTTCTGATAATTATAAAAACATACATTTCTGGTATATTTAAATGTTTTACAATTTCTGATTTGTAAAAACTTGTAAAAATTCAGGTCTAAAAAGATAGTTTACAAATTCTGATTTGTTAAATCTGATTTTACAAATTCTGGTTTGCTAAACATGTTTTACAAAGTCTGATTTGTAAAACATGTTTTACAAATTCTGAGTTTTAACTGGTTTACAAATTCTGGTTTGCAAAACATGATTCACAAATTCTGATTTATTAAATGAGGTTCTACAAATTCTGTTTCGTTAAATCTGATTTTACAAATTCTGGTCTGCAAAACATGTTTTACAAATTCTATTTAGGACTAAGTATTTACAAATTCTAATTTGTAAAACTTGACTTTGCAAATTCTGTTTTATTTTTTTACAAATTCTGATTATTTATTACAAAATCTGATTTTAGTCTAGTCCCATATTACAAATTAGCTTCATTTTACAAATTCTGATTTTTTCAAATATAACTCTCGTTATTATTAGCGCTATATACACTCATCGGACCGTTATTATGAGAGAAGACCACGTACACCGCCACCTGTTTCTTCAACAGAAGCTGGTCCAATAAGAGAAACGAGGAGGCTTTAATTTTTTGTTTCTAATTTAATTTTCATTTATTTTTTTATCGAAAATTCATTTTAATTTTCAAAACAATTTTTTAAAGTTAAAAAATTAATTTAAATTAAAACAAAAAAATTAATTTTCCCAATCAACGTCCAAACTGCTCATTTAATGGATATGCTTTCACTATTTTTATATCAGTTGATGGTCTTAAAATTTTCCATTTTTTACTTTAAAAAATATTTTTTTTCCTCACCTATCATTATTTTCTGTATTTACGGCCCCAATTTTTTGGAGAGTCTAAAAATTATTTTTTTATTTTACTACTTTAAATTTCAAAATCAGACCCTAATCCCAGTAGATAACCGCCCAAAAATAGTATGTTTTCCATCCAAATGTTGAGTCGGTGCCAATGTAATGAAAAATTGTGAGCCGTTAGTGTTTGGTCCAGAATTTGCCATTGAAATCTTTTTGAAAAAAAAAAATTTTTAATTCAAAAAAAATTTTTTAAAAATTTCAAAAAAAATTTTTTTTCACGAACAATTCCAGCCCCAGTATGTCTCAATTCATCGCTTATTTCATCTTGAAAGTGTCGTCCATAAATTGAAGTTCCACCCCTACCCGTTCCTGTGGGATCGCCTCCTTGTACCATAAAATCGGCAATAACACGATGAAATATTGTGTTGTTGTAATAACCTTTATTTTTAAATAAAATTTAGAGAATTTTAATTAGGCTTGGAATGATCCATTAGCATTGTGCTACTGAAAATAGGGGGAAAATGATACTGAAAATTGTGCTATAGAAAATAGTGGGGTTTGAAAATTGCTGTTTTGTTAACAGAAAAATCGAGGGTGACAACTAGCGACTTTGCCCAGTTATTTTAATAAATATACATAGACTAACGTCGGATCTCATTAAAAGATACCTATTTGAGGAATTATTTGACTAGTGCTGTTGCGTCTATTTTTTAAGACGTCTATTTAACTTTTGGTTAGAGAGAGGTTCCCTTATGGGGTAATAAAGCCAACCTTCATCCCAAGATAAACTCAAGAATGTATCTTATAATAAAGTTAGATAATTATTTCACCTTTTCTCGCCAATTCATAAAAATTTTGACACGTTTTTGGTGCATGTTTCCAGTAGAGCTCTATAGACATTGTGCCCATTCTACAAAAAAAAACTGAAAAATTTTTATATAATTAAAAAAATAAATTTTACGTAGTTTCTAAAACGATTTTTGAAGAATTTGACGACATTGTTAAAATACTTTCAAACAAAAAATAATTTAGGCTTAAAATATTTTAAATATAAAAAATATTCTTTAGATAAATAACCAGACAGAAATGATAAAAAAACCAAAAAAAAATTTTTTTTATTTTAATTTTAATAGATATAAACATAAAATTTGTATTGGAAACACAGAAGAAAAAAAACCTGCTCTTTAATCTTGCATAAATATTGTCAAAATTTTAAAAAATCTTTGAAAAAAACTTCTTCCTCTATTTCCCATCAGAATATTGGTAATTATCAGCAACATAATTGAACAATAATCCACAGGGTACACTAGCTTGCAATTTTGTTGCCAACAAAAATGAACCAGACAATTTTCTATGTAAAGAATAAATTTCTTCTGGTGGTGCAGTTAAACGATGTTGAAGCATTAATGGTACTAGACGATTAACTCTTGATGTTATATTCTTTAAAAGAAAATTTTTTTTAGAAATTGGAAGGATTCTAAGGAACCTGTAAGGCAAAATTATAAGACCCTTTAAATGTTAAAGTTTCTGCAATGATTGAAATTGAATCACAATGAGCATCTTCCATAATTTTTGTTTCTGAACCGGTTAAAAAACCTATAGCACGGGACCATTTTAGAATCTAAAAATATTTGAAAATAACTTTTTATTTTTAGATTTTTTAAGCTACGTCGAACCGTACAAAATTGAATGGATTCGGCCTCTATGAGCTTGGTTAATAACCATGCAGTAAAGTGGGCTTGATAAGGGACCGAAGAGAGTTTTGTATAACTACCCTAATAGAACTTCTTAGAAAATCTCAGAAAATCCGGAATCGAAACGGAAATCCTTGTTTCCTCGGTTCGGCCTCTTATCAAGCCCATTCTACCGCATGGTTATTAACTAAGCTCATAGAGGCCAAATCCACTCAATTTTGGTATGATTTCGACGTAGCTTGTACACAGAATTAAAGTAGCTTTGCATCAAGAATGAGTTACTCGAAACACAAACTTCGTTTTCAATCCGAAACCCGATCCGAATAAAATTTTGATAATCCCGACCAGATCATTTCTCAACCAGACCCATCCTTGCTTTACGTTAGATTGGATTCTAATCTCTTTTTTACCCCTACAAAATCCCTTTTTTTTACCCTACACTTCTAATCCCTCTCTATTTAACTCAAAAAAAATTACTTTACCTCTTCTCTATTATTATTAAAAGCAGCTTTTAAAATACGCATATATTTATCAATAAATGAACTGCTATAAGCACGTGTTGCACCAAAATCAAGAAGAATTAAACGTGGATTATTATTAATATTGCCAAAAAGAAAATTGGACCAATTTGGGTCTGTTTGCATAAATTTCCATCGAAAAACTTCATTTAAGCATAAAGCCATACTTTTTGTTGCTATCCAATCTCTGACCTTTGAAAAAAAATTATTTAAATAAACCTTCCCAAAAAGTCCGCAAATTAAACCCGCAATTTTTTCCGCAAGTTTTATGCAAAAAGTCTTGTCCGCAGATTTTTATCAGCCAATATATGTCCGCAACTCAGAAAATTAAAAAAAATTTTTTTTTAACTTTCCCAAAAAGTCCGCAAGTTTTGTCCGCAAAAATTTTTATCCGAAAATATTTGTCTAAAAATTTTGTACGCAAGTCAAAAATTTCAAATTTTTTCCAATTTACCTGTTTAGGTTCATCCAAACATTGATTTACTGGTTTACCTTCAACATATTCTGCTGTTAATACTTGTTTAGTTGAAAGATGTGGAAAAATACCAGGAACTTTAAAATACAAAATTTAACAAAATTAATTTCTTAAATAAATTTAACCATAATAATTAGTATCATCAGCCAATAATTTTCTAAATTTAATCATTGCATTAGCTTCTCTTTCATAATTGCATTCTGCCCGTAATTCTCTCCGAACAGCCTAAAATTTAGAATGAACAGGACCTCACTATAAAAGACCTCACTATGCCTAATACACCTGGGACCAGGAAAATCGTCGTTAAAAAGTGGCTTACTTTATTAGAAGTGTATGTTAAATATCTTATATCAGGCTTATATTAAAATATAGATGTATCTAAAATAGAGTAAAAAAGTTTCCCCCTCCAACCCCCTTTCAACCAAAATTTACTAAAACGTCTATTAAATGGAAGTGTCTTATAGTGAGAGCCCGACTTAAAAATTAATTAATTAAACAAACAGCAGCAAAATTCTCCAAAAACAATCCTTTAGGCAGAACACGACCAAAACTTAATAAAGACAATAAATTATCAAAATCAGCTTCAATTCCATTTGCAATGCCTGGATATTGAACTTTAACAGCAACTTTTGTTCCATCAAGTGTTGTTGCTTCGTGGACCTGAAAAAAAATTTTTTTAAAAATATGCTGCATATCATGAAAAAATTTTTAGAGATTCTGAAAAAATTTTTTGAAAATTTTCAAAAATAAAAAAAAAATTTTCCAGAAGCCCAAGAAATTTTCAAAATATTTTTTAAAAATTTTCAAAAAAAAAAAAAATTTTTTTTTCAGAAGCCCAAAAAATTTTCAAAAAAATTTCACAAAAAATCTAAAGTTTTCCAAAATTTCTCAAAACCTGTCCGATAGAAGCAGCAGCAAATGGTTGAATATTAAAATCTCGAAAAAGTTTAATCCAATTTGGCCCCAATTCTTTTTTCATTTGTTGTTCAACTTGCCACGCGGGGATAAAATCTGCACTTTGCCTAACACGCTCAAAAATTTCCAACAAAAAGGGAGGTATTGTTTTATCATCTAAAAATATATAGAAAAGACTTTTTAGTGTTTTTAAATTTTTAGTTCTCATAATGCAACTTTTTGGTATTTCCTAGTTCAAAAATTCCAAAAAGTTTCACGGCCCCCGTTGTCTAAAATTTAAACAGCTCAACCCTTTTGGTTTTAAAAATATTTCCTCGAAAAAAAAACTCGCATTCCAATATAGGAGAGGTAAAAATTTAATCCCAGGCGGTCATAGATCCTCGGTCTACTGGCAGTCTTCACTATCCTTTACTAGATCTTAAACCTCCGCCTTGTAAACGCTTCAAAAGATAGCCAGCTTGATCTCCCTTCTTACTTGCATTTATAAAAAACCACAAAAATCATAAACCTTGAATTGAGATCATTTGTCCAAGTTTAAGAGCAGCACCCCTTACACGACAAAGCATTTGAACTATACGTTCAGCATTTTCTGGAGTAAATAATGGATTTGAAATTGAAGAAGTATTGTTGTTCGGAGTAATTTTTGCTGCATTCCCTCCTCCATCAATTCTTCTACGTAACAATTCTTTAGCTGTTCCAGTTCCTAGACCTATAGCCAATTTTCCAAAATTAAATAAACGGCTAACACGGGTTGTTGGCACCTTTCTTTCACTACTTTTTGACATTTTATTTGTAGAATCGATGTTTGTTGGACGATAATCCTTTATAAAAATTGTATTTGATCAAAAATTTGGAAATTTTTAGGGGTTTTACTTCGTTTACCAATGCCCTATTTCAGGGATAGCGAACTGGTTGAGAAAAAGGTCGGGTTAAAGGAGAGGTTTTCAAAATTTTCTTCGGAGTGGGCTTTGTGCTGAAAGTCCGGGTTCGGTATATCGGAGGTCGGTACCCCGTCCCATCCATAGGGTATTTATCAGTAAACCACAAAATTAGTAAAAATAAAATATTTACTTTAGGCAACGAAGGAATAATATCAACAACATCTGCATCGGTTGAAGAGACTTGAACAAAATTAGAAAATTCAGCACTTGATGGGTTGACAAAACTTTTTCCATCAGAAAAAGGTGGAGATTTGTCTATTGGTTTGGAAGGGTAATTTCTCGTTCCATCGTTGTTTAAAGTAAAACCTCCTTGACTTAAAAATGATTTGATAATAAATTTTATTTTAGAAATTTTTTGAAAAAAATTTCTAAAAATTAAAAAAAAAATTTTCTAGAAAATTTTAACATTTCCAAAAAAAATTTCTAAAAACCGAAAAAACAGTAAAGACTCAGAAAAATATTAAAACAATAATACAAAAAAGAAAAAACTTATCTGGCAAAATTCCACGCAGAGCTAGTTGAGCAAACGTTTGAATTCCTACCGCAACAACTTGGGCACGTTCAGCAGTGTCAGAAATAACAGATTTTTTGTTGGTCGACCTCCAGAAAATTTTTTTCAATTTTAAAAAAATTTAAAAAATAAACCTCAAATTCTGCCCTTTTTCTTCCTCAATTTTGTAAACATTTCCACCACCCACAATTAATTGAACAATTCTTTGTCTAACAGGTTCATCCAAATGTCTGAAATTGTAACCAATTTGTGATTGAGCGAGTAAACGTAATAAATGAGCATGACGTAAAATAGTATTTTTTGGGGGGTTTGAAGCCATATTTTCTTCGAGAAAAAAATTAATTTCACTAAAATTTTTGTTAATAATAATTTAAAAAATATGAGAATGAACAGAAAACACTCTAAAAAATTCAAAAAATTTAAAAAAAAATTTTTATTACCTTGCAAAAATGGAATATACATAGTATTTAATAATTAAAAAAATATTGGTGGTACTTTTTGGATATCCTGCCTTCCTAGTTTAAGTCTTATTTGTTAGAGTTTTTCCTTAAGCTGTACACTGGGTAGCCCTTTCCAAGGTACTTTTTAGATATCCAGCTCTCCTAATTTGAGTCTTATTGTTAGAATTATTCCTTAAGCTGTACACAGGGTGGCCCTTTCCAAATAGCCAAAAGGGGGGCATAGCTTCTTAAAAATTGGGGCAAAAAGGAGGGACGAAATCGTTCAAAAAAGGGGGTAAATGCCTCCCAAATGAGGCAAAAGGGCCACCTTAAGCTGTACATAATGGTTAATTCCCCATTTAATTAATTCCTTTTTGGATATCCCATCCTCCTAGTTTGAATGTCAGAGTTTTTCCTTAAGCTGTACATAATGGTCGGACATTGGAACCTGTGCAGTTTAAGACCCCTCATTTATTCACAAGACAAGCTTCCATTGTTGACCAATTAAGTCGCCCGAGCAACCAATGACTCCCGTGAGACACGTGTCGCAAAGCGAGATGCTTGTAAAACCCCGAGCGAAAGTTTTAATCCAACCCATAGGTTTGGTTGACCATTTTGAGCCTCTTACACAAGTTAAAGAGTTTCTTAATTCCCCAATTTCGCTCCATTTCCCTGTTACAAATGAGAGACACTAATAAAAATCAAAAAAGTTTTCCTCAAGGAAACCCTTATAACTCAAACTAGGGGAGATAGGATATCCAAAAAAATACAGATATAACTTATATCTATAAAATCTCAAAAATGTAAAACTTTTGTTTCTTGTAGAACAGATTCCAATGGACAATAAGGGCATCTAAAAATAATGAAATAAATTTTTAAAAAATTAAAAAAACTTTAAACGATTATTTCTGCTTTGTTGTGCCAATTTATTCATTGCATCCATACTTATTACGTGTCCACAACAAAGCCTAACAGGTGGATTCTTTAAAAAAAAAAGATTTTTTATTAGAAAAATATTTTTGAATTCATAAAGAAATAATGGACAAAAGGTCAAATGTCTACAGTTCACTATCCCCACACCTTGTCCGCAAAGGGGACGCGTACTTCCTATTACCCCCCCCCCCCCCCCGACTGCCTATTACACTAATTTGTAAGGGATATCCATTTTCTTTTTAAATGACTTTGGGCCGAGTTATGACCATACAAAGCCGGACAACTAGAATCTAAAGTCATAGGGTATACAATGAGCAACTTCTCTCTCCAACCTCATCCCAATCCCATTCATACGTACGCCCTTAGTTTCGAGTTGGGTTTTCGAAAAATCTTCTCGGGTCAAAAAGCTCAGGTTCTAGGGTATAGGGTAACTCGGCCAATCCCTTGGTATTTGCAGCAGCTTGACCAAATTTATTTTAAAAGATTTTTGGATTTTTGTGCTAATTTTACTAATCAAAAATTTAAAAAATTCCTTTAAAAATTAAAAAAACCAACCGTTTCTGTACTCTGCACTTTTAATATTGGACAACAAAAAGAAGAATGAACTTGTTCAGGGATAGGGACATTACAAGGTAATTCATCAGACAATGTTGACGTACTTCCTGGACGGGCTGAAGAAAGAAATGCACGCATTGTTAAAAGGGAGGGAACAGTTTTTGCACCAGCTGAGAGGCTTAAAATGAAATTTTAATTTAAATATTGTGAAGAGATTGAATGGGCAATCTCAAAAAATAGGTGAAAATTGAGAAAAATTTTTTTTGATAGTTGACACCAGATGGGAGCAGGCCAACTTACCATGAGCCCAACTTACCGCAGAGCTATAACTTCGTTCAGAATTGTCGAATCCGGGAAGACCTGGTATGGTTCGTTGCGCCTCGACGAGCTGAATCGAACCATACCAGTTTCTGCGGTAAGTTGGGGTGTACCCACACCAGATTGACAGAAAAAATCATTTATTTTTTGAATCTAAATTATGGTTCAACACCTCGTCCCCGTCCCTGAACACGAATTCCCCCAAACTTCCGTGCCCCGTAAAAACGGTCCTCGTCCAGTAAATTGAATTCTAATTTAAATTTATTGAACAAATTTTTTGACATAATCAAAATTTGGGTAAAAAGAATTTCTTTTGATCAAAAATTTTTTTTAATTTTTTTGTCTCATGTCAAATTTTGACATTTTCAACATCTCGTCCAAAAAAAATAAAATAAAAAATTTAATTTTAAACAAACATTGCAGTCAAGGAACTTCGATAATCAGTTAAGGCTTGTGCCAATTCCTCTTCTAACCCAAACCAACGGCCAGAATGAAATAAATATTCATATGGACCCTTTTGAGGGTATGAAATTACAACAAACATCTACAAAAAAAATAGAAAAAAATTTAATAAAAAAATTTTAAACCAAATGTGACAATTCTTCTTTGTAGTCCTCAAAAGGAAAAGATTGTAGTTCACGTACATATTTTAAAGCTGCCATTTTATCACCTGAAATAATTAATTAGGAATATTTTTTCAAGGCAAAAAATGTTTCCTTTTAAACTGAAAATAAATCGAAAATCTCGGATAATTTAATTTACTCTTGAAAGGAGGAGAGCAACCCAAAAGGTTAACACCCACGAGGTCAACTGACCCAAAAGGTCAACCTCAAATATTTGGGCGGATAAAAATTATTCGAGCGGGTTAGGAAGGATGTCTGACATTGAGAATTAATGCGGATAAAGAAGGATTAGTGCGGATTGATAGAAGGTCATACACTATTAGAAGCCCCCTCACTTTTCCAATGAGACATATTGAAAAATATACACCCAGAACTTATATTAGGGTATTTAACTCCCCCAATTCGATAGAGAACCCATAAACTCCTAGCATTGAGAAATAAGTTGCTTTATAATGCAGAAAGACTAGAGGATTGTTAAGTCACCAATCCGCAATTTTTCGAAAGAAAATTGCGGTCTCACGCCGGTTACAAATTTCATCCCGAGCCGGTCAAAAATCCGTCACGCGATATTTTAACCAATAAATTAAATAAATGTTTGAAATTAAATTTTGTGAATAAAAAAATAAATTCTCCAAAGAATTCTAAAATTTTTAAAATCAGAAAATTACAAACTTGTTTCGAGTAGCCGAATAATATGTTGACATTGTAAACGAAAAAGTAAATCTTTCTTCTCTGGAGCACAGTCTTTAAGCCATTCTATAGCTGGAAGATAGTTAAATTGCTTAAAGGCTGACATAATCTCTCTTAAAGTTTCAGAATTTGAAATGTCTGGCATTGAAAGTGAAGAATCCGATTCCTAAAAAATTTCTAAGAAAATTTTCAAAAAAGGAACCTTTATAAACGTCTCTGCCACATCTGTCCGTCCCAAACCAATCAAATGCTCCAATATCAAACGATTTGCATGTGCCAAGTTTTCTGGATCTGTCTCAATTTCTTTTTCGCTTTTGAGTAATTTACTGAGGTCAGAATAAAATTTGTTGTCAATTGATTTCTGCAAAAATAAAATTACTTTAATTAACACATTGGACGTGTCAGCACAAATCAACTTATTTTACTAGCCCATGCACTTTAAAATCTCAATCTCCAATAAGATTGACATGGAATTGATAGTACTTATAATTAGAGAGCGGAATTTTGAAAAAGCTGAAATCGGGAACGGGGAATGAAAATTAACCGGCCGGGACCAGACCAAGAATTCCCGATCCCGGTTTCATCCCGGCATCTTCAAAAAAGCCCGGAAAAGGACCAGGTCCTAATCCCGTTCAGTTCTCTACTTACAACTAGATGGACTAGCAAAGAATCTCATTTGCCCAGACTCAACCTTTTTCCAGGAACTAGTCAGGATCCTGTCCAATTCACAATCAGACTGATTCAAAAATCAATCCAGGCAAATACCCTCTAAAACCCCATTCACCAGTCGACCTCCTACTTTTTCAAATTCTAACCAAAAATAAAATAAACAAAAAAACAACTTACCCCACAACGAGAAATTAAATGATGAATAGGATGTTTATGTTCTTGAGCCATTTCCCCCAAAATCTTTTTTAAATTATTCAACGCCTCTAAAAGTATGTATTGGGCATGCACCTAAAAATTCATTAAAAATAAAAAAACCTCTTCAAAAAAATTTTTTTTACAGAAAGTTCGGGTTCCCCACAATTTTCTTCTTGTTGTTCCCCAGACTCGTTAGATTTGCTCTCACTCAATTCAACAATTTCTGCAGAATCCAAAGATTTATTTATTTGCTCTGTTGGTTCAATAATTAATTCTGTACACATGGCATCCAATTTTGTTGAATTTTTTGTTAATTGAGGAATAAATTTTGAAGTGAAACTTTGGGTTCTTTGAATTGCTTTGTTGGTATTGTCGCCAATTATATCAATTTCAGCTCTAGATTGGACCGGAAAATTTTTTTCTGTAGACATGATTTCCATAAGATTTAACTGAAATTGAAGGAGAAATGATTAGAAATATTCTTCGGATAAGCACGGGATTTCCTGCGGATTTTCCTCGAGATTTCCTAAACACACTCATTTTTGGCTCTCAACAGTCCTTTTCCATGTCAGAACGGGACTTTTTAACGCAGACAGTTTATCGCGTGAATTTAAGCTTGGGTACATTTGAGTATGAGTCAAAATTTTGTCCAAGGATTTTATTAAGCCCCGAGAAGCCGTGGACAGCTTTTATGTTTGTCAAGTAAATTTGTTAATAGCTGGTTAAACTCCATCGGTCCGACTCTCAAGCATTTCCCTTCTCAACTAGCTTCTTTTTCCAAATATTTCATGTATCTGACTTTGCTTTTCCTGAGGGCATTTTAATTTTGTATTTGATCAATCATTGCCTAAACTTCCCCTAACTTAAACATTTTTCTTTCAGATTTATTATTTCGCTTTAAAGTCTAATTATGTCTGAACAATTTTCACATTTGAGCTGCGAAGAACTTCGTCAGGAACTTGTCAAAAACGGTTTGCTCTCTTTAAAGTTCTCGATCTTATTTAAATTAAGGTATTCAATGTGGTCCAATTGGAACAACAACTCGCAAAGTTTATGAGAAGAGACTGGAGAAAAAATTGGCTGACGACAGGAAAAATCAAGTTAATACTAGTCGAATGTCGAATCGCGAGGTTTTTTGATTTTTTCTAGTTTTTTAATCCTTTTTTGGGTTAGACTGTAGGAAGTTCTTCGGCAAGTTTGCGAAGTGTTCCACAGAGAAGGAGTTTTGAGATGCCAGGACGTGAGGTTTGTCACTTTAGTGTTAAAATTAGAGTTGGGGTTTTCGAGTCGGACCGACGCTTTCTTTTTGGGCCTCATTTTTATCGTGTCGGCCCGACCGAGGTTTTTTGGGCCAAAATTCGAAGCCCGACTCAATCTTTCGGAACGGACCGAGCCCCCAACCCTATTTCAGATATTCAGTTTGGCAACTTGTGTAGGCTGACTGGCCTTTTTCGACTGACATTTTTTGCGGACTTCTCTAAATTTTGCGGATTTTTTAAAATTTTTGCTGTCTTCATATTTTACATTAATATTGAAGCTGAAGAGTTTTTCTGACTTCCTTTTGAATTTTTATTTGAAGAATATTAGTTTTTTTGCATATCCAGATATGTTTACTATTATGTAACAACGCCTTCTACTCATTAAAGTCCGCAAAAAATGTCCGCAGAAAAGGCCAGTCAGTCCACACAGTTGTCATTTTTCCTACTTATTTTAAATTCTTTTTTGGTTCAGAATGTCTTTAATTCTTCAATATCTGCGCGTAATGTTTCTCAGCAAAGTTTTGTAGCGCCGAATCGTGAGGTTTATTCCTTTCAGATTCTGGTCTATTCCTTTTTTCAGCATAGCTTCAGTTCCTCAATTTCTTCGCAAAACGTTTCTCGAAAAAGCTTTGAGGGGGGTCGTTTTTTGGATGATGAAGAGGATGATCATATGGAGTCTTCACGCATTGTTTCACCGCAAAGACGATTTACTGGAGGCAGGAATGTTGTCAATAAAAAAATTTCGCCAATCGAGAAATTCAAGACTGCTTGGAGTTATTTTTCTCGTTCTATTGGAACTTCTACGCCGTGTAGTGATGTATGTATAATCTTATTGGGTTAGGGTTTATTTGAGATTTTTTAAAGGTATTTGAAAAATTAGGGCAATAGTGTTGTTTAATTGCCCCTTTTTTCCGCCCCTATCTCTCGTCTAGCTAATCCAAACTTTTCCCCGAGAAACGAGAGATCAATAGAGATACTGGGAGTCAAGAAAAATCAAAAGAAATTTTTTTAGAAATAATGGGATGACAAGAGGACCCTAAAATGAAACTATTACCAAAGGATTAGGGTTATTGGTTCCACCAAATTCTTCGATTAACCGAAGCCAGACCGAGCATCTTTAATTTTTATGTTCGTTTCTGATTCTGACAGCCCTATTAAAAATAATTTTCACCCAGAACAGATTATAGCATTTTTGCAGTCAGAAAATATTTTTAAATAATTTTTTAATTTAGTACAATTATCACAATAAATATCCAACAAACAAATATCGACGTTCTGATAATTATGCGAATTTTTCTGATGTCGGCACCAAACCTTCATTTAATTTCTCAACTATTTCGGACCATTCAAGATGGATTGTTTTGGCAGCGATTGGTGTCTTTGTAACAATCTTTTCAACTTATATTTATAAAGTTCATACAGAAACTTTACATTCAACTGTTGTTTCTGTTAAAGGTTTTTTTGGTTTAGAAAATTTTTAAATTTTTTTTTCAGATTTTTTCGTTTTTGCATTTGGTTATGCCTTTTTCCCTATCATGTACTTTTGTGGTGGTGAGTTTTTTTCAAACTTTTTTTTTGTAAATTTTTATTTTATATTCGGAGGGTGGAATTTTCTTTTATTGAAAAGAATGAGTCAGGGTCATATCCTAGTAAATTTCAAAGCCACCCAGATATCAGACCCGGACATTTTTTGAGCTTCCCAGGTTTTTTAGACCACCACAAACTAAGGATATGCTCCTTGTCATTGGTTTATAAATTAGTTCTTGCTAGGTTTGTCGTCTCCTGTGAGATCTGAAAAATATCCGAACACCCGAAATTGACGGTTAAGTGATCCGGGGATTTCCCTTGAGCCACCAACGGTAGTTCATACCTAGAATCTTAAAATCCACTATCTCTGTATTTTTTTCTTATTTTATATTTCTTAAACATTTTAAGCCGTTCTTCTCTTCCTTTTCTTTTACAAAGTGTTTTACTGGCGCAAAAATCGAAAGATCCAACATCAGGAAGCAATTATTCGACTTGTTGAAAGAATTACAGATCTTATTTATGATTCTGGATATGCTGGAATAGCAGAACCACATGTTCGGGATATGTTGATGCCTCCGACAAAGTTTGAATTTTTTTCTCAAATTTTTAAAATTAAAAAAAATTTATTTTAAAGACGAACAAATGAAGATTATGCCCTTTGGTTAGAAGCTGCTCGATTTATTAATAATGAAGATTCTCGTGTTAGAACAGAAATTCGTTTAATTAATGGAACAGAGTGTAATGTTTGGATTTGGATTGGTGCTGGAAAACAACGTTGGCAGGGAACTGGTCGGTAATTTTTTTAATTAAATGACATTATTATTTTTTTAAATCGTCTCGGACCAAAATTAATCTCTTTTGACCATTTTATAACAAAAAAATTTTTTTCCTGCATACCTATTAACATATAAGTTTTGATGTTTTTTTTAACTTTTTGTAGTCAGATTTAAGTAGTTTTAATTAATTTCCTATGTTAGTACTTTTACTGTCTTTTTCATTAAAAATTCCTTTTAAATTTTTAAAAATCAAGAGAGAAATATAAAGTCAAAAATGCTGAAAATGCCTCAAAAATGCCTCAGGTTCCCCGAAATTTTTTTATCTGACTACACCAAATAAAAAAGCTCGGACCAATTTTATACAATTTTTCCTCGTATCAATAATTTAATTTACTCAAAATTTGATTTGAATTGTTCCTTTTTTTTGACAAAATATTTTTTTAAATTTACATTTTTTGATAAAAATTGGTGAAATATTTTTAAATCTAAAAATCGTTACAATTTGATTAAATGATTACCTATTAATTATTATTTGTTTAATCGTTAATGGGATTTAATGGGATTTTTTAAAGAAATTAATGCCGAGAACTCTTCCTGTTCAAAAATTTTTGACTTTATATTTTTTTTACAAAATGACTAGGAATTGGTTGGTAAGCGATGTGATATCAGGGATATCACAGGTTTAGAAAAAAAAAGTCGGTTTCGTGTTTTGGACCCGGGTTTCCTAAATTTCTTTGGTCGTGTTTCGAATTTGGATCGAAAAAAGATTGCGTGACGTCCCTGCTATCTACCTTCACTCCTTTATAAATCTCTACCTTTGTTTTCAGCTGTAGCAGAAGGTTCTCCATCTTCTCGAGTGCCAGAAGCTGCTTTGAGTCGTTGTTTAAAGCTGAGGGGCTTAAACTTTTCTGACAAGTTTTCTTTAAAAATTTTTTTAATTTTTTTCTGTTTAAATTTATAGTAGAACAGACCGTGAATGTTTGCGAAAAGAATTGATGGAAAAAATGTCTGTTGTGCCAAAACATATTGATTTTTGTAACAATGCTATAAGCCGTGAAAGTGTTGTCTATCTAATGCTTAAGGTTTATTTTTTTTATTTTTATAATTTGACTTGTCTTTGGTTACTCTCCATTTTTTAGTGTCCTTCACTCACATCAGAGGGTTCAAGCTTTTTGCTTCCACCTCCCGATCCTTTCTCTACTTCCAAGACCTTTCGTTTTTTACTGAACTCCGATTTTTCTGCCTTGCGATTTCATCTTCCTTTTTTCCAATTTTATTCATTTTCATTCCACCCTTAGTCTTCCGTCTTTCAAAATCCTATTAAAAAATTTTAATTTCCTGTTTAAAGAAATAATTTTTTCGAGATCCTTGGTTCCCAAATTTTTTAAAGAATTTTTGAATTTGAATTTCATCCTTTAAAAAATTTAATAAGAAATTATTTTTTCAACTTTAACATAATTAAAATATATTTTTTTAATTTAACAGGATTTGAATGATGCAAAAAAGGCTTTCTCATCACTTCATTCGCAATGGTTTGATGGTTTGTTTTTTATCTTATTTTTAAATTTAAATAAAATTTTCAGGAAATATAATTACAGTGAAATATATTAAAGATGAACGTTATGCTGAAAGATTTCCTGAACTGAAATGATTTTAAAAGGAAATATTTCTTTGCAGGTTTCAACATTTATTCAATATAATGAATTATGTTTTATTTAATTTGGTGGTGTGACAATTTTGGGATACGAGAGGTTGAGTATTTACGGACAAACAACTTTTTATTTCGTGGCTCTGGTCTATAGTTTATGAATAGGGTTGCCGTTTTCGAGTCCATTTTTTGGGCCTCGTTTTTATCGAGTCAGGCCTATACGAGTCACTTTCGTGCCTAACTTCATCGAGTCGTCCGTACGAGTCTTTTTCGGAACAAATATATTAGGCCTTTCTCGATCTTTCGGTCCGAATTGGTCCATTTTGGCAACCCTATTTATAAATTCAATGAACTATAATTTTTTCTTATTTGAGTTCCTGTTAGGTATGTGCTGGGTCTAGTATAAAAGGAGTCGTTAGCGATCAGTCTTGGTCGACACCTGGGTCGACCGGCGCCGTCTGTCCTTCATCATTCTTGCCTTTTGCCACCTTTACTATTGATGTATTTACCATTTGGATAAACGTCATATTCTATTCCTGTGTTATTCTGTTTGTCACTAGGTAAGACCGCTACCCTAGGACATAACAATTCCTTTCCCTTTATTGTTCACGAATTTAATCTAACACAAATATTCTTAATTTTGGGTTCGCTGAATTGCTTAGGCAGACTTTTAGTCGTTTTAAAAAATTTTTGGGTTAAATTTTTTGCCATCCGTATCTTGTGTATCTATGATTGTCGTACAACCATGTTTATTTTAGTATACAATTTCCCCCCTAAAAATTACAAAATTTTTGATATCTCTTTTAATTTTCAATATATAATGCTTTTTTCTTTAAATTTTGATTTATATTGGTTATATTAAAATGTTGAATAAATAAAGAAAAATATTTTTAAAGAATTTTTTATTTGATTATTTTCTCATTGAATATTTATAAATTTTTGTTTAAAAAATAAATTTATAGTTTTAGGACGTTAATTATAAATTAAAGAATGGACAAACCTAGAATATTAAAAAATCTGCAACCATTGAAAATACATTATCCAGAAATTTATAATAGATGTAATAATTTGGTGGAGAGAATTGGGGAGGTTTGTTATTTTTTTGTAAATAATGATTGTAAGGATTAAGGGTTTTGGAGTTGTTTTTCATATTTTTAGTCAAATTAGATTAGATTCTTCTAATTTTCTAAAGTAGGAATTTTTAATAAATTTGTCTTCTGTCTTTGGATTTCTTAATTAATGGGTTGTTAGTGGACTGTTGTTATGTGACCTAAGCTAGATTGTTAGGTAATTTTGAAGTTCGTACCCCCCCCCCCCCCCCACCTCTATTTTTTCTTTCTCAAGGTAGTAAAAATAGTCAGTCTTCAGAACAATGTAGAACACAACGAGCGGTGTCTGTTGATTATGGTGTCATTCGACACAGTCGTTGTACTCTACATTTTTCTTAAGACTGACCATTTTTATGCCTTGAGAAAGAAAAAAGAGAGGGGGGGGGGGGGGTACGAACTTCAAAATTACCGATTGTTAGTCTAGGTGGACTTTCAGTCCTAATTTGCTAGGTGGTCTTTTGTGTTGCGACAAGCTCATGTATTAGTTTTGGCATTTTATTTCTTCGGACATAACAAGTTATTTAATTAAATTTTTTTAGAGACCCAGTGAAGTTTTTGATTCAATCAATAGCTCAGATGCGTCCGAAAAACAAGCAGGAATTTATTTAATTTTATGTTTGGCTGATGCTAGTTTTGATGAGGAAACAACAAAAATTACAAATTTTGCTAGAAATTTGCTTCGTATGTTAACAATGAATTCACAAGAGTCAGTTATTCGATTGGCGTCAAAAGCTGTTGCTTATCTAATTTTGGTTAGGAGGTTTTTTTGAATTTACTTGTCCGACAAAAATTTTTTTGAAAAATTTTTTTATCTTAAAATAAATTATTTTTTATTTCACGGTTTTTGTTGCTTTTTGGGCCATTTAGGGGGGGGGGGTGTTTTGGGGGCTAAACGACATTTGCGGACCCGCACTTGCGGACCGACACATGCGGACCGACTTTTGCGGATTCGCACTTGCGGACCGACTTTTGCGGACCGACTCTTGCGGACCGACATATGCGGACCGACACTTGCGGACCCGACATTTGCGGACCCGAAATGAAATAAAAAATAAAATGGCTGATAAAAAATTTAAAAAATATGTACTATAAAAAATTTAAAAATAAAAGTTGAGCGCGTTCCCTTTTCTAAATGATTAACGTTTATCCCCAACCCGAAAAATTCCGTTCCAAACAAGTATTAATATAGGGTTCCCATCAATCCCTCCAACCTAATCTAATATCCCTCTAAATCACTGATATCACTTGAAAGCAAACTCAATTCCTTCAGATCACCTTAATCCTTTCAACTCGTTTTAATCAGGTTTTACCTCCTTAATTTGAATGAATTTTCCTATTTAAAATGATTTTCAGAAGAAAAATAATAATTTTGAAATTGTATCCCAAATCTGCCCCATTACCTGGTCTTCCACATTAACTTTTTTTAAAATTCATTTCGGGTCCGCAAATGTCGGTCCGCAAATGTCGGTCCGCAAGTGCGGGTCCGCAAAAGTCGGCTAACCGTTTTGGGCCGTCTAGCTCTTAATCTCACATTTTATATTCGCTTATTACTAAATTTCAGTTTTTGTGTTTCTAATTGCAAGATAAATTTTATCGGCGTCATTAGTTCTAGAAATTGAAAAAAATTTTCTGATCTAAAACAAGTAGTATAGCCTGTCAGACATTTAGCCGGGAAAACTATTCGGGGGAAGGGGTATTTCTGAAAATATCGAAGTTTGTGTCCTCCTGGCTACGTGCTTATAGCCAACTCTAATTATCAATTTTATAGAGAAATATTTTTTTATTTTATTCAGACTTCAAAATCCTACGCTGTAGAATTAATGGAAGTTGCTTTAAATCAATGTTTTGAATGGTTAGAAGAACAACAACGAAGTGAACAGCGTCGACTTGCAGCTGTTATTCTTGCCAAAGATTTGGCTATTTTCACACAATCACATTTTTTTCAACGTGCCAATCAATTTTTTGCAAACATTTTTAAATGTATTAGAGATTCAAAACCAAATTTGAGGTTGGCAGCAGCTGAAGCATTGAGGGCTGGTTTAGCAGTTACTTCACAAAGAGAGACTAAACATAAAAATGAATGGTTAATTTTTTAATTTTTAATTAAATATTAAGTCGGGCCTCATCATAAAATGACTTCAATGATAGACTCACTGTTTGGCATTTCGATGGTTTTAGGGGTTTTAGGACTTTTTGGAGATGTCTACAATTTGACATTTTGACGGCCTTTGGAGTTTTGCCTTTTAGAGGTTTTTCGGGCTTTTCGACGTCATGACCACAGTTTGGCATTTTGGCAGCTTCTAGGAGTGTTGGGCTTTTTGGCGTCTTTGGGATTGACTTTTGTCATTTTAACGGCTTTTTGGTGTTAGGCGTTTTAGCGGGTTATCATTATGGCACACTCCGATTTTGTTACCCTTCATTATAAGTTACGTTTTTTAGTCCCATGGTTACGTATTTTCATATCTAAAAATGAGGTCTAATTCTATTCATTCTTCTAAAAAAATTTTAAACTTTAAAAAGGTACAATAAATGTATCAAAGAAGCATGCCAATTTGATTTCCCTACAATTTCTCGTGATGATATTTTACATGGTTCTTTACTTATATTCAACGAATTACTTCGAATAGCCAATTATTCACACGAAAATGCTCGTCTACAACTTGTTGGAATTACTCAACATTTTAATAAATCACGTTCTTCAATTATTGGACAAAGCCCTATTGAATGGCTTTTAGAACCTATTCAACCACCAACTGTAGAATCGAGAACTGCGAGGACTTTAATTACAGATTATTTTCAAGAGGTTTGTATATTTTTTTTGATTTTTTATTGTTAGTTGAGCTGTTTTAAGGAACCAAAAAATAGTTTAAAAATTGGGAATCGAAAAATATTCAATCGAAAACTTTGTAAATTTGGGTTGCCGTTTCGGCGTCACCCCCCCCCCCATTTTGACATTTCTGCGACTTTCAGGTTGTATGTAGCTTCTCGACATCTTTTTTTCGGAGTTTGGTTTTTGGGCGTCATCTCCCCAATTTGGTATTTAACGGCTTATCAAAGCAGCTTGTTAATGGTCACATTTATGAAATTAAAACCCATTTTCGATTTGTTAATGCTTATTTGATTGATTCTTAAGCAGAGTGATCCTTTTGCCTTTTTTAGGGGTATTTGTCTTGTTTTTACCAATTTGCCCAATTTTTGTCCCCTTTTTTGAGAAGCCATGCTCCTTTTTGTTTAGTTTGAAATGGCATTTTTTTTTGAAAATATTAAATTTTTTATTCTCATATGGGAGGGTTCAACATGCTTTCCTCGGAAACGTTTTCCTTTTTCCTTATTTTAATTAAAAATATTCCATTTTATTTTTTAATAGATTGTCAAGAATTGCTTTGAGGCTCGCAACAGTAAAACCCCTTATTGTCAACTTATTCTTTTGGAACTTTTTCCAAGATTGGCCAGTTTTTCTGATAATAATGGACAACAATTGTTTTGTTACGTTCCTGAAGCAGCAGAACATTCTTTGGCTTTGGTAGGGAAATATCCCGAAGCTATGCTTACTTTGGGATTGTTAGCCCTTAGCAGGCCATTAGAAATCAGATCGAAAATTGCTCCTATTCTCAATATATTAATTCAACATATGCATTTGGCCGTTTCTAAGTTTGTGTTTTTTTTTTAATTTTTTTTAATTATAAGACTGTTTTTTTATGAAACGCCTGGCAAGGGCGTAGCCTGGAGGTTGATTTCAGGGGGCTGAAATGGTCTGTGTGAAGAATGGGCCGCCTAAAATTTTTTGACTAACCCAATTGGGGGGGGGGGGGGTTATAGCCCCAGAAGCTCCCTGGAAACGCCCTTGGCGTTTGTGTAGAATGAGCGACTTATTACGGATTTTTTTTGCGGATTCTGTTTTGTGGAATTTATTTTTCTGATTTTGTAGACATAAATAAGTATATTGAAATGATTGTTAACTTATTTCTTTTTTTATTTTTGGCCTGATTTTTTTACAAAATTATTTTAAAAATCACTTTTATGTATTTACAATTCCCCTTGAAAAATTAATTTTTAATAAAAAAAAATTTTTTAAGAAAAAAGTTGGTTCATGACAATGATTTTAAATGTCTATCGTTGGTTGTACGCTCTCAACTTTCCTACCTTTGTGAAAAAATTCGTGAATTGCTTCCTCTTTTCTTTTCTACTGGAATATCTGAAGGCTTGATAACTGTAAAATTTTAACGAATTTTTTTTTAATTTTCTCTTTGTTAAAGGTTATGCACGACATTATTAATGCAATCCCAGAATTAAAGGCTGATGTTTTCGACGGTTTAATGGATCAACTTTATCACTTGCTTATGGTATTTTTTGATACTTAAAATTTATTTTAGGCGTTTTCCTTTTCGAAAATTTGCAATTTTATAGAAAATCCGCAAGTTTTGTCCGCAAGTTTGTCATAATATTTTTTGTCAAGAAAAGGACAATGAACATTAACAGACCATTATAGTACTATAAATGAAAAATATTTTATACCTAGGTACATCAGAAAAATACTTTTTTTTTGATAAAATAAATAATGTATGACTTGCGGATAAAACTTGCGGACTTTTTTTCGGAAACTTGCGGACATAAAGAAAATTTTTTTGGATTTTTTATTTGCTAACTTAAAGCCATTTTTCTGAAATTCCTCTAAATAAAAAAATATTTTTGTAGGACAGACCGAGACCTAGCAAATTAGCACCTCCTACAGCTCCACCAATTCCTGCTGGACCTATTCAACCCGTCAATATTCCACAAACAAAATTGGCATTAAAAACACTTGGAGAATTTAATTTTTCACGTCATTCACTTCAAATGTTTTTGCGTTATGTGGCTATGGTTTTTTTTTAAATTTTTTTTGAAATTAAAAAAAAATTTTTTTTAAGGGTTATTTAATTAGTGATTCAGTAGAAATTCGTTTAACAGCAGTTTATAGTTGTACAGAAATGTTAAAACCTTTTATCATGGTTTATGAAAATGTTGAAAATCAACAAAAGGCTGAAGTTTACAATTTAATTAGAAATGTTTTGGAATGTCTTGTTAAAACTGCTATTGTTGATACTGGTAAAAAAAATTTTTTTTTTTAATTTTTGAATGATATTTGCGGACTAGCCTGAAGTGAATTTAAAACAAACACCCATTTAGTCATGTCCCATGATTATTGTTTGATTATTTGGTATTTAGAAAAAATTTTTTATTTTCTTCTAACATGTAGTTGTCCGCAAATGTCTCTCTACCGCTTCTTTATTTTTTTGGATTTTTTGCAAAAAATTTCCTCACAATCAGCACTTCTAGTTGTGTGAAGATAATTAATGGGGGGGGGGTATAATGCTGTTGTCCCAAAGCATGGAAATACAAATTCCCTTTAAGTCGCTGAAATACCAACCATTCATTTATGCTAGTCATATTTTTCCACAGTTTGGTATTCCGGCGGTTTTCTAAAGTTTGGTATTACTGCGCGCTCCCACATATCATTTACATGCCTTGTTTAATAGACGGATACTCCATATTTGAAAAAAAATTTTTTTTCTTTCAGATTTTAATGTTCGTCTAAGTGTACTCGATTGTTTCTGTAATATGGATCAAAATTTTCTTTTTCATCTTTCACAACGTGAAATGCTTGGTACAATATTTTTGGCATTGCATGATGAAAATTATCAAGTTAGAGAACAAGCTGTTGAATTACTTGGAAAACTTTCTGATTTAAACCCTTCTTTTGTTTTTTTAAAATTTCGAAGAATTTTACTTGAAAGTATTTCGCAATTGGCAAATTCAAAAACTTTAAATAATGAAGTACAAGGTGCAAGAATGATTGAACATTTAGCTAGACAGGTTTACTTATTTATTTTTTAAAAATTAAATTTTTGGGAGAAAAATTTTTAGGAAATTTTTTTGGGAAAATTTTAAATAAAAAATTGTTGGGGGAACACTTGCAGACCGACATTTGTGGACACCTATTAACAAGCTTTTTATTTTCTGGTTTATAGAACTTGGGGTTAGTGTACTATACCACCAAAACTAATAAGTTTCCTATCAAGTTGTGGTACCAAAATAGTGTTGCAGTCACTAATAGTGTTCACGATTGCAGTCAAAAATTGACTAGTCGTTTGTTCTTATTTTAATTAAGTAGACTTGATTTTGTCTGCAAATGATGGCCAAACCAAGGACACATACTAATAGGGGGCCAATCTTCTTGAGCTTAAAGAGGAGTTGTGATGGGTAGCTAAAGCCGCTATGCTGTTAAAGGCCGATTGACCGGGGTTTGTTCCAATTTCAATAGGCTTCTGACTTTGTCCGCAAATTTCTGTCCGCAAAATATCTGTCCGCAAATGTTGGGAAACCTTAAAATTTAAATTAATTTTTATTTCAGTCACCTCGTTTCATTTCTGCCTATATGCATTCAATATTACTCGTATTAATCCCTCATTTAAAAATTGATAAAAGCATTGGTGGAAGTAGTAATGTAGAAGTTACAGTCCATGTTTTAAATGCAGTTAGTGAACTTTCATTAATTGGAGGTTTGGAAATGGTTCGGTCTATAGACAAATTTTTTCCTCCTATTATTGCTTTTTTACAAGATTCTACAAGTTTGAATAGACGTGAGGTAAAATAAATTTTTTTTTGAAATTTCAAAAAAAATTTTTGAAAATTTTTTGGAAAATTTTTTTTGAAAATTTTTCTTGACAAGTTTTTGAATTTTTTTCGAAAAAAAATTTTAAAAATAAAAAAATGAATTTTTGTTAAAATTATTATTTTGTATTTCTAAGGCTGCTCTCCGTGCAATGGGTAGATTGTGTCAATGTGTTGGTTATGTTGTTGAACCATACAAAGATTATCCTGATTTATTAGAAATTTTGTTACAATTATTAAAAACTGAGTTGTCTAGTTCAATGCGAAGGCTTACAATGCGTGTACTTGGAATTATTGGGTTTGATGATTATAAAATTTAAATTAAAAAATTATTTGTTCACATCCTTATACATTGAAAAAGATTAATTTTTGTTCTATAATGAGTTGAAATTTAGGGAGCTCCTCCATTCAATTCTCATTGAAATTAAAAAAACATTGGGTGTATTCTATAATTATTGGGTGTATCCTATAAAAAAGTCCTTTTATAATTAGGTCAATTTAGGCAGGTCCATCATTCAATGGTCCACGCATTTTTTTAAATTACTTTTTTTATACTTTTTTTATTTATCTTATAGAGAGAAGTACGTCTAATAATAAAAATTTTAATTTAAAAAAAAAATAAATTTCATTCTTTGAAAAAGAATTTTTTTTCTTGCAGCGCTTTGGATCCATATACCTACAAAGTTTATATTGGCAAAGTCCACTCACATATAAGATCTCGTTCGCTTGCCTTAACACTTCCAAATTCTGGAGAAACAAATGAAACACGTTCGTTTTTTATTTTTAAAAATTTCAAAAAAAAATTTTTTTCAGACGGAATGGATATAATTACTTGGATAAATTATGAACGTTTAACACTTGCTGAATATTACCCAGCTTTATCAATTTCCAATTTAATTTTAATGTTACAAGATCCTCAGCGTTGTTCTTTGTTTCATAGAGAAATAATGCATACTATATTACAAATTTTTACAAATTTGAGAAATCGTCCACAATATTTGGGACAGGTGTTTTTTATATGTTTTTAAATAACCTTGGATATAGAAGGTTAACTGAACTAAAATTTGAACTTAAAGCCTAGGGTCAAAAATAGGCGATAACCGAAAACTGTTGGCACCGGTTAATGTGTTTTTTATATGTTTAAAAATAAGGTCGGATACAAACGGTTAATTGAACTGGAATATGAACTGGAAGCCAATGGGTCAAAAAATAGGCGATAACCGAAAACTGAGGGCACCGGTTAATAACCATATTGTTTCCAACCCTAGTTTAAATTTAAAATGCTTTTAGTCTAGTTTATAGGTCAGATAAATTTTTATGAATCCGAACCAAGGGCAGGAACAAATGAGTTTTTGCTTTTTGCGTTGATTTCTATTTTTTTTTTAAATTCTTTTTTGCTTCCGCCCATGATTTTTTTATTTACTTTCCCATGAAAAATGGGTTTTGTTTTTTTATTAAAAAATTTTTTTAATACTCATAAACTACTAAATCTTATAAAAATGTTTTTATTGAATTTATTGATTTTAAAATTTAAATTCTATGTATTTTTCAGGTCATTCCCCCACTTATTTTAATTACTGAACAATGCAAACCTCAATTAAGAAGTTTTTTCCTCAGTCAATTTTCACGTTTTATTTCAATTATTAATTTACAATTGCAACCATATATGACACAATTTTTTTGTTTAATTGCTGTAATTTTATTTTTTTAAATATTTTTTTTTAATATTAATTTTTAAGAAAGCTTGGTGTTGGAGTGATAATGATGATCTTAAAGGTTTCCCCTTTAATTTTAAAGACAAATTTTGGCTTGAGTGTCCGCAACTTTTTTGTCCGCAACTCAGAATTTTTAGCTTTTCCTTAGGAGATGATTTTTATAAAAATATGTAGTTCAAAATTTTTTTTTTGGAAAAATATTCGTCCTAAAATCTCTCCTCCCTCAATTTTAATGGGGGGAGGAGGAGGAGGAGAGATTTCCTCTCTGAGAAAATGAGATCTCCTCCTTCCATTTCCTCGAACAAAATGCCCCTTTAAAAAGTTGGGTGAAGAATAGTATGTCTGGGTATTCAATTAGAGGTTTTGGGGGGGTTTTCTGGAAGTGGAGGAAATGATAATTTTGGAGGTGTACAAATTCAACGACTTTTTAATAAAAATTTACGGATTAAACTTGCGGATTTTTGGGAACATTTGTAGAGGAGAAAGACCTTTTATTTAACCCAAAATTTAATTTTTAAAAAATTTTTTATAGGAATCATTATTCGTCTAATCGAAGACGTTGGACGTTCTTTCGGCGAAAAATTTACAGTTTATGCAACAAATTTGTGCCCATACCTTTTAAATGTGCTTCAAAATGATACTTCTCTTGACAGAAAACTTACTTTAAACGTAAGGGGAGACAAAGGAAATTTTTAAAAAATTTTCAAAAAAAATTTTTTTTCCTAGGCACTTTCTTGTACTCAAACAATTTCAAAATGTCTTGGAACACATATTCATTTAATTCTTTCACCTATCCTTGCATGTATTGAAGATGTTGATTCACCAGAAAAGAATCGTTTAGCAGCACTTGAAACAGTAATATCATTAGCTTCAAATCATCCAATAATGGAACAAGCACCTCAAATTATGCAAACTTGGATGCGTTGTATTTCTATTAAATTTATGCAGCAAAAACTTATACAATTACTTTCTACAATAATTAAGGTGAAAGAAAATTTTTAATAATGAAAATCCTAAAGTGAGATTATTTGCACTTTTTAAGAAAGATTAAGGATTGTTTCTGGAAGCGATTGACAGCTAGTTTAGTTTAGTCCCTGAATGGCACTTATTTAAATTATACGCCATGAATGTAGGGAGGCAATAGGGTCTTATTTTAATACTCTATAATTGTAAGAATTGTTTTACTGGCTGCAAATCAAGAATGTGTCGGAGTACAATGCCTCAAACCTGTACTTTTTTCAACCTAAATCCGTTTCAATAATATTTTTAAAAGACTTTTTCTAACCCAACCTATCCCTGCTGTGGATATTAGATTGTTAAGGATGTCCAAGAATTAGTCTTGAGGCTTGGAAAATTTTTTGTCTTGTACACCTCTACAGGGCTTATAAATTTTATTTTTATTAAATTAAAACAGAAATGGGACCAATTTCCAATCTACAAAGACAGTGTCAATGCAGCATTAAGACGTCATCGAGTAGATGGCGCCCTCCGCCAAGAATATCGAGAACAATTGGCAAACTTACAAGTTTTACATGCTCAAAATCTCCCTCTTCAACTTGAACGTCAACCTATAACTGAACCTTCTTTTGTACGGCAAATACAATTTTTACCTCCACCTGAAGCTGAAACCTCGAAAGAAGATGTTCCTTCAACTAGCTCCGCTTTAGAAAATATAAAAATGGCGCGCATGCCCTCAGGCAATTTTTTAAATTTTTTTTCAGATTTTTTGAAAATTTTTTGAAAAATTTCTGAAAAAAATTTTTTTTAGTTCGAGATACACAGTTTCATGTTAATGTTGATCAGTTACGCCGTTGTTGGAAAATTCAAACTTTAACTTCTCGTGAAGACTGGCTTCAATGGCTAAGCACTTTACGTGTTCATTTTATCCGTCAAAGCCCATCGCCTGCTTTGAGGGCATGTACAGGATTAGCTGAAGCACACGATCCTTTGGCAAAGTTGGGGAAATTTCTTTTTAGATTAAAAAAATTATTTTCTAAGGGAACTATTTAATGCCGCATTTATTTCTGTTTGGACAGAACTTCGTGAATCAGACCAAAATCAACTTACAATGTTACTTATTGAAATTTTGAAGCAATGTCCACATGCAGAGCCTATCCAAGCAATTTTAAATTTGGCAGAATTTATGGATCATTCAGAAAAGGTCTTTTGAATAACAATTTTTTAATTTTTATCGCTCCTCCATTTTTTAGCATTTACTCTTTTTGCTATTAAGTTCCACTTAATGCTACTTAATAATTAGAACCGGCAAAATCGAACTTTCTGGATCCGGAGTCGGGATCTTTTTCTTACCGATGCTGGGACGGGATATCGAGGGATAAATCCCGTCGGGATCCCGCCCATGCGCAGGTCTCTACTAATAATACACCGTTGGCAAAACTTGGATTTTTAGCCGTATTGGTTAAATATCTTATTGATATGGGGACACGTTTTCGATTCTATAATCAATCTCATTCTACAAAATTTTTTTTATTTTCTAGGGTCCTTTCCCAATAGATTACAACACGTTAAGTAAATCAGCAGAACAAACTCGTGCTTATGCTAAAGCTTTGCGCTATAAAGAACTTGATATATTAAAATCGAGAAAAGGAGAACCTAATCCTGATGATTGTCAATCTTTGATAATGTTTGGAAAATTAAAAAAAATAATTTAATTATTTTTTATTTTTAAAGTTTATTTAATAAGCTCAATTTGGAAGAAGGTGCTGCTGGTATCGTTCAGTATGCAAGAAGACATAATATGGAAATTTCGGTAATTTTGGAGTATAGGAAGAGCTCTTTATATAAAATACAGTCTTGAAGTAGAAAAAATGTTCTCACAATGAGGCGTATCTTAAATAGAAGGGTACCGTTTAGATAGCTCCTCTACTCTAGACAGCTATCTCAATTTAATTTTGGAGGAGATGCCTATGTAGAAAAGCGTATATGGCTTATGAAAACGACACAACTTTAAGCCGCACTTTTACTCTCCCTTCCGCTCTAGGCAGCTCCGCCACTTGATAAAACTTATCTTAATTAGAGGTGTATTTCTATTATGGGGGGGGGGGAAGTTACATCTTATACTAGAGAGGTCTTTGCTTGTATGTATAATAAATTTTTCTCATATCTCATTTTCAGGGTCGTTGGTACGAAAAACTTGGTGAATGGGAAAAAGCTTTAGAATTGTATAGACAAGAAATGCTTTTAATGCCAGATACAGACCCTTCTTGGACTACACTCTCTTCAGCATCTTCTTTAACAGAACATCATTCACAACAATTACAGTTGCAACAACATACCCCAACGGGACACCAACAAGATATTTCCCGTCATGCATCTTCTATTCATTGCGAAAATAGTATATCTAGTCGTGTTAATTTGCAAAATATTGGGGTAAAAATTTTGAATTCTTCATTAAACATGCATATCCTTAATTAATCCATCAGTCCTTAAAAAATTTAAATTGTTATCAATTGTTGATAATGTTGATCATGCTAATTGGAGATCGGATTGAGTGACGAGAGTGTTCAACAAAAATCTCGATTATTGAACTCGCTATTTTTCGAGATATCGGTCTTGAGATTCTCTCTCAATTTGCTCTCAGTCCGGTCTTTATTAATAATTTTGCAGCATGATTTTGCTGTCTAACATTTACGAATTGATACTCATAATTAATTCTGTTATATTATGGAAGGGTCCCTTATTAAGCGCTATGTTGCTGAACATGACCCTCTTACCGTCTATCCAATAGGTTTCAATTTCCAATAGGACATCAACAACAAGATTTAATTTTGTCCGCAACTTTTATCCGCAAATGACACGGGGACTTTTTGTGTGCTTTACATACTATATCTCCTTTACATACTATTTTTTCGACTTTAAATCTATTAAATTTTCTTTTTAAGAAATTTGATATTGAACTTCACCAAATGCGTTGTCTCGAAGCTTTAGGACAATGGTCACAACTTAGCAATGCTTGTCAAACAGCTTTATTGGATAGTGAACTTGCCGAAACTCATTTAACTCGTCAACAAAGTGAAACTCCATTAGACATTTCCTTATCACATCATAATCTTGGAATAGGTGGAGGAGGAGGAGGAAGTAGCAGTATTGGTGGGGGTATTGGTGGTGGTGGAGGAATTTTAAATACAACATTAAATGAATATGCAAGGCGTCAAAAAATTGCACAAATGGCTGCTAGAGCTAGTTGGGCTACTGGTTGGTGAAGGAAATTTTTCTAAAATTTTCAGAAATTTTGAAAAAAAATTTTCTGAAAAATTCTGAATATTTTTTAAAAATTCTGAAAAATTTTTTATTAAGGCGATTTTGTTAAAATGAATGAATATGTACAAATGGTCAATGAAAATACACAAGAAGGCTCTTTTATGCGAGCTGTATTAGCTATACGTGAAAATGATTTTGAGCGTGCTCATTCTTACATCAATAAAGTACATATATATATTAGATTTTTGTACAAGTGTACCCTTAACTATAGGATACTCCCAAAACCTCCCTCCAATACTTGAGACATTCCTTTATTTAAGGAACGTTTTTTAAAAGTTGGTTGACCATTGAATTGGGCATGCTGTTTAAGCGATATCTCAAAATATAAATACACCTCATTATATGCTACGATGCACCAAGGAGGTGCCTGAAAGTAAGGTTCGACCTTCAGAATTACGCTTCTAAAAATTCGGTTGGCCACTATTTTGGGGAAGCTTTTTAAGCGCTACCTCCAATGAAAGATACCCATCATTTATAAGTTACGACCCCTTAAGGGGTATTTTATAATTAGGTTTAACTTTCAATTGTTCTCAATTTATATTTTCAAGGTGCGTGATATTTTTGATTCTGAGTTAACTGCAATGGCAACAGAAAGTTATGATCGTGCTTATGGTGCAATGGTTACTTTACAAGAATTGACAGAATTAGAAGAAGCTGTTGAATATAAAATGATTACTAATCGTGATGCTCGTATTGTAATGCTTTGGAGTCGTCGTTTACAAGGATGTAGACCAAATATAGATCATTGGAGACGTATTTTGTTGGTTCGGTGAGTTTAGAAATATTTTTTGCTTCTGAATTTTCTTGGATTCAGGATAAAAATAGGCCTTTATCTTAAAAACAATGTTGGCACTATTCATTTAACCATCTTCTTAGGTCCTCTTCCATCTTTTGCCAAATTTTAATTCACCTTTTTTTTTGCTTTTTAAAACAAATTCCAAGTAACTGAAGGAGTGTTGGATTTTCTAGTTATGAACAGTCTTTAACTTTAGAGACGAGGTCATGATTCTGACTAGAATCGGCTTTGTAGCTAAAATTCCTAGGGGCATACTAAACATTGGTTAATTAGCTCATCTCTTCCCTTAAAAATTTTTTTTTTCCTAAATTCAATTTTTTTAAAGTTCAATTGTTTTTTCACAAAATGAATTACGCACACATTGGATAAAATTTGCCGCACTTTGTCGACGTGAAGGCAAACAAGCTATAGCAAGAAATATTTTACGTTCATTATTGGATGTATCTGGTGATGTCCCAGTTGATAAATTAAACATTCCTTTTGATAAACCACAATTAGCATTAGCTGTTTGTAAACAAATTTGGTGTGAAGGACAAAAAAGGACAGCTTTTTCACATTTGGAACAGTAAGAAAAAAAATAAAATACTGTCAGATCTCATTATAAGATGCCCTTAATTTTTGATACACCTTTATTTAATATACCTCCCATTATCGGACACACCTCTATTTAATATACCCCCATTACTGGACACACCTCTATTTAATATACCCCCATTACTGGACACACCTCTATTTAATATACCCCCATTACTGGACACACCTCTATTTAATATACCCCTATTATCGGACACACCTCTATTTAAGAGACATTGTTTAAAATTTGGTTGATCATTCATCTCACTATAAGATGCCTCTAATGTTAGATACATTTCTATTTAAGAGACTTTTTAAAATTAGGTTGACTACTCACATGGAGGATGCTGTTTTGAGATCTCCTCTATTTTAGATACCTCCAGTACTCGACACAACACCCTCAGAGTTCATTGGAACACCCCCTCTTTATATTAGACACACCTTGATTTAAGATACTATTTTTCAAGGTTAGTTAGCTATTTTTGATGGGGAAGCTTCCTAGGCGATATACCCTCCATTTAAAATACACATTATCTTAAGGTGCGATTTTTTTTTTATTTTCAAATAGGGCATCCTTATAGTGAGGTCTAATTTTAAATTACATATACATATAAATAAATATTTTTTCTTTTAAAATAGACTTACTAAAACTCTTCACCGATTAATTGAACGTAATCGTTTAGTATATCCACGTGAACAACTGGAACCTTTAGCTAGAATTACAGCAAAATGTTATTTAAAATTGGGTGAATGGCAAGAATCATTACTGCAACAACAAGCTATAAGTAAATATTTGATTATAAAAAATATTTTTTTAACTTTATTAGAGGGCTATATATTCAAAAAATTTTTGATTAGCGAGGATTTATATTTTAAAATTATATTTTCATTAAAATGGATCGAACTTTTGTATCAGTTTCCTTTCCCTCAGAAAATCACTTGCATTTTCCCATTACACCAGAATACCTATATTTCTTAAGCATTGTTGTCGATTTTTGGAAATTCTTCGGATATTTGAAACCTAACCGAAAAATCCACGGTTCCTCGGTTCGGTCTAGAATCATTTTCGAAGTAGATTTTTTGTTGTTTTTATATGTTTATAGTCTGTTGATTTTTGATAATTTGTCCGTGTGTTTAATCAGATAGAGACATTTATTAGTTGATTTAATTAAACATAGAATGCCCTACCTTAAAACTCCAAAAATATTTTTTTTAATTATTAAATAAAAATAAAAATAGTTTTTCCCACAGTTTTGCCGAGCGAAAGGCATGGAAGTTTTTGTATTTCTCCTTCATTAAAAATTCAAAATTCATCTACAATTAATAATTCAACTACAATTCATCATCAACAACAACAACACCAATATTCACCCTATTTATATCAACAACAACAATCAACAACTTCATCTCCATTTCAACAACAACAACAACAACCTTTAACTAGTGCTGGATTTATGCAACAAAGACAAGCATTTGAACATTCTACATCTATGAAATTACATTATTTTGTTGTTGCAACAAGTTTTGATCAAAATTGGTATAAGGTAAGTCTTGACAACAGAGATTTTAGTTTGGTAGTATCTTGTCTTGAATTTTAGTTAGCACGAGTGGTTAATTTTCTTCTGTTAACCCCCCTCCCCCCTGCCTTCTTCTACAAATTCCTGTATTTTTTGTCTCTTGTCTTTTAATCTTTGAATATCCCACACCTTCCTTTTTTTTATTTGAATTTTTTGTACGTCTCTGTGAGATGTCTTTCAAACCAATATTAACTATTCCTTTGAGCTTCAAATTTAATTTTTTTATAGGCTTGGCATCGTTTAGCTACAACATATTATTCAGCTATTAGCCAGCATCAAACATCGACACCTTCGCAACTTCCTCCAACTTTATTACCTATGGAAATTGATTATTCTATTGCTGCTGGGAAAAAAGTAGAAAAATTTTCGAAAAAAATTTTAAAAATTATTTTTCAAAAAAAATTTTTTTTTTAATTTTTTGAAAATTTTCAAATTTCTTTGAAATTTCAAAATTAAAAAAAAATTTTTTTTTTAATTAAAAAAAAAATTTTTTTTTAAGCCTTGGCATCATCATCATTATCAACACCAGCAACAACAACATTATCATCAACAACAACATCAACAACAACAACAACAACATCAACATCAACAATTAGCAGCCTATTATACTCCAATACCTTCACAACAACAACAACCACACCATCACCACTCTCATCATCATCCTCAACAACAAATAGTTACTGATTTAACAACAATTCCACCACCTTCAATAATTACTGGAGGATGTGGAGGTGGAGGATGTGGGGGAGGAGGAGGTGTGGATAATACTAGTAGTGGGTATGTTCAACATCCACTTCCTTTACATGGTATGCCTGTAGCTTATGTTCAACCACCTCCATCGGTTCAAGCTGCAGCTGCTTCTCAAATGAATAGTCCACCGATAATGCAGTCACCGCTTAGAGCACATCAATTAGTTACTAATTATGCTGTAAATGCTGTTAGTTGTTTCTTCAAGGCTATTCAATTGGCTGAAGGTAGAGGAAAAATTTCTAAAAATTTCGAAATTTTTTTTTTGAAAATTTTTTCCAGAAAAAAATTTTTTTAATTAAAAAATTAAGGTTCTCGTCTTGATGACACTCTTCGCCTTTTAATGCTCTGGTTTGATTATGGTGATCGTCCAGAAGTTTTTGAACGTTTACGTGATAATTTAAAAATGATACCCTCCGAAGTATGGTTAGAAGTTGTTCCACAATTAATTGCTCGTTTGGTAGGGTTTTTGGGATTTTTTCTTTTAAAGGGTATCTTTTTAGGATTCTCAAAATAACACTGGAGTTTTAGTTAGACAATTAGTTATTGATGTTGCTAAAGCATATCCACAAGTAGGGAAAAATTTTTGTTCATAAATTAATTTATGTTCTCTTCGCACTACTATATAGTGCAAAGGGAACATTTATGTTCTCTTCAGATTCCATGTAGTGTGAACAGAACATCTACGCTACTACATTCTATGTTCTCTTCACACTACTACTAGTGCGAAGGGATCATTTACGCCACTACATTCTTTGTTCTTTTCACACTACAATATAGTGCGAAGGGAGCATATATGTTCTCTTCACACTACTATGTAGTGTGAACGGAACATTTACACTACTAGATTCTATGTTCTCTTCACACTATTATATAATGCGAAGGGAACATTTATGTTCTTTTCACACTACTACTAGTGCGAAGGGAACATTTATTTTTTTACACTACTATGTAGTGCTTTTCACACTACTATGTAGTGCTTTTCACACTACTATGTAGTGCGAAGGGAACATTATCACGTAACATATTAAAAAATTTTTTTTCTTTCTCTTAAGGCTTGGGTATATGCATTAACTGCCGCAATAAAATCTCGTAATACTCGTCGTTCCCAAGTAGCAAAAGAAATACTTGATATAATTGCTGAAAATAAGCCAATACTTGTTGAACAAGCAACTTTAGTTAATGATGAATTAATTAGATGTGCTATATTATGGCATGAACAATGGCATGAAGCTTTGGAAGAAGCTAGTCGTTTCTATTTTCAAGATAAAAATGTTGATGAAATGATGAATATTTTACGCCCATTACATCAAAAAATTGAACAAGGGCATACTACAATGAAAGAACAATCTTTTAATCATGTAAAATTTTATAGAAAAATCCGCTTATAATTTTTTTTATTTTTTAACAGACATATTATAAAGACTTGAAGGATGCATTTGAACATTGTGAGGTTTTTAGACGAACTGGAAATCAGAAGGAAATGGTAGGGATATTATTTATAAATCGAAGTTTCTGTTCCCTTCACACTGCCTCATAGTGCGAAGGGAACATCAGCATTTAATCTCACTTTATCTTCTTAAAACTGCGGATTGGGTGACCATTATTTTAAAATTTTCAGACTACACTCTGTTTCCTAAGTATAACCCACATTAATTTTTTTACATTTTTCGTTGCTTAATCAAGTTATCTTTATGAGATTTTGTATTTAGATACATTTAACTGATCTACAAACATTGTCAAAGTTTCGTAAATTTTGTTCGATCCAAAAATTTTAATTAATTTTTTTTCGAAATTTTTGCTAAAAAATGTGTTTCATAAGTATAACCCACTTTTAATTTTAATATTTCCAACATTAGAAAAAATCCACAAAAATTCCAACAACCATATATAGGAATATTATATATAAATAAAAAAAATTAGGCCCATATCTCTATTCAGTGTCGAGATCCTGACACCTCTAAAATCTCGAAAATCAACGTAAAACGGGGGTAAGTCTATTTAAAAAATATTTTCGACACATTAAGGGTAGTTTTGAAATTTTATTTTTAGCCTATCTGAAAGCCCTTGAAATTTGCTACAAGATAGCATTTGCCTTATTTTTCAGAAAAAATCCATTAGCGAGATACAGGTGGTTAAACTTTCGCATTAACAAAAAACGCCTAAATGTCCACAAAAATGACCGTTTAGATCGCTTCTGAAGTTTAACCACCTGTATCTCGATAATGGATTTTTGTTGAAAAATAAGGCAAATGCTATCTTGTAGCAAATTTCAAGGGCTTTCAGATAGGCCAAAAATAAAATTTCAAAACTACCCTTAATGTGTCGAAAACATTTTTTAAATAGACTTACCCCCGTTTTACGTTGATTTTCGAGATTTTAGAGGTGTCAGGATCTCGGCCTTGAGTTGAGATATGGACCTGGTTTTTTTTCTAGTTTGTATAATATCAATATACATGTTTGATGAATTTTTTTAGATTTTTCCTATTGTTGCAAATATGAAAAATAAAAGTGGGTTATACAGTCCTCCACATAACTATACAGCCACCCTATTTTTCAAAATTTTTCCTGCTTAAATATGAATTTGGAAATTTCTACACTTAAATATAATAGACAAGCAGCAAATGGACCGATTATTATGCTTTTTCAGAAATTATTAAGTTTTATTTAGTTATTTTCCACTTTACCTGGCAAAATTACCTCCACATAACTATACAGCCACTTGTATTTTCGACCTTAGGAGTGGTCCGAAAAATCTACAAAAATTCCTGTAAACATATTCATTGATATGTATAGAAAATACAAAAGAAATGAAGTTCCAATATATCCCCATCATCGAGATCTGAAAACCCAAAAATCAACGGAAAACCGGGGGTACACGTCTTTAAAAAATATTTTCGACCCCTTACAGGTGAAATAAAAATTTCATTTTGGGCTTATTTGAAAGCCCTTGAAATTTGCTAAAAGATAGTTTTCATCTCATTATCCAGAAAAAATTATTCTTTGAGAAATAATGAGTTTAGTTTGTAAGTTACATTTTCATCACTTTTTGGGGGCGTTTGAATGATTTTTATGAAAATTAAAGTTTATCACATTATGTCTTCAAGGTGAATTTTTTTCGGAAAATAAAATTGATGCTATCTTATAGCAAATTTCAAGGGCTTTCAAATAAGACCAAAATGAAATTTTTATTTCACCTGTAAGGGGTCGAAAATATTTTTTAAAGACGTGTACCCCCGGTTTTCCGTTGATTTTTGGGTTTTCAGATCTCGATGATGGGGATATATTGGAACTTCATTTCTTTTGTATTTTCTATACATATCAATGAATATGTTTACAGGAATTTTTGTAGATTTTTCGGACCACTCCTAAGGTCGAAAATACAAGTGGCTGTATAGTTATGTGGAGGTAATTTTGCCAGGTAAAGTGGAAAATAACTAAATAAAACTTAATAATTTCTGAAAAAGCATAATAATCGGTCCATTTGCTGCTTGTCTATTATATTTAAGTGTAAAAATTTCCAAATTCATATTTAAGCAGGAAAAATTTTGAAAAATAGGGTGGCTGTATAGTTATGTGGAGGACTGTACTTATGAAACACCTATTTTAGGTAAGATTTTAGAGAAAAATTAATTAAAAATTTTGTATTGGATAAAAATTGATGAAACTTTGGGAATATCTTTAGATTAGTTAATTGAATCAACATACCAAATTTCAAAATGATACATCAACTGTACATCGAAAAATTTTAAAAATTAAAAGTGGGTTATACTTTTGAAACAGAGTGTATTCTCTTTACATTTTTCAAAAAATAAAATCATAAATTAGTCTTTGTTCCCTTCACACTACCTCATAGTGCGAAGGGAACATTAGCACACTTAAACTTATTTTATTTTTTTTTCTAAAGACAGCAGCATGGGACTTATATTACAACATTTTTAAACGTATAAGTAATCAACTTCGACAAATGAATACTTTAGATTTAAATTATATTTCACCACGGTTATGTAAAGCTCGAAACTTGGAACTTTCAATTCCCGGGACATACGATCCCAATGCTCCTTTAATTACTATAGCTTCAATGCAGCCACATTTACAAATTATAATGAGTAAACAAAGGCCAAGAAAGATTTATATGAGAGGAAGTGACGGAAAAGAATATGCTTTTCTATTAAAAGGACATGAAGACCCTAGACAAGATGAACGTGTTATGCAATTATTTGGCTTAGTCAATTCTTTAATTTTGAGAGAAGCAGAAACTAGCAGAAGAAATTTAACAATACAACGGTGAAAAAAATTTTTTGAGTTTTTTTGAACCAGTTGGACACTTCTTTATAAGATACACTCGATATTACACCTCTATTTAAGATACGTTTTTCAAGAGTAGATTGGCTACCGTCTGAAGTAGGGTGGGGATGGACTTCCTAAACGATATCCTCTATTTAATGTACCCTTTAGTGAAGGTATGACCAATATAGTTATATTGGTTGGGTCTTATAGAGAAAAAATGTTCTCTTCACCCTACTCCCCTGTGCGATGGGAACATCAATTATGTTCTCTTCACTCTACTCCGCTGTGCGAAGGGAACATCAATTATGTATGTTCTCTTCACCCTACTCCCCTGTGCGAAGGGAACATCAATTATGTTCTCTTCACACTACTACCCTGTGCGAAGGGAACATCAATTAACCGGATTTTTTAACAGTATAATTTTTCTTTCAGTTATTCAATAACTACACTTAGCCAAAGCAGTGGACTTATTGGTTGGGTACCTAATTGTGATACACTTCATTCACTTATAAAGTCTAAAAAATATTTTTAATTAATTTAATTTTTTTATTTTTAAAGGGATTATCGTGAAAAGAAAAAAATTCCAATATCTGAAGAACATAATAAAATGCAAAAATTATGTGTTGATATAGATAAATGTACATTATTACAAAGAGTTGAGGTTTTTGAAGAAGCTTTACGTTCAACTTGTGGTGATGATTTACGTCAAACTTTGTGGATGAAATCTCCAAAGTATTTGAGGAAGTTATAAAAATTAAAAAAAAATTTTTTTAAGTTCTGAAGTTTGGTTTGATCGTCGTACTAACTATACTCGTTCAATGGGCGTAATGTCGATGGTTGGTTATATTCTTGGACTCGGCGATAGGTGGATAAATAAATATATAATTTTCAGAATTAATTCAGAATTTATATTTTCCGGATATATTTCAGAATAATTTTTAAATGTATTTTCCGGAAAAGAATAATTTCAGAATTAATTTTAAATGTGTTTTCCAGAAAAGAATTAATTTCCAAAATTTATATTTTCCGAAATATATTTCACAATTAATTTTAAATGTATTTTCCGGAAAAGAATAATTTCAGAATTAATTTTAAATGTGTTTTCCGGAAAAGGATTAATTTTCAGAATTTATTTTTCCGGAATATATTTCAGAATTAACTTTAAATGTATTTTCCGGAAAAGAATAATTTCAGAATTAATTTTAAATGTGTTTTCCGGAAAAGGATTAATTTTCAGAATTTATTTTTCCGGAATATATTTCAGAATTAATTTTAAATGTATTTTCCGGAAAAGAATAATTTCAGAATTAATTTTAAATGTGTTTTCCGGAAAAGGATTAATTTCCAGAATTTAATTTTCCGATTTTCAGAATTAATTTTTATATGTATTTTCCGGAATAATATCAGAATTAATTGTTAAATGTATTTTCCGGAAAAATTTCAGAATATATGTTTAAATGTATTTTCCGGAATAATTTCAGAATTAATTTATAAATGTATTTTCCGGAAAGGAATTAATTTTCAGAATTAATTTTAAAATTAATATTTTCGTGAAATATTTCAGAATTAATTTTTGAATTTTTTAGGCATCCTTCAAATTTAATGCTGGATAGATTAAGTGGAAAAATTGTACATATTGGTGTGTTTATTTTTTTGTAATAATTATTTTTATTTTTAAAGATTTTGGTGATTGTTTTGAGGTTGCTATGAAAAGAGAAAAATATCCAGAAAAAATACCTTTCCGTCTAACTAGAATGCTTATTCAGGTAATTGTTGGAGAGATGATTTTTTGGTTAAACTTCTATGGAATTTTAGGAAAATATTTCAGAATTAATTTTGTAAATGTTTTTTCCAGAAAAAAATTCCGAATTAATATTTTCCGGAAAATATTTTATATATTATTATAGGCAATGGAAGTGACAGGAATTGATGGAAATTATCGTTTAACTTGTGAGCGTGTTTTACGTCTTTTAAGGGCAAATAATGATAGTATTTTGGCTGTGCTAGAAAGTTTTGTTTATGATCCAATGTTAAATTGGAGGCTTACTGAGGGTGTTGTTAATGCTGCTGGGATAGCTGGTGGTGGGGGAGTTGGCGGTGGAGTAACAGGAAAAGATAATACATTAGTTAAAGGAAGGTATGTAATGAAGGGTTTTGGATTTTTTTTAATAAAAAATTTTTTTCAGAGTTTCACTTCCATTAGTTGAAGATCCAAATACTACAACAGCTACTATTCCACCTAATATAAATCCTCATCAATATCATCCACATTATTTAAGACAACAACAAATACAACAACAACAAACAGAAGAAATACATGGAGGGGGCAAACCACCCTTTCAAATTCAACAGCAAAGAGGAGAAGATAATGAAGCAATTAGTAGGGTTAAAGCAAAACTTTGTGGCCGGGATTTTAATCCCTTCGAGCCTATTAATGTTACGGAACAGGTAGAGTTGAAATTATAATTTTTTTCCGGAATATATTTCATAATTTATTTCCAAGTCTCCTCCTGAAATAATTTCAGAATTTTTTCCGGAAAATATTTCAGAATTATTTTAAATGTGTTTTTCCGGAAATTATTTCAGAATTAATTTTTAAATGTGTTTCTTCCGGAAATCACTTCAGAATTAAAAATTATTTTTAAATTTCTTAATATATATTTTAAAAAATAGGTTGACCGTCTTATTGAACAAGCAACAATGAATGATAATTTATGTCAATGTTATATTGGTTGGTGCCCATTTTGGTAGTTTATTTTGCAGAAAAATTATGTACTATTTATTATAGGTATTTAAATAATAATATATTTTTTTCGCAAATTATATTTTTAATATATTGCTCACTTTTTTGAAAAATAATAATTTATAAATTTTATTTGAATTTTTCTTAATAATTTTGGACACAAACTGATCTTCTCCACCCTATATATAAATAAATTTAATAAATTGTTCAATTAAAAATACATAATATATTGAAAAATATGTGAATATTTAAAACAATAAACACACTTAAATATTTCAGAAGACCTCTTCCTTTTCAAAAAAAATAATTAAAATATTTCCGGAATTTGTTGATCTTCTGGGTTGGTAAAATAAAATTTAATTTTAGAATGTGTTTTTAAAATCAGAAAGTTTTTTTTTAATTCTTTCATTTTACATCAAAACAGGAGTATTTTCATAAATATATAAATACATATATCCATTTTAAAGAAATAAAAGCATGTCGACAAACTAAATAATATTTCAGAATTAATTTCAGAATTTGTATTTCTTCCGGAAAGTATTTCAGAATTAAATTTAAAATTGTGTTTTCCGGAAAATATTTCAGAATTAATTTCAGTGTATTTTTTCCGTGTTTTCCGGAAAATATTTCAGAATTAATTTGTGTTTTCCCGAAAAATATTTCAGAATTTGCATTTTTTCCGGAAAGTATTTCAGAATTAAATTTAAAATTGTGTTTTCCGGAAAATATTTCAGAATTAATTTCAGAATTTGTATTTCTTCCGGAAAGTATTTCAGAATTAAATTTAAAATTGTGTTTTCCGGAAAATATTTCAGAATTAATTTCAGTGTATTTTTTCCGTGTTTTCCGGAAAATATTTCAGAATTAATTTGTGTTTTCCGGAAAACATTTCAGAATTTGCATTTTTTCCGGAAAGTATTTCAGAATTAAATTTAAAATTGTGTTTTCCGGAAAATATTTCAGAATTAATTTGTGTTTTCCGGAAAACATTTCAGAATTTGCATTTTTTCCGGAAAGTATTTCAGAATTAAATTTAAAATTGTGTTTTCCGGAAAATATTTCAGAATTAATTTTATAACGGGTTTTTATTAAGTTTCTATTTAAAAATTATTCTACTTGTTGTGGTGTAACCCGTACAGAAGGTGCGTCTTTTGAAACGCATGGATGCCCGTGATCCTTCCAAAATAAAGCTTTACAATGGCAACAAACAACAACAAGATCAGCATACTAAAAAATATTTTTATTTAATTTTTAAAAATAAATTCTCTAACAGTTTCACGAAGCCCGTAGTATTTTTTGAGTTCGAAAAATAAATCACGCCAGCTTTGTTCAGGATACTTAAAGAACAAAATTTACAAAAATTAAATTAAAACAATTTTTACTTGATGTTTGTTAATTTGAAGCTGTGAGAAGTGGAATTGGCAAAGCGTTCTATAAAAAAGGTAAAAATGTTATACAAGTTTTCTAGAAGTTTTCGACTTAATTACATGTGTTTTCCGGAAAATGTTCTATATTGTTTCCAGAATATTTTTCAGAATATAATTAATTCCGGAAAAGTTTTATTAGTCTTTTTTTCCGGAAAAGGTATAATTATATAATGTATTTTCCTGAAAGTTATAATTTCAGTTTATTTTCCGGAAACTATAATCCCTGACAGGTTTATTAAAATAATTTTCCGGAAGAGTTATAGTTTCAGAATTTATTTTCCGGAAAGTTATATTAATTCCGGAAAAGTTTTATTAAAATAATTTGTTCCATATTTTCCGGAAAGTTATAATTAATTCATGAAAAGTTTATAAATTAATTAATTCCGGAAGAGTTGTAATTTCAGAATATATTTTCCGGAAAAGTTTCATCAAAATAATTTATATTTTTTACCTCCACTGTCTCTTTTCTGATTCGACCAAAGCTTGAAGTGTTTCATTTGCTTTAGCAGCTTCCAACAGAGAAACATGATCGGGCAATTTACTCAGAATTAGAGAAAGTACTTCTCTTGGAAGGTCCAGAAATGTTATATTTTCTGGACTGGCTTCAGATAAAGTATGTGGAGCAGAACTTTTGGCAATTAAGTCGAGTAAGTTAGTACAGGTTCCTTGTTGTTTGCTGACTAATTGTGGAGAACCACAAACATGGGGAGAATCCAAACCAGAATTAAATTTTTTGAGAATATCCTTTAAATTAAATTTAATTTTGAAATTGTAAATTAAAAAATATTCTTCCGGAATTGTTTCCGGAAATATTTATAGTTTACTTTTTTTCCGGAAGAGTATAATTTCAGAACGTGTATTTTTCCGGAGAATATTTCAGAATTAAAATGTATTTTTTCCGGAAGGCGTTTCAGAATAAATTTAAAATAAATTCCGGAAAAAGTTTAATTAAGTTTTCCGGAAAAGTTATAAAATTATTTCAGAATAATTATAGAAAGTGTATTTTTTCCGGAAAAAGTTTATTTCAGAATAAATCTAGTAAATTAAACAATTTCCGGAAATATTATTTACCTAATTATTTCAGAATAAACTGTTTCAGAATAGACTATTTCAGAATAATTTTTCAGAATAAGAAAATTATTTCAGAATTATTAAAATAAATAATTTAAACGGAAATGCTCTTTTCCGGAAAAAGTTTATTAAGAATATACTACCTTCCGGAAAAGTTTAAATAATTGAGTTTCAGAATAGTTTTCCGGAAATATTATTTCCCTAATTATTTCAGAATAAGAAAATTAAATTATATTACAGTTTAAAATAAATAATTTTTCCGGAAATGCTCTTTTCCGGAAGTTTATTAAAAATATACTCTACCTTAGTTGTAGTTATATGCATATCATTCTCCACACTATGTAAAACCATTGCTTGTATTATAGCTTTAAAATAAATTTATTTTTAAATTAATTATTTTCTTCCTTACCAAAAAGTATTTTTCTGGAAGAAGCACTTAAATTGTGCAATTTTTCGTTCACCAAAATTTGGACAACTTTGCAAATATAATTAAATCGTCTAATATCAACAACAGCCCTCGCCATGTCCAAACGATGAAAAGCTTCTGACATGCTTGTACATCCAATAAATTCTTTTGAACGATTTTTTAATTTAACAAAACAATATGGTTGAGACCAGAAACTTTTTCTATCTGTTATGTTGTTTTGGTCATCACTATCTTCGTTATCTTCATCTTCTGCATTGTCTTCATCCTCCTCTTCGTCTTCAAAAAAATGTAAAAATTTAAATAATATATTTTGGAGTTGCGGACAAAAATTTTACTCAAAAATTTTTTTGCGGACAATCCGCAAGTTTTTTGCGGACAAAAAATTTTGTCCGCAAATTTTTTGCGGACAAAAAATTTTTTTGCGGATAAACTTTTTAATTCAATTATATTTTATAATTACCGTTATTAATTAATTCATTAGTTGTTTCCCCTTCCAAAATATCAGCCTCGTTCAAAGAAAAATCATTTTCTTCTTCTTCGCTTTTTTGTCTTAAATTAGTGTTTAATTCCCCTTCAATTTCTTCCTCAGCAGAAGATGGTGGAGAATCGACAGAATTTTCAGAATTGAGAGAATTTGAGCTATTTTCTCTTTTGGGCAATAAATCTAACTGAAAAATAATTTTTATAGAATTTTTGGATTTGCGGACAAAATTTAAAAATTTACGGACAGTCCGCAAATTTTTTGCGGACAAAAAATTTTTTTCCGAAATTGTTAGAGGATCCAAATTAAAATATTAAAAAAATATATTTGCCTGTATAGGACGTAATTTAATCAATTCCCATCCAGCAGTATGGTTGACATGATTAACACGTACCCATAGATCTCCTTTAAAAATAAATTTTAAAAAAATTTAAAAATTTTTTTTATTTACCGGGTGCTCTCCAATCTTTCCCAATAAAAGGCATTTTTCTTTTAATTTTCAGTTGAAGAAAAAAAAATAAAAATGAAAAAAAAATCTGAAAAAAAAATTTTTACTTAATATTAAATAATTTATTTAAAAATAAAAAATTTTTTTCTCAAAACCCGTGTTAGCAAATTAAAAATCCCGTGCTATACACGTAAAGCAATTTTTAAAAGAAATATTAAAAGCTTTAGAAAATCTTTTTCAGTCAAAAGATTTGTGTGTGGTGATCAGTAAAATGATCAGATAAAAAAAGATTAATTAATTATAATTAAATGATCATCAAAGATAAATTTAAAAAAATATCAGATGATGCAAAAATAAATAGAAAATAATTTTTTAAAATTATTTTTGGATTTTCTTTGCAAAAAAAAAAGAAAAAATTATTTTGATAAAATAGAGGATTTATTTTAATAACTTAAGCGACAAAATACTTTCCAGACAATTTACCGTCTAACAAAAATAATCTTATCTTATAATGAGGCGTCTCTTAAATAGAGGGTATCTCTTAGACAGATCCCCAATGGCTAACCAACCAAAAAAGCGTTCCTTAAATAGAGGTTTTGGATGTCTCTTATAACGAGATTTTTGTCTGTAAATTGTCTAGACGGTAAATTGTCTGGAAGGTGTTTTGTCCCACAAGGATTAAACAATATTGTTTTGATAATAAAAATGGAGGAATTTGGATTGTTTTTCAAAAATAAAAATTTCTTAAGGATAGCCAACTGTTTCTCTTTTCTAAGAAATGTTATCCCATTTGGAAAAATAAGAAAATTTTTTTCTAAGAAAATTAAACGCCTGATTTCCCCCAAATATTATTATACATATCCTCCTTTCTTTAACTGAGAAAAAAAAATTTTTGGGGAAATAAAAAAATATTATTTAGTGATTAAAGAGAGAAAAGTAGACAGACTTTAGACCATCTAAAAAATAATTTTAAAAAAAATAAAAATAAAATAAATTAATTCCAATAAAGTGGACTGGCATATCTTTATGCAAGTCACCTCTTTCAAGGGACTAGCGTAAAAAGAAATGTTAAGAAAGTGGAAGATGGAAGTGGAAAGGTCAATCTGTGGAATACGGAAGAGATCACATCCTTGCTGTGTTTTCTGAAATAAAATTTTCTCTCAAGACTTAGTAAAAGTCTCAGGATTTGACCCCAACTTTGTGTTGCCCTAAACATTTAAAGGGTTGTTCTCTTTGTAGAAGGAATAGAAAAAAATTTAAAATATAAAAGAACAATAAAATTAGAGACAATAAACAACAAAAGAAAAAAAACAAAAAATATTTACAAGACAAAAGAAAAAACAAAATTTTTGGGGTAATTTTTAAAGAAAGGCAGGCAAACTTTGGACTTTAAAACTTGACACAAATTTAATTAAAAACAAGTGAAAAATTCAATCAATAAAATTTTTAAAAATGAGAAGCTCTCGTTTATACGTCATTCCTACTCATTCCTACTTAAACGTCAGATTTTTAAGAGGTCGAATCTCAATTTTACGTCACCTCTAGAAAAATAGAGTTGGCCGGTATCGGGATTGAAATTGGCCGGGATCGGGATATTTATTTCGGGAGCGGGATCAGAAAAATCGGGATCGGGATTTGAAAAACCCGGGATAATCCCGCCCGATCCCGACCGGGATCCCGATCCCGGCCAACTCTATAGAAAAACAAATATTAGAGACGCCTCTAAAACAAATATTAAAGAGAGGGTGACGTCTAAATTAAATCCGATTCTAAAAAAGCTGAAGTCCCAGTGAGAGTGGAATCTGACGTATAAAAAGAAGAGTAGGTTGTCGGACTGGAAAAATCTCTTTCGGATATCAGTAACCTAAATGAAGAACACAAAAACAGAAAATTTCTCGGGAACTCGGTTACTGACTGACAATGTGATCGAGAAAAAACCAATACGGAATACCAATAAATAAAGGAAAAAACGGCCGTAGACGGTACGCCCTGACCATTAATGCTAAATAAGCTTATATAATAGATAAATGCTTAAATTAAATAAATTAGTAAAAATTCTTCCCTCAAAAACCCAAATTAGGAAAATAAAAAAACTACAAATTCCTTCCAATCTTTGACTTTTCTCCAGAAAATCCCAAAAAGAATTTTATTTAAAAAAAGAAGATAATTTTTACTATTTTAGTCTTTGGCTTTTTAGAAAAAAATATTTTTAGACGAGAACACTTAAAAATAGTAAAATTAAATACTAAAATGATGAGGAAAATTTTTTTGAAGATGAGGGAAAATAAATAAATGTCACATATTCCTCATCATTTTTATAAGAAAAAAAAGATGACACAAGAAGGAACTAATAATAAAATAAAATAAAATAAAAATAGAGTTAAATCTCGATATCCTTAAGGATTGAGAGGGTGTACCAGGGATCCTGTCAAAAAAAAACAAAATTGCCGATTTTCGGGGAGCTCTGGGGCGGCAGGATCCCTGGGGGTACATAAATATGAGGATATAAAGGGTATATTTAAAAAGGTATAAAGGGTATACTGTAAGGGTTCCTAAATGAATCTCCCTCTAATACGAAGGGAAAGCAACAAAAAATATAGTGGAATCTCTCAGTTACGATACCCCTTTCCTTCTTACGACACCCCTTTTCCCTTACTTAGGGGTATCGCCTAGAGGCCCCATCTATTGGCCAATCAATTTTAAAAATTGTCCGTACAATTAGAAACGAGTAGAGGTAAATCTGGGTAACTATGTACATATAATATCTCTCGGTTACCCTATATTTTTAATTTTAAAATTAAAAATTAAAATAAAGGTTAAAGTTTGTTTTGAGGCACTCCCGTGATTTGAAAAAACCCTAAGGCTGTAAATGAGAATTTAAATGTGTTTTTGACTTTACTCACGTGTTTTGAAAGAAAATATATATTTTTTTGAGAGTTTAATGACATCAATAGAGAATTAAATATTGAGGGAAAATTTTGAAAAAAAAGAGTGAATCATTAAAAAAACAGCTGATAAAAGGGAAATAAAGCAACAAAAAATATAGGGGAATCTCTCTGTTACGACACCCCCTTTCCTTCTTACGACAGCAAAATTAGGTAAAGTGTCGTTATATAGAGCTTCCTAAATGGAATCTCCTTCTAATACGACACCCCCTCTCCCTCTTACGACTTTCCTTCCTACTGTAAGGAGGAAGGAAAGTCTGTAAGGAGGATTCACCTAGAGCATTCAAAACGCTTAGGCGGAGGTTCGATGCCCCGGTAGTTCACCACATCCAGGAGCTGAGCCCGGTAGCTCAGCTCCTGAATGAGCTACCGGGCTCAGCTCCTGGATGCGCCGGGCTCAGCTACCGGGCTCCTGCGCTACCGGGCTCAGCTCCTGGATGCGCCTAGCAACAACTGTCAGGAGGTCACAGGTTCGAATCCTGTCCGGTGACTAAAAACTTTTCCTAAACTCTTGCTCTTACGGCAGAAAAATTAGGCGAGAGGGTGTCGTTATTATAGAGATTCCGGCTATTCAAAAAAAATTTTTTAATAAAAATAAACAAAAAAAAAAGTTTGCTGAAAAAAGTAAAATGAAAAGCTAAAAATATTTAAAAAAGAAAAAATTTATTTTTAAAACATTTGCTTTCAAGTAAACAAAAAAGACACATTTTTAGTTATAGATTTCCTTCTTTGTAGAATTATTTGAAGGGAAAATGGAAGGAAAAAATATTTAAAATGAATATAAAAATAAATTAAAATAGTATTACATAAGGGTAATTCTACAAAAAAATGTCCGCAAAAAATTTGCGGATTAAAAAAAAAGTCCGCAAAAAATGTTGCGGATTAAAAAAAAGTCCGCAAAAATTTGCGGATTAATAGAATCCGAAAAAAATTTGGATAAAAAAAGTCCGCAAAAATTGCGGACTTTAAAAAATGTCCGCAAAAATTTTGCGGATTAAAAAAAAGTCCGCAAAAATTGCGGACTTTAAAAAATGTCCGCAAAAATTTTGCGGATTAAAAAAAAGTCCGCAAAAAATTGCGGACTTTAAAAAATGTCCGCAAAAATTTTGCGGATTATGAAAATGTCCGCAAAAAATTTGCGGACAATCTGGACTTTTTTCATTTGCTTATAAAAATAATTTTATAGAAAGTGCTAAGCAGGTGTAATATTATACTAGCTGCTAATGGGTGCCTGGCTGTACATAAACATATAAATGACACCCCCACTTACTTAAATATATTGCCTGAGGCATGAAAATATTAAAATAATTAAAGCATTATTTTTGTAAAATATCCTCTCTCAAGGTCACGAAAAAAAATAATTAAAAAAAGAAGAAACACTTAAAGACAAATAAGCAATCAATCCTCCTTTCAACAACCCCAATTTTCTCTTTATTATTTTCAAATACTTAAAAGCATTATAGGTCGTTGCGCAGTCACACTTAATTACGAAGGGAAATTTTTTGGGAAAAATAGAAAAAAATATTTTGAGTTAGAAAAAAATTTTTAAAAATTTTTTTGAAGTTTTTAAAGGTCCTACACGGTTCAGGAACTATATAAAAACAAAAATCTAACCACTCCCGGCCAGTAGGCATCGAACCCGGTACCCCAGAAAATAACAAGTCAGGGATGTTAACCACTACACCAACAACAGAGTTAATTAAGTTAATAAATTAGCGAATAAAGAAAATACAAAAATACGGCTTCCCCATATTTCGCCAATAAGGCTAAAAAACCACGTTTTGCCAACAAGGCTAAAAATGACATTTTGCCAATAAGGCTAAAAAATGACATTTTGCCAACAAGGCCTCGTTGCAACGGGTTTTAGCCTTATTGGTAAAATATGGAGACACGAAAAAAATACAAAATTTCAGACAATTAATTATTAAATTAAAATATCGATTTTTTAAACAAAGAAATTTTCAAAAAAAATTTTTTAAAAAGACAGTCTGGTTTGTACTCACAAATTATATAGTAAAAAGATGTTCAGTGAACATGAACGAATGAAAATAAAAAAAAATTTTTTTTAACGACTGGTACATATAAAAGCAATAAAACGCGTACACACAAACGTATAGAGAGAAAAGAGTAAATAAAAGAAGTAAATTTTATATAATATTTTACGTTTGGAAAGCGCGAGAGTAAAAAAGGGAAGATGACAGACGGGCAAACATAAAGGGAAAAAAGTGGACGACAAAACGCCAACGAATAAAAATGTCCATAAGGGGGAAATATACAAAAGGGGAAAAAGACGACAAAACGCCCACTAGCTAAATAGGCGACAAAATGCCCACGTAATAAAATGCCCACAAGGGAGAAATATACAAATGGGAAGAAAAAACGACAAAATGCCTACATTGTAAAATGTCCACAGGGTAGGAGTCGCTTATAAAGGGAGTCTCTTTAGATAAGCCTAGCTGAAACTAAAAAGTACACTAGAGTCTTGAAATTTTTTTTAAAAATGGTTTTGGGTCAGTCTTGCTCCTTCAAAATTCTTGATTATAAGAATGGGAAAGAAGAAGATCCCCGTTGGGCATTTTGCAATCTGGACATTTTAAATATTGCGTGAGAAATAAAATAAAATTGCGTGCAATAAAGAGAAAAAGGGAAAGAAAGGCTAGACAAAATTATGGCCATACTATTTTTGCCCCATCTATTCGCCGTCTTTCATACCCCATTTAGACGCAAATAAAATAATTGAGGGGTTATTGTAAAGGGAAGGTTAACAATGCTTAGAGGAGGAATAATGAGGGAATAAGGTGAGTAACAAAGAGGAAGAGGGTTTATTAGGTGAAGAAAGGCAATTAATTGAGTAAATAATGATATAATGGGGCAAAACATGTTTTTTTAATAATTTGGCTGTTAATTGAAGGGGGGCACAAATCTAAAATAGGTGGAGTTTACATGTAAGGCTAAAATACAGTCCAGACAAAATACAGTCCGACAGAACAAAGAAGAAACATGGACACGAATTTTGATGTCCGTATCGGGATATATTCGTGCAACTTTTGAGGCACATCCTTCCGTGCGTATCCGCTGACTTGGAGCATCATATCTGTCCAATTTTTTAAAAAACAGTATTTATAACGTCCGTATCTTGATATATCCGCGGGTATCCGGATATTATCCATATCCATGACCCTGTCTGAAGAAAAATATGCATTGGAGTCATAAGGGCGCAGGGGATGTTTTTTGTTTGTTACTAGGGATGTTGTACATTGAGTAAATCAACGAGGGATGTTGTTCAGCAATAATGGATATTGGAACTTTCTACCCATTGTTGGACTAACCAGCTTTAGAAAAATAGTGTAAGAGTCAAATGTTTTCAGGAAGTTTGTTTCCTATAGTTTGTATCCATTGTTGTCTTGTTCATTTCCTCCCCTTTCCTACACCTTTAAAAGGATCTGCAATCATCCTGTTATGGTTAATAGTAGTATGTCCGGTGAAGAAGATCAACAGAGGGCCTGATCAATCCTTGAGCTCATCCTAGGAAGTCCCGGGCAGATCCCCTCCCTTATTACATTATCCTGGGGTCACATTGGAAACATCTTATATTGTGGTCTCACCTCTATTATAGTCCTTTAAAAAATCCAACTATAGAAAAATACATGCAAAAATTTTTTTTCTCTCTATTCCTTCCTTAAATTCTCCCTACTAAAAATATAAAAATTCATAAAATATTTATTAATATATATCCCTTTTTAAATATTTTTCCTTTTTTCTTGTTTTCATTATTTCTTTGAAATGCTAGGAACACAAATCCAATTTAAATAAGAAAGTGTGCCCCTCAAATATTTTTTGAGGAAAAATTAGAAAAAAAAGTCAAAACGGCAAAAATCGTTTCGACTCTTAAATTCTCTCCCTTTCCTTCCCTCTTTAAAAATAAAAAAAAATTTATTTCCTCAATTTTGTTATTTAAAACAATAGATATAAACAACAACTTGGATATTTTGTTTGTTTACCTTCCCTTTCTCTCTTAAATATCCTCTCCAACTAAGGAACGTTTCCTCCAGCTAAGGTTGGCGGATCTTGGGGATCCGTGGATATCTGGATCCGGATCCGAAAATTTCCGGATATCCGACAGGAACCAGAATCCGGATGTCGTATCCGGAAATCCGAGCTAAGGTTGGCAGATCTTGGGAATCCGGAAATCTGACCAAAGATCCCCCAACCATACCTCAAACATTTTCTTCTCTTCATACATGTTCCAACACGAAAAATGACGTACAAGCTGAAACTTGTAAGAAGAGAAAAAGACGTTTAATGTTTAAAATCTCGGTCAGGATTTTCTTATTCGATTCCGGCCGAGTATCCAAAAATTCACTGACCGGATATCCATGGATTTCCCCGAATCTTTGAAAACAGGGAAGTTCCTTGTAGAACTGGGTTTGATTTATTGAACTGGGCCGGATCTTGGGCAACCCGCAGGACCATGAAAACCCCAGGAAGTTCAAAAACTGCCTAGGTCGGGACTCTGGGTACAGGAAAACCCAGGCCTTGGTCCAGCCCCAGGCCAATCTCTAGTAGGCTGTTAAATTGAGGGTCAATTATATCGAGTTTTGGTTCCAATACAATTTTAATATAGAATTAATAAAGGGGATATACTAGAAATTAAATTCCATTATTAATTTTCCACATGAAACAAAGAAAAATTTTTTAAAAATTTTTTTTTACTCTTTTTTGCCTCCTTTGTTATACATTTTTATATTTAATTTTATTTTTTCCTTTTTAAACTAACAAAAAAAAATTTTTTGTCGCAAGCATTTTCTTATTTCTTTTAAAATTTATTAAAAGCCAAATCGAATAATCTACTAAAAAATATTTGACACAGACCTCTTTGGAGATTAAGGATGAAAAAAATTTTTTTTTGTTTAGTTTTATGATGAAGAAAAAAATGTTTTTTTTGAGAAGAAATTTTATTTCGTTTGTTGTCCTTAATATACATTTTTCTGTTAAACTTTTATTTAAAAAAATTTTATTAAAGTAGCATTTTTCGCGGGCAATTTTTGCGGATTATTGCTTACAGATAATGCGGATGTCCGCAAAAGTTGTCCGCAACAATCACACCTCTTTAACATAAATTTAATTGTCACACCTCCTTGTAAGATACACCCAATACTACATACACCTCTACAGATCTGGTCACGGATACTGATTTTGGTATTTGTATCCGGATATTTACGGCGCAGGCATTTTGATATTATCTGTATCCGTATCCATGACCAGGTCTGCACTTCTATGTAGGATACGTTATTAAAAGACTTTATTAAAATTACACCTCTATTTAACATACATCTCCTCAATATAAGACACTTTCTTCAAGACTACAAGCATACTTTCTATTTAAGATAGGTATACCCTCACCATAAGAAGCAGGGCTGGGCAAAATTAAAAAATAAATGCGAAACTTTTCGCGCTAAAAAATGCGAAATGCGAAAGATGCGAAATAATCCCGCCCTGATAAGATCCCCGCCACATACGAAGAGGTTAAATGGAGCCATTCATCAGGGCTGAGCGTCATTGCGTTTGCCATTCCATGCGAAAATTTTGACGCACAGACTCTCCTTCAAGGCATCGAAACATTAATTAATCGCTAATCCCTCCCCTTCTAATAATTTTTTGTTCAACTTTAATCCACTTTAAGTCTCCATTTTAAGCCTAATAAGGGTCATTTCACTCTTATTGAGTAAATTTTTTTCCTTTTTTTGTTAGGGAAACTTGACAATTTATTGGAAACACTCGTATATTTATTCATATTTTATTTATAAATGCTCATTTTCTTTTAATATATTTATTCAATGAAATGAGGGAGATGAAAAGTTGGTTGGTTGGTTGGTGGACTCGAATTTCGAGAAACACACACATACACATTTGCATTATTTTTTAAGCTCAAATTATTCAAAATAAAAAATGTTGTTGTGTTGAATGATGTTTTATCTAAAATAGGAAAGAAATTTTAAGGAAAACCTCTTTTTAGGATACACCCAATATAAGACACATCTCTATTTAACGGACGTTTTTTTTAAATTGGGTGGACTATTGGGTGGAGAAGCTTCCTATTAGGGCGGAGGATCTTATTTAAGAGACCCTCATTATAAAGTTAAACCTCACTATAAGTAACTCTCGCTATAAGAGACGTTTTCTATTTAAGAGGCGTTTTTTAAATTGGATAGGCTGTTGGGTGAGAAAGCTTTTTAACGATACCCTCTATTTAAGAGACTCATATGTTTAAACCTCTTTATAAGAAACTCTCGCTATAAGAAATATTTTATATTTAATAGACGTTTTTAAAACATTGGTTTGGCTATTGGGTGAGAAAGCTTTCTAAAAACGATACCTTCTATTTAAGAGACCCCCATCATATGGTTAAACCTCTATATAAGAAACTCTTGCTATAAGACACACCTCTATTTAAAATACATTTTTTTAAAATTGGGTGGGCTATTGGGTGGGAAAGCTTCCTAAAAACGATACCCTCTATTTAAGGCACCCTTTATTATAGGAGACAATTTTTTCAGTCCTAAAGGCTAATGAGATCTGAGGTTTTCTCTCCGTCAATGAGGTTTTTAACCTCTAAATTTTTAATTTGACAGATTTTTTCATTTTTTTTCTTAGAAAAATTTCACTATGGGAATAAAATTGCTACATTTTTAATTTATTGGTCATTAATTAATTAAATAAATATTATATGCATTTAATCATTCTTTTCATTTTTAAATAAATAATTTATTTAAATATATCATAAACCACTCGGGAAAAATTTTTTTCTTTTTTTTCAAAAAACTTTTTTTGCTTCCTTTTTCATTTTCTAACCCTTTTTAGTAAAATATCCTCATTTTATTGACTACTCATTTTTATTATTTTTATTTTTTTATTATTCAAGCGTGGGTTTAAAAATAATATTTATTTAAAAAAGGGAAAAATTATTTTTTATTTTCCCCCTTAAAAATTGAATAAACTGCTAAAATTACCAATTTTCAAAAATTCATATCTCCCTCCTAAAAAATTATTTTTCAAGTTTGTTTTTTTGATTCTAGTTTTTAAAAGTATGGAGAATTAAAATTAATTAATAGATTTTTTCTGAAAAATTTTTAGGACCAAAATACGGATTTTTCTTTAAGGTATATCCAACACTATCCTTATCTCCCAAAATCACCAATTTTCAAAAATTCATATCTACCCTCTAAAAAATTGTTTTCCGTCAGGTTTTTTGATTCTAACTCTTTAAAGTATGGAGAATTTAAATTAATTAAAAAAATTTTTCAAAAAAATTTTTAGACCAAAATACGGATTTTTCTTTAAGGCATATCCAACACTATCCTTCTATCTACGTATACCTTTCTGACTTCAAAAATTTTTTTGAAAAGCTGAGACAGTGATAAGAATGGCATATTTAAACTGACATTTAATCGATTTATTGAAAAAAATTTGTGTCCGCAAAAAATGTCCGCAAAAATTTTTTTCCGCAAAAAAAATTTTTTGTCCGCAAATTTTGTCCGCAAAAGTTTTTTTGTCCGCAACTTTTTTAATTAATTTTTTCTATTAATTCAGACCTTTCTTATTAATTTAATTATTTAATGAATTAATTATTCTCTAATTTAATCAAAAATAAAATGAATTGTTCTTCTATAATAGAACTCCCTCCAACTATGCGCTTTCGTTGGAGTCATAATGGATCTGTTGCTATTTGTTATTCGTAAATTAAAATTTTTAAATTTTATTTCAAAATTATTTTTTTAAAGTGCTGTTTTTGTTTTGTCATTAATTGGAAATGGTTTTATGTTTCTAATTTTATTTAGGTAATTTTTTTTTAATTTTGGAAATTTTTTTGCGGACAATGTTTGCGGACATCTACCAATGGCCCATATTTCTCTCTAAAAATTAAAAAAAAATATTTTCTCTCCATAAGAAAAATTATTTTTTAGTGATTCTCTAATGTCCGCAAATATTGTCCGCAAGTTAAAAATTTTTTGTCCGCAAAAAATTTGCGGACAAAATTTTTTTGTCCGCAAATTTTTATTTAAATTCCTGCTTAATATTTTAAAATATTTTTAAATTTTAAGAAATCAGTGTATTAAGAGAAGGCGTGTACATTCACTTCTTTTGCATATGACAGTTGCCCAATTACTTGTTACCTTGGTAGGGTATTTAAATTCTAATTAAATTTCAAAGTTTAAATATTTTTTAATGTCCGCAAAAATATATTTTTAAATTAGTAAATTGATAAATAATTAAATAATAAATTTAGGGAAATTTTTAAAAAATTTATTGTTCAATTTTATTTACCACACAGGTTTATATACCAAAAGAAATTGTTCATAATTTAACTATAGCCTGGCTAGGAGGGGATTTACTCTGCAGATTATGCAAATTCTTTGGTAATTTTTTAATTAAAAATTTTTTTTCATTTAAATTTTTTCAGACGTTTTTGGAGTTGCTTTATCAGCAGGCATTTTAGTCTGTCTAAGCCTTGATCGTTTTTATTCCATACTTTTTCCACTTTACGTAATTAATGCTAAAAGGAGTGTTCAAAGGATGGTTATTGCTGCTTGGTGATTTTTTAATAAGAAAATTTTATAATAAAAAATGATTAAATGATAAAAGATAAAATGATAAACTCGAATAAATTTTATAAAATGCCATTCGGAACCCTCAAAAAATTCCTCAAAAAAATTGTTGTCCGCAAAAATTTTGCGGACGTCCGCAAAAATTTTGCGGACAAAAATTTTTCTCAACAAAAATTTCCGCAAAATTTTTGTTTTTAAAATAGTAAAATAATATTTTAAAAGAAATTTTTTCTTAATTTTTTTGTTAGGCTTGTTGCTGCTTTATCCAGTTTACCCCAAGTTTATATATTTCGAACAGCCAGACATCCATGTTTTACTGAATTTACAGTTAAATAAATTAATTATTTAAATTAAAAAATTATTTTTTTTATTTAATTAGCAATGTGTATCTGCTGATATAATTGGATTATTATCCCCAAATGTTATTTATTGGTTTTCTGTTTTAAATATTGTTCAAGTAGCTTTTTTGATATTTTTAATTAAACAATTTTATTAAAATAAAATCAGAATTTAGAAAATAAAATACAGAAATGTATTTTTGTATTTTATCCCTAATTCTGAATTATTTTGTATTTTTAATGAAATTCTGGTTTTTGTATTTTTTTAAAATTCTGTGTTTTTCTTAAATTCTGATTTTTATAAAACAAATGTTTTTATTAGATTCTGGTTTATATAAAATTCTGGTTTTTTTTAATTCTGATTTTTATAAATTTCTGATTTTTTAATTATGTTTTTATAGAATTCTGATTTCTATAAAATTCTGGTTTTCTGTAAAATACATGTTTTTATAAAATTCTGGTTTTTATAAGGTTCTGATAATTAGAAAAACATCAGTATATCGCAGTTGTTGGTTATATTGCTTATTACGCTAGCAAAAATTCATTTAAATTTAAAAAAAATTACAAAATTTTTTCTCTAAATTTTAGGTTTATTTTATTCCCTTGTTTGTTATTTTATTTTGTTATGGATCTATTCTTGTTTCAATTTCATTAAAAAGTAAAGACACAAAAGTAGCTTCAGAACCAGAACAACCCCCTAAAGAGCAAAGGAATATTACAAAATTGGCTTTATTACGTGGACATGAAATTCATCAACAATTGGCTGCTGGTAAAAAATTTTTTTATTCTGAAAAAAAATTTTTAAAAGGTCGTTCTGCTCGTTGGCGACGTACCAGCAGTTTGGCGACCGTCCCAGCTTCTTTGTATTTTAGCAAAACACAACCAAAATATTATGGAACAACGGGAGGAGAAAATAACAATAATATTAATTGGAGTAAGAGACCAAGTGTTGCAGCAACAAATATGAACAATGGATTAAGGCGAACGGGTGGAGGCGATTCGTATGAGAGGGCTAAAAGCAAAACTGTTAGATTATCATTTTAATAAGTGAAATACAAAAAATATTAAAAGAAAATACAAAAATCAGAATTTTAAAATACAAACAAAATACATCAGAACATAAAATATCAGAACAAAAAATACAAAAAAATACAGAAAATCAGAAAATAAAAATACAAAATAAAAGAAAATACAAAAATCAGAATTTTAAAATACAAACAAAATACATCAAGACATAAAATATCAGAACAAAAAATACAAAAAAATACAGAAAATCAGAACATAAAATACAACTAAAACACAAATTATAACTAAAAAATCAGAATTTTAAAATACAAACAAAATACATCAAACATAAAATACCAGAACAAAAAATACAGAAAATACAAAAATCAGAAAATAAAAATACAACAAGAGGAGTTTAAAAATACAGAAAATCAGAACAAAAATACAACAAAATACAGAAAATCATAACATAAAATACAACAAAAACACAAATTACAACTAAAAAATCAGAATAAAAATACAAAACAAAACACTTGTGTTTTTCTGTATTTTTGTTCGTTTTGTGTTTTCCTATCATTTAAATAAATGTATTTTTAATTTTTATTTTCAGCTTAAAATGACTCTTGTTCTGGTATTAGCTTTTCTTCTTTGTTGGACGCCTTATACAATAGCTATGTTTATTCACTTCCTTCGAGTTCAAACAGAAGCTCGCCCAATTTCTCCATTGCTCAGCAAATTTTTATATGCCTTTGCTGTGTAATTTTTATATTTTTTTAATAATATTTTTTTAATTTTCAGTTTTAATTCTGCCATCTCTCCTTATCTGGTAAATATTAATTTTTATAGTTAAAAAAAAATTTTTTTTGAGTTGTCCGCAAATATTGTCCGCAAAAATATTTGCGGACAAAAAATTATTTTTAATAAATTTTATTTTTTTCCTCAAAAATTTATTTTATTTTTTTCAAGTATGGCTACTTTTCTTTTAACATTCGAGACGAGTGCCGCCAACTCAGATATTTAGTTTTCCGTTCAGCACCCGCAAGGTGTCTGCTCAGACATGGCGACTCAACAGAAGAATCAATTTCTCATTCAAGAAGTCCTTTCGGTCCTCTAGCTCCTGGACAACGAGAGTAAATTTAAAATTAATTTTTAAAAAAATTTTTATTTCAGTAGCCGACGACGAGCAATGATTCGACGAGAATCACGTGTTCGCGAAGGCCTAATGATGTGCGAGGAAGGACAACAACAAAAACGACAGTCTATAAGTGCGACAAAGGATTCTTCCCGTGTAGTAACTGGACAACAGAGAGCGCCAAAATTGGGGTTAGAAAATTTGAGGATGTTGTCCGCAAAAAATTTTTGCGGACAATCCGCAAAATTATTTGCGGATGTCCGCAAATAATTTTACGAACAACTTGAAATTTTTTTCCAATTTTTTAGTGATACTTCTCGTACCTTTTCACTCAATACAACAGCCACAACATTAATTTCCAATTCATCATTCTCTAACGGGCAATGTTCGGCTATTACAAGACGACGTCCACGCTTAAATGACGACAGGGATCTTATGGAAGTGGATTCTAAAGAAGAGGAGGAGGACCAAGAAGAGTCGAATGAAGTAGGGGAAAGAAGAGATTCTTTGTTAATTTGTAATGAAAATAATGAATAAAAAATAAAGCCTCACTTATAGCCTCACTCCCTTAGGGCTGAAAAAGTCTTACCTTATAATGAGGTGTTAGTTAAATAGAGGGTATTGTTTAGGAAGCTTCCTACACCTGGTGAACTACCTAATTTTTAAATAGTTTCTTAAATAGAGGTGTATCTGATTTTGGGGGTGTCTTATAGAAAGGCTTGATTGAGGAGTAATTCTGATTTTTCTAAGATTAACTCAATGCTCTACCTCACTTAAATAAATTTATTGCCATTATACTTTTAATAATTAAATTTATTTATAAGAAAATAAATACAAAATTTTATGAAAAAAAATTTAAAATATTTTTTAAATAAATTATAAATAAAAAATTGCTTTTTCTAAATTAATTATTGCATGAAAAAAATTAAATTTGGGTGTTTTTGTGTTTTTTAGAAAATTGCACACGGTCGGATTTTAAATATTTAAATATCACATGTTTTTATTAAAATATTTTTTCACTCACATATTACAATATCTTCTGATTTGATATTGTCTTTTGCACTATTACAACATTCCCGCATATCTGACCTTTTGTTGGAAGTTTCTTCTGACTTAAACAGAAATGTATTCTAATTAAACTTGTATTTTATATGTATTTTGTATTTCTTGTTTTTTAAAAATAATTCTGAAATTTAATTCTGATTTAATTATTCTGGTTTAAATAGACTAAGTTTTTAAAAATTCTGAAAAATAAATTCTGAAAAAAATAAATCTGAAAATAAATTCTGAAAAATATTCTGAAAAATAAATTCTGAAAAAAAAATAATTCTGAAAAAATTAATTCTGAAAATTAAATTCTGAAAAAATATTCTGAAAAAATATTCCGAAAAAATTAATTCTGAAAATTAATTCTGAAAAATATTCTGAAAGTTAATTCTGAAAAAATAAATTCTGAAAATTAATTCTGAAAATAAATTCTGAAGTAAACATTCTGAAAATTAATTCTGAAAAAATAATAATTCTGATTTATGTATTTTAGTAAAACACTTTTAATTTAATCCAAAAACACAATTCTGATTTATTTAATTCTGTTTGTATTTTATTTTGTATTTTTAATGTATTTTCTATAACAATTTGTATTTATTTTGTATTTTTAAAATTACCACATTTATAATTTCTTCCTCATTTTCCCCCACACTAGTCTCCTCCTCAATTTCACCTTTCATAAATAATCCTTCCTCATTAACACTACAATTTTCTTCATATTCTTCTTGTTGTCTTTCCATCTCCATATTTGATGGGCTCAAAACTTTGAAAAAAAATTTTTTTTAATTTTTAAAAATTTTTTCCTTTACCCCTAACATTAGAAGCTGTTGAAGGGCAATAACGTTCCCCAGTACCCGCCCCAGCCAAACCATCAACATAATTTTGTAAATAATTTAGTTCGTTAGCAAGTGGACGGCAAGCAGTATTCTTCCAATGAGTGCGCAAACCGCTAGGGCTAATATAGTTACGGCCACATGAAGTACAAATAAATGGACGTTCCTTTAGGAGAGAATATTTAAAGAAAATAATTTAGAAAAAACATTAGAATGTATGCGTTGATGTAGTTTTAGATGTACAAGCTGTGTAAATGAAAGATTGCAGCGATCACAACTGTAATTAATTTGAGAAGGAAAGATTTAAATTTTAAAAATCAGAATAAAAATAATGAAACAAATTTTTAAAAATCAGAATTCTGTGAGAATCAGAATTTAAAAAATCAGAATTAAAAAATCAGAATTATTTAATTAAAATCAGAATTTTTAAAAAGCGTAATTCTGAAAAATCAGAAAAAATAAAATTCATTTATAATTTAAAAATCAGAATTCTGAAATACTTGAGAAAACACAAATTTTAAAAAATACAAAGACAATTCTAATAAAGTAAAAATACAAGAACTCTTAACCCACCTATAAGGGCGTTGTCCATTATGTAAGCGAAGATGTGTTTTTAAATTGCTAGTAGAAGAGAAACGTTTGTCACAGACCTTAAAGAAATTTTAAATATTTATTTAAATTAATTTAATTATTTTTCACCTCACAACGGTGAGGCTTTTCCCCGGTATGCACCAAATCGTGTTTTTGTAAATGTGCCAATTGAGTGAATCTATTTATTAAATTTAAATAAGAATGTATTTTTAAAATACCCTTTATTGCATTTACTACATTTATAAGGCCTTTCTCCAGTATGTGTTCGTAAATGGACTTTTAAGTTTGACAACTGACCAAAAGGTTTTGAACATTCCTATGTATTTTAGAAAAGAATTTAAAAAATCAGAATTATTTAAGTAAAATCAGAATTTCAGGATAAATCAGAATTTTTAATATCAGAATTTTTAAATCAGAATTTAATAAAATCAGAATTATCTAAGCAAACCAGAAATTTATTAAAATCAGAATTTTTAAACCAGAATTTTTAATAAGAATTATTTAATCAGAATCAGAATTTAATTAAAATCAGAAATAATTAAAATCAGAATATTTTAATTAAAACCAGAATTATTAAAAAACACAATTCTGAAACAATTTTAATAAATTCTGAATTTTCAGAAAACAAACACAACAATTGCGAAAAACACAAACTTGAATTAAACAGAAAAACACAAAATTATTATTAATTCCGGAAAAACACAATTAATTCAACTTGTTTAGAAAACACAAAAACAACTAAAAATACGCTACCTTACACTCATAACGCGTCCTTCCATCTACTTGTTGTGAATGCCAAAACTAAAAAAAATTTTTTTTTTAATTTTTAAAATTAAATATTGCCTTATTCTGAATATTTTGTTCCCCAAAATTATTAATTTTATTGTTTCCATTTTCTCTACGTTCCTTTCCTACTCTTCTTTCTACTCCTCCTCCTCCACCTTCTTCATTACGGGCAACACGTTCAGCAGCCGCAACCAACGCAGCTTGATATGCCTGCAAAGATTGTCTAAGTTCAGCTGCTACAGCAAAGGAAGAAGAAATTCCTTCTGTAGGAGGAATTGAAGTTGATTGAATCGAAGTTGCTTGGTTGGTTGTTGTTGTTGATCGACCAATATTTATTAAATCCCCGCTTCTCATTTCTGTTAATAATCCACCATTATTTATAGGAGGACGACGTATATGGGGAGTTTGATGAGGGAATTGTTGTTGGTGACGAATGTAATTATTTTCGTTATCTTGTCGATTTTGTTGTTGTTGTTGTTGAGGCAACATTGCAGCTACAGCAGCAAAGAGTGATGATGGGGATTGTGCTAAGGATCGAGTTTGATGGATGTTTTGTTGTTTATTAGTGTGTTGTTGGGATGAAGAGAGTGCTGCTGAATTAAAAGTTGCATTAAAATGTATTTAAGAATTTTTGCGGACATCAATATTTGTCCGCAAATATTTGCGGACACAAAAATTTGTCCGCAAATATTTGCGGACAAATATTTTTAGTAATAACGGTATCTTGCTCTATCAAAGGGTTGCCCAAAAAATTTATAAAATAAATAACTTTTTACATAAAATCCACAGAAAAATACTCTTCCCAAAATCCCGTGTATTCATATTCAAATCAAACCTACCATTATTGTTGCGAGAGGGTAATATCGACGGTACTGACGCCACCGCTGTACAGCCTAAAGCTGGAATTAAATGTTGTTCAGCTGCAGCCCGTCCTCCTCCTCCCCCTACATTAGCTATTCCTCCTCCATTTTGATTCAACGAAGAATTTGGATTATTTGTTGGGGCAACAATAGCTTGTAAATTAAGTAAATGGGTAGTTAAGGGGGTGGCAGAATTGTTAGATGTATTGCCATTATTGGTAGCAGTTAGTCCACTAGTCTGTAACCAATTTCCAAATTGTTGTTGCTGTTGCTGTTGTACTGCTGCAAGTGCTAAACGTCTTGACCATATTAAATTGTGAAGACTATCCATAGCTGTAGAGGAGACTGAAGGGAAGTTATTGGAAGGAATAGGGTTGTTTTGATGAGTAAAAGGAAGTGAAGGTGTAGAAGAAGAAAATAAAGAAGTTCCCAAGGATGAAGTTGTTGTTGTTGAAAAATTATTACAGGACAAAATATTGGAAGATGTGGAAGTTGGACGAAGAAAGGCACTATGGCCCAACGAAAAGGCTAAAGATGCCAATGAAGGAGCTGTTTGAGTTTGTAATAGGGAAGAATTTGGACAGCTTCCCAAAGAGGGCAAATTAGCCAAAGCAGAGCCCAAAGCTGTAGGTAGAAGAGTGGTGGGTGCCTGTGGGCTAGATAGACGTAAAGGGACAGGACGGTGTACTGAAGAAGTTGAAGAGGACGAAGACGAAGATTGTTGTTGAATGATTACATTTGGACGGTTATTATTTTGATGAAATAAGGAAGAGTGGTTATCCACTTTTGTTGACAACTTTTCAGAGAAACTTAGATGACGTTGAAGTTCTCCTTTATGGGTATGACCATAAATATGGTTATTGTTATGATGATGATGACGATGATTTTGTTGTGATTGACCGGGTGGGGGACTTGTAGGTGAAGAACTAAAAAGAATTTTTAAAATTATTTTTCGACTTTCCAACGTCCTTTCTACCTTTCTGAACTTGAATTTATTGAAATAAAGTCATCGCTAAATAAAGGTGTCAAGTCAGAAGTTGATGAAGCTGAAGCAACTGGTGAATGATGTGAATGTTGAGAGTTGGAAGAGCCAATGAGCAAAGAGTTTGTCTAAAAATTAATTAAATACAATCATATACAGCTCTATTATAATCGGAACACTTGATCGGTTAATCAAAACCTCTATATAAAATACACCCAATATTAGAGACACCTCTATTTAAGGCACCTATGTTATTAAAAGTTGGTTGGCCATTGGGTGAGAAACCGCCCAAGCGATACCCTCTATATAATACAAAATAGCCATATATTTAAGGTACGCCATTTAAAATTGGATTACCAAGTTACACCCCCTATTTAAAATACACCCCATTATAAGGTCTCAGTCCCTAGCAGACATGCACGAAACGTTTCGTTTCGTTTCGTTGTTTCGTTAGTTTCGTTATGTTTTTTCCTGTTTCGTCTCGTTTCGTGACGAAACACTTTTTAGTTTGTTTCGTTTCGTTTTGTTAACGAAACACCTCTGTTTCGTTAACGAAACATTACCCATTTTTTAGACCAAAATTTTACCCAAAAACTGAAAAATTTTCCCCTTTGTGATCAAAATTCAAAAAATTTTTGCCTGCGGCGCTGAAATCTGGATTTTAAGCGCCTACGGCGCATAATTTACTACATTTTTTTTGAATTTCTCGTTTGATTTTGTTTTTTAATATGCAAAGCTCAAATTATATGCTAGATTAGGCATGTAGAATCGATCTACCTCTTAATCCCAATCAGGGCAGGCGCAAAAGTTTCAATAAAGTTTAGCAACTGATGGCAATGGTCGTGAATATGGTTGCCTTTTTCGGGTCTGTTTCTATCGATTCGGGCCAGACGAGTCTTTTCGGGCCAAATATCTTAGGCCGACTCGATCTTTTGGTCCGAGTCGGTCCATTTTGGCAACTCTAATCATGAACGTTGTTATCAACAAAAAATCTGAGTTAAGAAATATCATTGGATTTGGCGGGAGCAATGGTACACATATTCTCAACACATAATTCGATTAAAGTCGATTTGGTGGAATTAAGGCTGATATGGTGGATTATGAGTCAAACGCGAAAGTTTTGTAGCATGGGACCACAATTTAAGGTCCCACTAAGCTATTAGATCAATTATAGACCATAACTAGCCTATTAACGTGTCTAAAATCGAATAATTATTAAAATAAAACCGTTTTTATTAAATTTTTTAAAAATTAAAATGTTTCGTTTTGTTTCGTTTCGTTTCGCTAAATTTTTACTGTTTCGTCTCGTTTCGTTAACGAAACGATTTTTAAAAAATTTTGTTTCGTTTCGTTTCGTCTGAAAAAATTTTGGAGTTTCGTGCATGTCTGGTCCCTAGGGCTAAGAGGTTCCATCGCAATTTTACAATACCTTTCTCAAATTACTACCACAGTTGCTTACACCTCCTGAAACAGGCAAACGCTCTGGTGTTGAGCATTTTTCTCTCATTAAATCTGTAGTAGTTTCAGCAAATTTTTATATGCCTTTGCTATATGCCTTTGCTATGCCATTTTATATGCCTCAGCAAATTTTTATATGCCTTTGCTGTGTAATTTTTATATTTTTTTAATAATATTTTTTTAATTTTCAGTTTTAATTCTGCCATCTCTCCTTATCTGGTAAATATTAATTTTTATAGTTAAAAAAAAATTTTTTTTGAGTTGTCCGCAAATATTGTCCGCAAAAATATTTGCGGACAAAAAATTATTTTTAATAAATTTTATTTTTTTCCTCAAAAATTTATTTTATTTTTTTCAAGTATGGCTACTTTTCTTTTAACATTCGAGACGAGTGCCGCCAACTCAGATATTTAGTTTTCCGTTCAGCACCCGCAAGGTGTCTGCTCAGACATGGCGACTCAACAGAAGAATCAATTTCTCATTCAAGAAGTCCTTTCGGTCCTCTAGCTCCTGGACAACGAGAGTAAATTTAAAATTAATTTTTAAAAAAATTTTTATTTCAGTAGCCGACGACGAGCAATGATTCGACGAGAATCACGTGTTCGCGAAGGCCTAATGATGTGCGAGGAAGGACAACAACAAAAACGACAGTCTATAAGTGCGACAAAGGATTCTTCCCGTGTAGTAACTGGACAACAGAGAGCGCCAAAATTGGGGTTAGAAAATTTGAGGATGTTGTCCGCAAAAAATTTTTGCGGACAATCCGCAAAATTATTTGCGGATGTCCGCAAATAATTTTACGAACAACTTGAAATTTTTTTCCAATTTTTTAGTGATACTTCTCGTACCTTTTCACTCAATACAACAGCCACAACATTAATTTCCAATTCATCATTCTCTAACGGGCAATGTTCGGCTATTACAAGACGACGTCCACGCTTAAATGACGACAGGGATCTTATGGAAGTGGATTCTAAAGAAGAGGAGGAGGACCAAGAAGAGTCGAATGAAGTAGGGGAAAGAAGAGATTCTTTGTTAATTTGTAATGAAAATAATGAATAAAAAATAAAGCCTCACTTATAGCCTCACTCCCTTAGGGCTGAAAAAGTCTTACCTTATAATGAGGTGTTAGTTAAATAGAGGGTATTGTTTAGGAAGCTTCCTACACCTGGTGAACTACCTAATTTTTAAATAGTTTCTTAAATAGAGGTGTATCTGATTTTGGGGGTGTCTTATAGAAAGGCTTGATTGAGGAGTAATTCTGATTTTTCTAAGATTAACTCAATGCTCTACCTCACTTAAATAAATTTATTGCCATTATACTTTTAATAATTAAATTTATTTATAAGAAAATAAATACAAAATTTTATGAAAAAAAATTTAAAATATTTTTTAAATAAATTATAAATAAAAAATTGCTTTTTCTAAATTAATTATTGCATGAAAAAAATTAAATTTGGGTGTTTTTGTGTTTTTTAGAAAATTGCACACGGTCGGATTTTAAATATTTAAATATCACATGTTTTTATTAAAATATTTTTTCACTCACATATTACAATATCTTCTGATTTGATATTGTCTTTTGCACTATTACAACATTCCCGCATATCTGACCTTTTGTTGGAAGTTTCTTCTGACTTAAACAGAAATGTATTCTAATTAAACTTGTATTTTATATGTATTTTGTATTTCTTGTTTTTTAAAAATAATTCTGAAATTTAATTCTGATTTAATTATTCTGGTTTAAATAGACTAAGTTTTTAAAAATTCTGAAAAATAAATTCTGAAAAAAATAAATCTGAAAATAAATTCTGAAAAATATTCTGAAAAATAAATTCTGAAAAAAAAATAATTCTGAAAAAATTAATTCTGAAAATTAAATTCTGAAAAAATATTCTGAAAAAATATTCCGAAAAAATTAATTCTGAAAATTAATTCTGAAAAATATTCTGAAAGTTAATTCTGAAAAAATAAATTCTGAAAATTAATTCTGAAAATAAATTCTGAAGTAAACATTCTGAAAATTAATTCTGAAAAAATAATAATTCTGATTTATGTATTTTAGTAAAACACTTTTAATTTAATCCAAAAACACAATTCTGATTTATTTAATTCTGTTTGTATTTTATTTTGTATTTTTAATGTATTTTCTATAACAATTTGTATTTATTTTGTATTTTTAAAATTACCACATTTATAATTTCTTCCTCATTTTCCCCCACACTAGTCTCCTCCTCAATTTCACCTTTCATAAATAATCCTTCCTCATTAACACTACAATTTTCTTCATATTCTTCTTGTTGTCTTTCCATCTCCATATTTGATGGGCTCAAAACTTTGAAAAAAAATTTTTTTTAATTTTTAAAAATTTTTTCCTTTACCCCTAACATTAGAAGCTGTTGAAGGGCAATAACGTTCCCCAGTACCCGCCCCAGCCAAACCATCAACATAATTTTGTAAATAATTTAGTTCGTTAGCAAGTGGACGGCAAGCAGTATTCTTCCAATGAGTGCGCAAACCGCTAGGGCTAATATAGTTACGGCCACATGAAGTACAAATAAATGGACGTTCCTTTAGGAGAGAATATTTAAAGAAAATAATTTAGAAAAAACATTAGAATGTATGCGTTGATGTAGTTTTAGATGTACAAGCTGTGTAAATGAAAGATTGCAGCGATCACAACTGTAATTAATTTGAGAAGGAAAGATTTAAATTTTAAAAATCAGAATAAAAATAATGAAACAAATTTTTAAAAATCAGAATTCTGTGAGAATCAGAATTTAAAAAATCAGAATTAAAAAATCAGAATTATTTAATTAAAATCAGAATTTTTAAAAAGCGTAATTCTGAAAAATCAGAAAAAATAAAATTCATTTATAATTTAAAAATCAGAATTCTGAAATACTTGAGAAAACACAAATTTTAAAAAATACAAAGACAATTCTAATAAAGTAAAAATACAAGAACTCTTAACCCACCTATAAGGGCGTTGTCCATTATGTAAGCGAAGATGTGTTTTTAAATTGCTAGTAGAAGAGAAACGTTTGTCACAGACCTTAAAGAAATTTTAAATATTTATTTAAATTAATTTAATTATTTTTCACCTCACAACGGTGAGGCTTTTCCCCGGTATGCACCAAATCGTGTTTTTGTAAATGTGCCAATTGAGTGAATCTATTTATTAAATTTAAATAAGAATGTATTTTTAAAATACCCTTTATTGCATTTACTACATTTATAAGGCCTTTCTCCAGTATGTGTTCGTAAATGGACTTTTAAGTTTGACAACTGACCAAAAGGTTTTGAACATTCCTATGTATTTTAGAAAAGAATTTAAAAAATCAGAATTATTTAAGTAAAATCAGAATTTCAGGATAAATCAGAATTTTTAATATCAGAATTTTTAAATCAGAATTTAATAAAATCAGAATTATCTAAGCAAACCAGAAATTTATTAAAATCAGAATTTTTAAACCAGAATTTTTAATAAGAATTATTTAATCAGAATCAGAATTTAATTAAAATCAGAAATAATTAAAATCAGAATATTTTAATTAAAACCAGAATTATTAAAAAACACAATTCTGAAACAATTTTAATAAATTCTGAATTTTCAGAAAACAAACACAACAATTGCGAAAAACACAAACTTGAATTAAACAGAAAAACACAAAATTATTATTAATTCCGGAAAAACACAATTAATTCAACTTGTTTAGAAAACACAAAAACAACTAAAAATACGCTACCTTACACTCATAACGCGTCCTTCCATCTACTTGTTGTGAATGCCAAAACTAAAAAAAATTTTTTTTTTAATTTTTAAAATTAAATATTGCCTTATTCTGAATATTTTGTTCCCCAAAATTATTAATTTTATTGTTTCCATTTTCTCTACGTTCCTTTCCTACTCTTCTTTCTACTCCTCCTCC